AGCAGCTTTTTTGTAAACACATCATGGCTGGGCTTCGTGAACAAAGATTTGGGGAGGGCTCTACCCACGTTTGTTACAAGCACACTGGTGGCTAAAGAGGCCAATACGAGATAGACACGTCCAGTTGCAAAAGGCACAGCAGAAAGACTCCTTAGGTGGTAAATTCTGCAAGACACAATTCTTTCTGCGCTGTCTTTTCTCCTCGAGAGTGATCCTGCGTGCTTTCTCAAAAGCATCAGCAGTGTTATAGATGGTGTGTCTCCAGACCTCCCGATTGGAGGCCAGAGTAGACCAGTTATGTTGATCAATATTTTTAAACACAAGCACTTATATAAATACTGATTCTGATTTTTTTGATTTACATGTGAGGTTACAGATACCTCAGTGCAGTAATACAAATAAGAGATGAAGCAGAAATACTCATTGTTTTCCCCAGATAAATTACATAAGACAGATTGACAACAATTGACTTTGTGGTTTTGTATTTGCTTAAAAGGGTGAATTTGACCAATACTTCAGTGCTTTATTGGATTAGGTTTGTAATGGCTATATATTTTAAAATTCCATTACAATATTTTATAGAGTAATGAATGATAACATTTTTGTATAGAATGATGTAAAATGTTTAGAACATTTGGACCACATTTGCTATTCTGACATTAGTAATTGGAAATGTGTACAAATATAAAAGCTTATGAAAAATCCTGTGAAATTATGTCACTGTAATGCCAGATCACTTGGTCTGGAAAAAAATTTCCTCCCAGAAGAAATAATTCTAATGTAATGGAAGTTTCAGTCATTGTCTGTGTTTCAACCATGCATTAATGGGAGACCTTTCTGAACATGATCCCAGGGGACTACTTGATGACACAGTCTTCAATCCTCTGAATTTCAAGAATGTGTTGCAAGTTTACTGTTAACAAATGCTTTTGCAGTTCTTTTACGTAGATCATCTCTCGCTGTTTAAAATGAATTACATCTCATATCTTTTTATAATAGGGCTTAGCTGGACCAGAAGGTAACCCAGGTCCTAAAGGTGTAAGAGTAAGTAAGCATTTTAAGCATTTTGGTATGCATATCTATTTTTACCCATACAGTACATAAGAAAGGGGATGAGGAATTTAATTCACCTCTGCCTGCTGAACCACTCTGCCCTTGCAGAACCTGCAAATGAGAAGACACAGTGTATCTTTCAAAATACATGTAAGAGTTTACTTTTTTTTCCGCGGTGAGCTGCAGAGAGCAGTCTTCCATTGTTGCCCTTCCTCTCACTTGCATGCAGTCAAGAGAAGAAAGTAGTACTGGGTGTGTGAGGGCTGGGAGTGAAGAGCAGTGGACATTTCCTGCCTGAAGCATTATTTCCATGATGGAAGTTGTCAAGAAAGGAGACATATCTGGCATTTGCAGTCTGTAACAGCTACAGAAACTGATAAAGGGAAACAGTCTTGTCATACAAAAACCATGAAAGTGATCTTAAGATTTTAGAATGGTTGAATTGTAGTTTTATATACCCCAGGGACTGAAGGGTCTTACTGCTCTGTGCGTTCGAGGTTTGCTTTTGATTACTCTTGGAAGTAAAATAAGTTGGGTTTTTCTCTATACATCCTGGTGCATGTATATGTATTTTTTCACACTGACTCTCACCATCAAGCAGTAGAAACAGGTTTCCAGAAACTTGCATGTTGCTAGTTGCATCTAGGACTTGAAGGCAGCTTTTGCTAAGTGTTTTCAGGCCCTCAGTTCACATACAGGTTGATAAGCAGTGTTCTGTGTTCTCAAACATCTATTAAAATAATTTTCTTACTAAGTTATTATCAATATTTGCTTTTGTCTTGGTTTTTTTTTGATGTAGTTACTAAAAGCCTTTACCTGCATCAGCTTCTTAAACATTTGCCTGCTTTTTTTGGGGTGTTTTTTTTATGTCAGTTTTCATTACAATGATGGGAAAAATTAGTTTGTCAGGATCAAGTGCCAACAGATATTGGACCCTCAGGGATTGTTTCTTTTATGTTTCTTCAGTTTATTTTTGTTCAGATTCTCAAGCATTTTGTCTTGTTCTCCCTTCAACCAACAAGACATTGTGATCCCAGTCACTTCCTGAAAAGTTACTGCTGCTCTGTTTACACAAAGCTAAAAATGGCCAATGCATGAGTAATTTAAGGGAAAAACACCTGTCATGTCTTAAGGCTAAGTCCTGTATATGAATTCTAAAAACAACTCCCAGTAAAAAATGATGACACAGCCCTCTTGAGCCATATTACTGTGCCATGGAGTGTGCAGCAACATGATATGAAGTGTTTAGAGCTTTACATTTAAAACATTCCTGTTATCAAACTGTGCTCTGCTTCTCAGCTATTTTAAGAAACTGTAGAAAGTAGAAGTGTCCTTGTTTTCCTTACTCTCACATTAGGCTGGATGACAAGAAGGGCACTATCTTTCATAATTAACAAAAAAAAAAAGAAATTAAATAATTACAGTTGGAGGACTGGAGAGAGTTATGAAAGCAAGGAATTCTTTTTTAGTAACTAATAATATTTTTATTCCAGTCTCAGGTTGAATCTGATATTGTAGAACCCATCTCTCCATACAGCTGAGGAATGGTGGCAGAGAAATGCCACCACTGAACTTTAAGACATTCTACTTGTATTAAGATAAACTTTTGTCTTTTAAGAGCTCTTACATATAGCAGTGATCACACAGTGTTATTAAAGATGAGAACATATTTTCTGATGTATTTCATGAATAAGGTTAACTTATGAAAAAAGTTGCTAATTCCATCTATTCTAATAAATAAGGTGTCTGATGCAACCTTGTCTTATTGGACCACTTTCTTGGTACTTCTTTGTTAGCTGACTTTGTACTCTTATAGCAGGAAATTGGTTTTGCTCTTAGTTGGAGAGTAAATCCTGGTCACATTTAAATTGCTAGAGCTTCACTGGTAGTTTCAAATGAGTCTGAATTTAATCCCTCTATTGTGAACCCATATCTAGCCAATACTGAGGGACAAGCAGTGTTGATGAAAAGCATTGTTCTTATGTTTTTAGGGTTTCATTGGACCTCCAGGTGTGGCAGGACAACCAGGACCTGAAGGAGAAAGGGTAGGCTTAGTGGAACATTAATGAAATGTTGATGTTTGTGTGGTAATGCAATATACGTTAGAATGAGGGGAAAATGTACAATGTATTCATTTTAGTACTTTTTGCTAATAGCAAAACTGATGTGAAGAAAATCAGATAAGTATGTCATATACAATTAGGCTAATCAATGAAATGCACTGGTGCTAAAGTTAAATGGGGAGCAGCTGTAAATTATTATCTTAATTTACTCCACAGCTGCAAGGATTAGGGTTATTTTTTTTCTTACTAACAAGGCCCTTTATGAATATTTTTCATTGGAGCAATTTCATTCATTCAGTAATTAATATTTGTCTCTTCTCAGATGATCTTTAAAGTAGAACAAGCCATGGAAGTCTCTGTTACTCTGCGCTTGAGCTTTTCCTTACTTCTCTTGAGCACAAAACTGCCTGGCCATGTACTTAGATTCAAGCAAGATATGGCCCTTTTTCATAACTGTTCTGATATGGCCACAGTACAGACAAGCAAAGTTTGTGTTTCTGCTGTAGGACAATGTCTCTGTGATTCTTTGTTCAAATATTCTTTATTTTTTAATTCTTATTTAGTGGTAGTGCTTCTGACACTGTCTTTTTCCAATCAAATAATCAAAACCAGATTTAATTACTTGAATTTAAGTACTGAAGGAAAGAAAACTTACTTTTGATGGGTTATTTCTTTCTCAGGGCATCCCAGGCTTACGTGGAAAAAGAGGTCCTAAAGGGAGACAGGTAAAGCTTTTAATACTTGTTATAATTCCTGCTGCCAATATAAATCCACCTGTAATTCACTCTATAACTTCAATCACTGAAAAAAGTTAGGGGTTTTTTTGTCCATAGATGACTTTCTATTGTTTTCAGCTAGTACATAAATAAATTCTGTAAAATCTATGTTAGCACAAGGTGCAGATATGATGCAAGCTTTGTTAATCTGATTTTGGTGTTGGTTTGGATGAAGACCTTCGAATGTCTAATATTTCTGGACTGTGGTAAATTAAAGCTGTCCTCTACTTAACATATATTTCTAGAGCTGAGAATAAACACAAATCTGCCAAGGATACATTATCAAGGTTTACATATTTCCTGTGTAAATATGTAAAACATGCCAAATGTTTTGTTTTCTGCAGCAACCATATTATTTTAGGTCTTTGAAGCTATCCAGGAGTTTCTAATTTTAACTTTCTTGTGGTTTGAGATTGAAAACCACGATAGTGTTCTGCAGTTGTGCAGTCAGTTGCACTCAGCAGTTCAGATGACTTTTAGCTAGCATTTTGAACAAGCTTGTTCAGCAGTTGTAGGGTGATTATCATAATTTGGCCCTGGATGTATGCTAAGAAAGTTGTGGGGGATTCTGTTTAATTGTTTTGTTTTCTGTGTGATCTAGCACCAGCCAAAATAGTCACTAGCCTACAAGAGTTGCTTCTATGTAAAGAAAGGCAAGCAAAGTGCCATTAAGTTGATAGACTGCTCTCTGCAGCTGCTATCAAATAGTTGAGGTACAGAAATCGAAGGAGGAATTTGGTTTTTAATTATTCAGCTAGAAGGACAGGGTGTTCCTGTGCTTGTTGACCATATTGTCATTTGCTTATAACTTGAATTGAATGCTACTTTGTGCATCTGCGTGTTGGGCACAAAGGGCTCTGTGCCATCAATACCTTGCAGTAGTTGGCAGTGTCTCGTGCTGATGAGTCACATGCAGTGTTTAAGAACCAGGAGAACCTGGATGGAAATCAAAGTCTTGTGCTGAGTGTGGAATAGGAAGAAGAGGTGACAGCAGAGTACACTGAAAATGTGTTTTGCATTATACTATCATTCTCCATGGCAGGTTTCACTGATTGCCAGTATAGTTGTTCCAGTCCATAGCAGTTAGTTGGTGCTGTGTATGCTGTGGTAAGCAGTTATTTTTCATTTACAATCAGAGCACAGTGCGAGGCTATGTTCTGATAAGGACTTTTATTTATATAAATTTACTCAGAGAAGATTCACATAGGTGACAGAGCACCAAAAGCCCCTCTACACAATGTCTGTGATTACCTTAATACAATACTGATTTCTTTTAATGTTGTAATTTCCTCAATCCCAAGGTTCATTCCAAATCCCAAGGTTCATTCCAAATCCTTTCTATGATCTATAAAGTACTTATTTGACTGAAGGTTCCTAATGTAAGGCCCAAACCAGGAGAGCAATCACATGGGAACCTGGCTTGAAGTACTCTGCTGGATCACAGTCTTAGAGAATGTGTGTTATTTTAACCCCAAACAATGATAGCTGTAATGACAAGGTCTTTTGTCACAATGCCTAGAGTTAACGCTGGTGCTTTGGGGCAGAGCACCATTGCTAAAGGAAATTTGGCATGGGAATTTGTAGTGCCTGAGGTCAGGCTCCTCACCTTTTGTTCTAGGGTGCAACTTATTTCTTTGGACTAAACTTCTCTCAATAATAATAGTTGAGACAAAAAACCAGTCTGACAGGCAGGGATCTTCATGAAAGAAAACAGGTCCGAAACGTCATCTCATTTTTGTGCAAAGTAATTTTCAAGTATAAATGAAGTGGATCATACAAAGGATCATACACTTATAATTCACAAAATGCTGCTACTTACTAGATTTATTGAATAGTTGTTCATATTTGTAACATTTCTGGCATATTTAAAATGGAACAAAAAATTCAATTGCTCAAATCTGTATTGTGAACATCACAGAGTGAGGATGTGTTTGAATTTTAGATTAGTTTTGCATATAATATGCTTTTAAGAAAATATTTCACAGTAGAAGTATATACATTCAATTTCTTTCCATTGTATGGTCATAATACAAAACTTGGCTAGTTCTGCAGTATTTTTAATGCATTGTCTGTCCTGTTAGTATGATGCATTTTGCTCTTATATACACATTTGAGGGAATGCTTTTACATAGTTTTCTTCTATCTGTGATTAGTTAAAACCAGTTGTCAATGTGTCAGAACAGACCCTGGAAATTTTACTAAGAATTTATTAATCCAGTTTTTTGTAACTGTAAAAACAATTCAGATTCTGGTTTATATTAAAATTATGAATACTCATCCTTTGTATGCTTTATGCTAATGATAAATGATAATATTGATTTCATAAAACTCTTGTTGCACAGTAATATTATTATATTCCTTCCAGTTTTAGACTTTTCTGACTGTTCATTTTGCTTTTGTTTTTCTACTTACTAAGATGAGTTTTTTAGCATCAGTTAAAGGACACATGCTGTTGGGAATGGGATTATGATGACTGGGGGTAATCTGTCCCTTTTGTAACTCCTGCTATACTGGGTTTGTGCTGTATCATTTGTGACCTGCATCTATGATTCCATGTGGCTGGTAAAACTGTCCCATTGCATCCTCCATTTCCCCTTTGATGCCTCATTTGTGAGTTTAAAAAAATATACATACTTGTGAATTATGTAATCAAATTACTTTGCCCAGCAATTTATGTGCTTCTGGAGTGGGCAACATCTGAAAGAAGAAAAACAATCCTCAAAACCCTTAGAGTAAGAAGAAAGATTAGAGCCAGTAAAGTGGTGGAATTCCATTTCATTTTGCTTTTCGAGCAAAAAATGAGCAAAAAATGAACATTCTGTTTCAAGCTTCAGTGCTTGACTTGATAAATCAGATTTCTTTCCTGATAATCTAGTATCTGAAGTCAAAACGCTCATAAAATGAATGAGGTTTTACCATGTCTTGAGTTATTATTTCAGTCTCTAGATGCAGAGTAAGGCAAGTGTTCACATTGGTAAGGACCACTCTTCACGTCTTAGATAATGAAGAATGGCTATTTTCTCTTCTGCTTTAGGGTTTTCCAGGTGACTTTGGAAATAGAGGCCCTCCCGGTCCAGATGGAAGTCCTGTAAGTATTGAATTGTGTGTTGATTAACATGATAAAATTTGTAACACTCAATGTTAACTCTCCTCCTAAATAGAAAGGAGACTTTTGCCTCAAAAGAAATGTCTTGAAGTCCACAGGAAAATTCTGGACTGTTAAATTTTTCATGGAAATTGCTAGGAAAGTACTATGATAAATATAAAAAAGAGCAACAAAAGACTCAGAAAGCTGCAGAAAGAATGCAGTTTCCACTGCTACATGTGCTGACTACCTTGAGAATCCGATCTCTTGTTGTCCTCGTTCCATTGCTGGTGAATGTTTTGTCTTCAAAAATTCTTGCGTTGGATTTGATCTTGCATTGTTTATTTAAACCATTATTCCAAGATCACCTTAACAAAATAGGATTCTGCCTACGTGTAAAACCCTAGCTTTTGTATGCTTATGCCTTTGGTAGCTGATTTCATCCTTTGAACTGTAACTGAAAACAATTATGCTAGTATGTCATTCAGTGCTTTATAATCAGTATGATAACAGCTTTGTCCTTGGCAGTGTGTGCAGGCTAAAGTGCTCTTGTAGTATGATATTCAAACTGTGCCACAGTCACATCTCTTAAAGCAGCTTTGCTGTCTTGCTGTATTTGTAGGGAAACTCTGGCTGCAGACTCCAAACTCAGATTTCCTTTGGTGTCAGAAACCAGTGAAAGGCTTTGGGCAGGACAAAAGTACAGCAATAAGCTCTGGGTAAACTAGCAGCTGATTTAAATGATCTTGTATTGTTGGATGCTCCTTTGGAAACTGCTATCAGTTTGCGTCTAAAGATTTTTCTGATATGGACCAGAGTCAGCAACTGGGCAGAGATTGTCTCCTTTTTCAAGGCCTGCCCTGACATCCACCTTAGAAACTTGTTTTAGAAAAGCTTACCTGAATTTTGCTGGTGGGTTATCAACATTTGGTGACAACATTTTGTAACATAGGAAAAAAACTCTTTTGCACTTCTGGTCCCTGAGGCAGTTTCCCTTGTTGGAATGTCAGGTGATGTCAATATAGTGCTTTTCATCTTGAAAACCCTCTGAGGCTTTGTGAGTGTCACCAGCTGCTTTTCAAATGATATTAAAACATTAGTTCTTCCTTCCCTTCCTGGTACTCCCAAGTCTCCCTCCATTCCTGATAAAACACATATTGTCTTTCCACCAGATCTGCAGAAGAGTACTTTAATAGAAACAAGCTCAGAAAGCCTGGATCTGAAATTACAGACTTGCACTTTACAAAGAAGCCTGTTTTAATGCAAACATTTGCAAACAAGTTCCATCTAATCTGCCAAGACAGCTGCTGATCTTTCTGCCTTCTTAGACAGGCAGCAACCTCTCTCCCCTCCTCCCCCAAAACTCACCCTGCAGGGCTTGTTCAGGCAAGGGGCCAGAGCTGCAGCTGCAGGGGGCTGCAGTGCTAATGGGATATTTACAGAGCCTGTTCGTGTGCTGGCAGTGAAGAGCAGGGGCTGCCTGGGAGGCCTGTGGTGGCAGGAACTTGAAGGGAAGACATTTCTTCCCATGTGCTGACTTGACACTAATGACACTTGTCTCCATGCCTAATTTCTTCTGCTTAACTGACTGATGCCATCCTTCATTTCCACAACACCCTCCCAGTTCTCTGAGGATGTTGATCTGCCTTGGAGAATGTTGCTTGAGCATCCAACTTCGCTTCTGGTTAGTTTGGAGCAGGTTGGAGAAGGTGCTTAGGCACCAGAGGACAGAGGAGAGCACAGAGGTGTCCTCTGGGCCATGTCGAAGTCATGCCCAGTTGGACACATTCAGAATGGGCTTAGATTTGCTTGCATAAAACTTCCCCTGCACTGTGGGTGCCAACAGGCTGTGGTGAACCCTCTGAATGACATTGAGTAGCAGGTCCCAGGTGTTGGGACAGCCTGCATGAGACATGATGATCTGGAGGGTTACAATACCTGTTTTGTGTAAGGCAAAGAGACTTGGCAACTGTTTTCTGCAGCGTTTTAACCTCTTCTGAGTTAAACTTGAGTGTGATAGAGGCAGTAGTAGAGTACTGTTGAATTTGTAACTTCTTTTAAAGTACAAGTACTGTAGTTTGTATCAAGAAGCAATTTTTCATAAAGAGAGTGTTAATTTTGCAGTGGTCTTTCTATGAACTGAGCCATTGTTCTATTCATCTTTCAAAGAAATATTAATAAATTCATTTTTCACCCTCAAAAAATTGTTCCTTCTTCCTCCCATTTTAGGTATTGTGGTAAAAAAAGTCTCATATCCCTGCAGTAGCAGCAGGAATGATTTCATACACAAATATCTGGAGATCGAATTGCACAATCCAGAGATTTTAATAAGTGTGTTCCTCTGTACGGTGATAAGCTCTCATTCGTTTGGAACTCTATAAAAATCCCAAATAACTTGCTCTGTAGATCACTTTTATTAATCTTATCACTGGGATTTCTTTTCAAATGGTAAAATTCAGATAATCTAAAATTAATTTTTTTTTTTAAGGGAATTGTTGGTGGGGTTGGTCCTCCTGGATTTCCAGGACTAAGAGTGAGTACACTTTTATTACTTTGATATGGTTTCATTACAATATTTGTCTTGTGTGTTTGTCTTTGTTTGTGAAATAATAAAAATTATTATGGAAATCCAAGGATTTAAACAGATTTTGTTCTAACTAGCCATGATTTTAATTAATATCACTCTACAAAACTGCTGTCATGTTGCCAGTATGGAGTACTTCTGTACTTCATGTGGATTTGTATGCTTATTTCTGATCCAGTATGTCTGGTTTTTTTATTTGAAATAACCAAGTTTTCTAGTTCATAGCACTAAAGCCAGTGTTACTTTTTCAAAAAGTACAGTTGTCTCAAACACTTTAACAACTCATCCCTCATTTGTTCCTGAACATGGCTACCAAATTCAGAGGAGAATTAATTTCTGAGAAAAATTACTTTAGCTCGTTAACAGTATTATATTGATTTTTAAAAAAATATTCATAGAAGAAGGTTGTGGTGCTCAGTGTGGAGTTGCACGCTGTAGTTGTATCAATGCAGTTGTGCCAGAGAAGGTCTGTGACATCAGTGAGTCCTACAGGAGGTGGGAAAGAGTGATACTTTCATACTATATAGTCTTACTCCCTTTTTTTTTAAAAGTAATTCACAGATTTACTCATAGAGGACCTCTATTTTGTTCTTGACATTGTCTCAATCAAGCCTGGCTATGCAACCATGTTCACAATGTAGGAGAAATAGCATGTTTGCATTTGAATTAAGAAAGCTGTGATTGTCTCCAGTGTTTCCTTTGTGGTTTTTTTTTTTTTGATATCTGCAGATCTGAAACATTCTTGATAAGTTTGTCACTTTACACTTATGGTCATCTGACTTTTCCTTTTGAAGTACGACAGTTGAGTTCAATTACTATTAACTTTTTAATGATATGTTTATAACAAAAAATATTCCTGTAAGTCATCCCTTGTTGTCCGATTGGGATTGTTATGGCATTGCCATAGTGAAAACACAAGAAAACTCTGTAGCTTCCAGCCTCATCATGCAAACATGAATTTACTCTGTTCTTGTCAGTTGACATATTCAAGCCAATTGAAGCACTCAAGCTACTGGAGATTGCACTTTTGAGAATTTGCTTAAAATTACAGTTTGCTTTTCCTTCTTACATGACTGTCTTTCGAATTTTACCTCAAGGACATTGATAATTGTATTAATGTATCTAGGTTTTTTAAAAAAACCTACTATATATCACTTCTAAAAAGGTATTGTTACTGATTATTTTGACTAAACCTTAGTAGTTTTGCCCTATCTAGAATTCATGAGCATAAATGTTCATGGGGTCAAAGCTCCATTTGCCTTCTTGCTGAGTTGTGGTTATTGACAGAGACATTGAATGTCAATAATTTTTTTGTGAAATAGAGAAATAATTTTCAATCACCAATCCAAAGATTTTACCATTTGTACATAGGTGAAATATAACCATAATGAGTGCTATTTCTTGGGGAAAAAAAAAATCAATGGCATATTTAGATTTTGAACAGCATGTAATCAACAATTCTTTTGTGTGTAAGCTCCATTTAATTGGCCTGCCTTCTCTTCTTTATGTGTGAGACTCTTTCACACGGTTCCAGTAACACCATGTTGGTTTGTCTGGTTTCCTCTTTCCCAGTTACATAATTGGAAGATCTCTGCTTTGTTCCAGAGTTTCTTTACACGGGACCATTGCACTCTTTAAACTGTAGCAGAATTTCACCAGGACCCTGGGGGAATTCCAGGTGACCCCAGCATCCCAAAGTACAGTTTGTATGGTGCAGCCCATTTCCTTGACCACAACTGCTCTCAAAATGGGTTTGTGCTCCCTGGCCTCAGCTCACACAGCTGTTACTCAGGCAGATATTAGTGGTCATCCGAAACTGAGTACAGAACTGCAGCCCTCAATGTTTGCTTTAAAATACTTAGGCCATTATAACACAATATACTAGTACAAGATGAATACTGAATATGAGATTAAATATATTTTTCTGGCAGAAACCAACAGCATTAATTCAAGTAGCTTGTCTAGCCCAGCTGTATGCAGTGGCAAGAGATAGTTGTATTTTTGCTTTGTTCATAAGGACAATGGCAAAATGAGCAGCATCAGCAAGCTGAGTATAATAATTCCTTTATTTCATAATTTTTTTCAATATGCAAAGCACTTGCTAAGTCCAGAGTTTTGGCTGGCAGAGCCATCAGTCTCTCAAGACTTAGCAAGGTCATAAGTGCTAATAAGATGAAAAGTTTCAGAAAATTTACTGCTACACTTATCAGAACTAGTTTTTTTTTCTCTTTTTCTTTCCTTTAAAACCCCCACCTAATAGTAGGAAAATATAAATTTTCCTTTTCTGGTATCTTATCTTTTTAACACTCAAAAGTAATTTGATTTTAATTTCACTTGTCACACAGAAATGGTGGAAAAGGTACACTTTAGCTGAGAAAGTTTTGGGTTTTATCTCTGAGCAAATTTTAACCAAACTGATAAGCATGTGCTAACATATACCGAGGCTGTTGTAGGTGGAGGATGATTAATAAACCTGATAGACTCACTAAGTCAATATTTTTCTTATCAGTGAGATAATTTTTCAGTTTTATTTTTATGTCATCATCATCATGGCTGGGCTTTGTGAACGAAGATTTGGGGAGGACTTTACCCACGTTTGTTACAAGCACACTGGTGGCTAAAGAGGCCAATACGAGATAGACATGTCCGGTTGCAAAAGGCACAGCAGAAGGACTCCTTAGGTGGTAAATTCTGCAAGACAGAATTCTTTCTGCGTTGTCTTTTCTCCTCGAGAGTGATCCTGCGTGCGTTCTCAAAAGCATCAGCAGTGTTATAGATGGTGTGTCTCCAGACCTCCTGATTGGAGGCCAGAGTAGACCAGTTATGTTGATCAATATGGCCAAGGCCGAGATGTTGTTTCAGGGAGTCCTTGTATCTTCTCGTCGCGGCTCCTCTCATGCAGCAGGTCACTCAGTATGTCTGGAGACTGTGACAGGAGTTTAATGAATCTGAATGTTGTAAAGCTGTTTTGGAACTTCCTCTCATTGCTTTTATAAGCTAAACTTATAAAAGTTTATAAGTACTTCTCTGTGATTTTTCAATCATTGCTGTTGTTACCATAAGTGTGCCTTCCAACATACAGGATTATTAATACAGGAGTGCCTTGCTGAACTGGAATATGTAGCACAAGTAAAAGACAGCAATGTAACCAATTTGTCTTGATCGTCTAGCATGACAGAATATGTCATTTAAGCAGTCATGGAAAGCTAAAGCAATGTAGAGTGGCAACTTGAAATCTCTACCATTGAGAAACTAAGTGATCAGTCTTCCTTTTTCTCCAGTGAGCCATCAATCTGATGATGGCTGTAGAAGAATATTATTGCTAACATTGCTGAAAGAGTCTCCAGAGAATAACGAATGTGTGCTGAACTGGAAATGCATAGATGACCATCTCATCTTTTCCACATCACTCTCAGCAAGTTCTGCGTTAATATGCGTTGCTAAATTTTTGCATTGCCACAGAGATATAACACTGCCTTTTGGGTTTTTTGTTTGTTTGTTTGTTTTTCTCCAGAGGTAGAACAGGCAGGAAACAGATAGACTTTTCCCTTTGTAATATAGTCTTAACTATTGCTAAATCATGTCTTATGTTTGGCTCACCATCTCTCATTAACATTACTGCTGTTGTTGTGTTGATTTTGTAAGATTCTTAATTTATTTCTTTTTCATTTAGTGATTCACTTTTCTTTTTCCTGTCATAAAATTTTCCTTTTTTCTCCCATATAAGTCCTAGAAAGGAGAGATGTGGTAAGAGCTTTGAAGGTACATGAGAACAGAAAAAGTTAGCATGCCCATCATGACGTAGGCTTAATTTTGCGCACTTGGTATTTTGGAAGAGTCACTTTTTTTTTTTTTTTTTTTTAGGCTTAATTTTGCGCACTTGGTATTTTGGAAGAGTCACTTTTTTTTTTTTTTTTTTTAACTTGTAGAAGTCACTGATAGATGAGAAATCCTAGTAAAAGGACCATAAAAGGCCATTTTTTATGGCCCTACTCATCATAGAGTAATTTCTTTAACCAAATTCAATGCCTACAGAGAAGTGTTCTCATCTAACCTTAAGGACAGCAAGAATGGCCACAGAATGTACAGCTGCAGTACAAAAGAAAGCTTCCTTATTCTGCGTTGCCTAATGCACTGTGATCTCCTCTTGAATTTATAATCTACAGGAGAAGATGCAAGTTTGCTTTCTTGGGTTTCTGCTGATGTTGTTGGGAACTGTAGATATGGATACCCTTTTTCCCCAAGCAGTTAGCCTGAAAAAGATTTTGGTTTCTCTCTGTGATGCAGAAAATGCCACATTCTATTACAGTCTGTAAGTTATTCCATTTTATCAAATGTTTAATGCAGTCACCTTTCTTGCTGTTTGATAGGGAAGCATTGGGCCAGCAGGACCAAGTGGACCATCAGGAATTCCGGGGCCCACGGTATGGTGTTAAATGATCCCACAGCCAGGTGCCTATGCTGCTTTCCAAATTATATTTGAACATGGGATTTATGTCTTCTTTATTTTAACAGGGTTTCCCAGGGAGTGTGGGACAGCCTGGAATGAAAGGTGATAAGGTGATTTAAATATTTTCATTATCTTAGAGATATATAGTTCTTTCAGACTCCCTTCTTTAAATATTAAGCACAATGTACTTGGCAAAACCTTCCCTTTTTCCTTTTGTTTTCTTTTCTCTTCTGACTTTTATTTTTTAAAATTACTTAAGTCTCATGATCTGATATTTTATTTCTGGAGAGAGCACTTACTACTGGACATAACAATATCCAAGTCTACAGGGTTTCCTGGAGGGGTTTTTTCAGTGCAATATTTTGCATTGTGAAAGATCTGCTTTAGATCAATTTAATATTTAGTATTTAAAATTTCTCATTCTCTAATTCTGAAAACTACCCCATTTTAAGCCACATACATATGTCTGTATAAAATTATATGTTGTTTAGGGTGAACATGGCCTTGCAGGAGAGCCAGGAGACCAGGGGTACCCAGGAGATAAGGTAACTTATAATTGCATTCTTTCACAAAATTACCCAATTTCATCAACTTCATCAGTCTTCTGAATCTCTTAAAATGCAACAGGTCAGTTGCATAAAAGTAGAATGCAGTAATAAAAGTTACTGGATATCAGCAAATTAACATATTTTTCAGAAATGCTGTGCTCATTAAAACCTAGTTATTGAACATGTGAACAAAGACAAGTAAAGGGCACAGACAGAATTCTGGTAACTCCATGTTTAGAGATACATCAAGCAAGAGAAGAATTATGGTATGATCTGAATCTTGCTAAAAAACTTTTGTAAAAGATATTTTTCCCTTGAACCTTGAGGTTCATCTGCAGCTCACCTGGGCCTGGTGTGGTTAGCAGCAGCACAGGGTCTGACATGCTCCTTCATATCATGAAACTGAGATAAATAAGGATCTTCTTTCCTGTTTGGCTAGTACATCAGAAGTCACTGAAATAGCACATCCTGTGAGAACTCTTTTGATGAAAGTTCAGTGTTAGAAGATATTTCTCTTCCTACAGAATTATTTTGAAGTCTGTTTCAGGTGGCAAAATATAGCAATCTATTGCTTCGAACTTAACAATTAATTTTCATGTATATATAATAGCTTTTTTTTTTTCAGGGTGCTCTTGGTTTACCAGGACCCCCAGGGATCAGAGGAAAACCAGGACCCCCAGTAAGTTTACACACCAAATTTTGCTCTTAATATATCACTGTATGTTGTTCTATTTGATACTTTTGTGTGATAAGGTTCATACTACATGTAATCCTCTAGAAGCAACCTAATTCAAAATGCACTAAGAATAAGGTCTAAGATGCTTTTATTTCTAGTGACTGGTGTTAGTGAGCGAGTCAGATCTTAAGATATAAGGCTTTTTTACAGAGGTCAGTCCATGTGTCGAATTTTAATAGAGAAGTTCTTAGGATGTTAGGTATTCTGTGACAGTTAGTTTGTGAGGGAATAGACATGTTGGTAATATTTGAAGCAAATCCACTGAGAGCTTTGGGAACTGCCAAGATGAGCATTTGGACTAGCTGGATTTGGAGAGAGTGTGTGAAATCTTACTAATAACGGCCAATTCTCACAGGGTTGGGAGTAGTCATGAATTCCAGTATGTATTGATTTTTAGCAACTTTAAAGGCATCTGTGCAGTGCTGCCACTTCTGCTGGGTTTGTAAATGTTGAGACAGAAAAGGCATACTGCACAGGGTTATTTGACTTTTTTCTCACCTGTTTTTAGCACTAATCTCTCTATCTTTGGAGTATTGTCAGCTTTTAATTATACACTAAAGAGTCAATTTTCGTATGTGCAATCAAACCACTTAGACCCCATGAATGTCATAGGCCCTTAAACTCAATAAAAAATACTTTCTTTGTCTGAACAGTAGTGAATTTTAAGCACATACTGAATGTGACCAACTTTGTGACTTATGTTAAATTAAGCTTTGAGAAGTCAGTCCTGCAAGTAATATAATTTTTATTTTGTAGAATAAATTTACAATAAAATTGTTTATGCTGAAAATTAAAAAATATTTTCCAGGTCAGACTTTAATTTTGCTCAAGGAACATCTAGGTATGGTCTGGCAAAACTCGTAAATATGTGGAAGAACAGATATAACTTAGGGAAATAATCTGGCCCATTTTTATATGTGTCAGTATTTGTATATAATGGACTCACTATAACATGTGGAAAAGACCTAATTTTACTGTTATTAATCACAAAACTGCCATTTCTTTGGCTATGATTGGATGCTTAAAATATATAGGTAAACCAATATAGGTTTGTAAACCAATATCTGTAACAGTTACTTCCTGGACTTTTAAATAAGATGTAGGTTTTATTGTGGAAACAACTATATGTTTCAGGTGTTTTTTGTGACTATTTGTACTATCTCAAAACTCCCAATTTTTTTTGTCTAAAACTAATTTGATTTTTTATTTTTGGTGGCTTCGAAGAGATATGAAGAACTAGTCTTAACTGAATTAAAAGAGAGGCAGTTATAAAATTTCCTATTTAGTAAAAAAGTCATCTCAACACTTCTGTGGGCTTTCTTGTTAATAAATGTTTTTAAAATAAATTATAATCAAAAATCTTAATTGTTTGGATTTTTTTCAAGGGGAAAATTGGAGACCCTGGACCCCATGGACCATTGGGTCCTCAGGGACCTGAGGTAAGAAATTGCTTGATGGAGGTAAATTCAATGTAATTTAGTTCTAAATTACAAAAATCAGAGGTAAATGGGTTTGCTTCATAAAAGAATGTTTTCATAGTTGAATATAAAAAAACTTTTTATTCAGTCATAATTGATTAATTCATTCTCCTCCATAAAGTACAAAAAATTCCACCTCATAATTTTTCTGATGTAAAATATCAATATACGGGAGCTTTGAATACAAGTTAGTTCCTCATTTGTCTATGTGATTGGGATTTGCTCTCTTTTGAATCCTATTGCTATGGATTACACCTTGAATGAGGCTCATGTGATTTCTCAGGCACACTTCTATTCATAAATTCCACAGCGTGTTTACAAATGGGATTTTCCAGGCCTGGTTGCATATTTATCTCTTACAAAATAGCTTTGTTTGCAAGGACCATGAAGAATAAACACCAGTTACATGGGAAGCATTGCCAAGCAGTTGAATCTAGCAGTGAAGTTTCCTAACAACTCTGCAGAGCTATGGAAGTCTACACAGAAACTGTCAGTCTCCAAACTGTTCTATTTTTATTCTTTTTGACATTTTTACTGTGGGCTTTAAGGGAAAATACTGTGATATGTATCAGAAAGACATATGTATACACATGTATTTGCTGGAGAGATGAAGGCACAAATTGCAATTTCTTCTTTTTTAACCAGCTCTCTGCAATGAGTGTTTTCTAGGTTTTGTTTGTATTGGGGTGGGGTTTGTTTATTTGTTTGGGAGTTTCCCTTTTTTTTAGTATGTCTGAGAGATTTATGTTTGAAATTTTTTTTTTTCTGGCTTTACATGTTTGAGCATATCTCCTGAAACCAAGTCTCTGTATTCCTGCCTTCTTTATTGAAGAAGAGCCCTCACTGAGGGAAACTCACTGGTTAAATGCAATGTAGCAACACAATAACAGAATAAGCCTGTCTGTTTTAGTCAATGGTTGTGCAGAAGGCACAAAGCCTGTGCATGTTGTCCACAGTCCATAGCTACCTCCCTCTGTGGCTCAGGATTTTAGGTTTTGCAAGCCTCTTCATTATTAGCAGAAGAGGTCCTTGCATCATCTCTTCTCTTTGTACAGCTTTCAGCAAGGGACACCTGTGGCAGGTTAATACCAAATTTTTGGTCTTGAAGCCGATGTCCTGCTGACTCTGATGCCTATGCTGGTAGTCCTTCACAGATCCTTATTCCAACACAGACATGTTCCTTTGTGTCTGGGGAAAAGATCATCGTTCTGGGCTAGTACCCTCGGGGCAGATATGGATGGGAAATTTTCTGTCTGAAAAGCTCAGCATTTCCTTTTGCTCAGGAGTGCAGAATTACTTCATTGTTAGAGGGCAAATAAAGTGCATTATGCTAGATAATGAAAACTTGAGTGTCCAGGTTTTGGTTTGGTTTTTTTGTTTGTTTGGGGGGTTTTTTTGGTAATTATCTGTGAAATGTCAGGTTTAAAAAAACAAAGCAGTGTTCTGCTTAACTTCAACCTGCCAGACGGGTCCAAATAAAGCAAAAGAAGTTTTGCCACCTTTTACTTCATAAAAACATGGTCTCCATGTGACAAAATAACAGAAATAGAAGGGGTGTAGGGTAGTAGCATACTGGGATTTTTGACAAATTGAAAATACTAGAAGTTCTATAATAAAAGGAATTCAAAATAAGCAGCTAAAACTGAAGATTGTATCTTGCTCTCCCTGTTACTTTGTCTTATAAAAATAAGCTAGTTGTCATTGCCAGAAGCTATTTAGACACAACTGAATATATGAAGTATGAGCAAATGGGGTAGATTTTTCTAGAAGAAAAGCCTGCTGTCACATATGTGATCATGTCTGTTCTTTCAAAAACAGACAGCTATCTGGTCAAAAATGGCTGCTTTCCTTGCTCATATATATTATCTGAATGGTCAGACTTTCTGTGACCCCATGTAGAAAGCAGACATTACATCCTATGCTACCTGTTCCCTTGATGTTTCTGTAAATAGAAGAATGTGATGAATTAGTGTATTACAAGAGGTGTACTTTGACTTTGGTATGGACATGGCAATCCATACCCTATGCTTCCTAGGAAAGGTTTTATTTAAAAAAAAAAAATGGTTACATTGGGATTCATTGGGTGTTGCTATGAGCAGGAAGAACCTGTCAGATCCTACTTCCAACTATTTCTCTCCCTTTTTGTCCAACACTTAAGACAGTGGGGTTTATAAGTGTGGCCTGTCCCTGTGGTCAAACTTGTTTTGGGTACATGTGAAGTAAGAAACTGGGGATCCTTTGGTCTTTCCAATTACAAATTTGAGTATTTCAGTTCCAGTGTGAAGAATAAGCAGTTATATCCCTGATTTTCTTCCCCTGCAAACTGCTGTAAATCTGGCACTACAGCAGCTCAAGTCTATGGTATCTCTGCACACAACAGTGGGGAGCAGGGCTGGCAGGCTTCAGTCATCCTCACAGGTTTTTGTTAAGTGAAGTCAGCAGTGAATTGCTTCTTAATTCTTTCCTCTGCCATCTAGGTAACTGGATCAGAGTTGAAATAAGCCACCTACCCGTAGCCAGGGTCTGTTTGAGAACTGCAGTGCTGATGGGCAGGAGAGAGCAGAGGGAAGGACAGAGGTTTCGTGCTCGCTCTCTGGGCGGCTGTACAAGGGTTGGCTGCCAAGTGCGTTTTTTTTTCAGTGCAGAAGTCTTGCAGTGTTGAGCCAAATTCTCTTCTGGGTATGTTGCTGTAGAGCCAGGGTCTGTCGCATGCCTGAATGCGTGCTGCTCACAAACCACCGGATATATTCAGCGAGCGCTTTATGGAGCATGTTCTTCATCAGTTTGCACATTTTGCTGCTTTGTCATGCATCCGAAGATGAACCGCCAAAATATCAACTTTCTATAGAGCTTTATTTTATTGGTATGACAACTGGAAAGTGCTGATCTGACTGTTTTAACCCACAATGCCTGTGTTTACTGTGTACAATGCAGTATGTAATGCTTATTGTTAATGTGAATGAAATTAGACACATTTTTAACTGGCTTCCACATGTATTCAGAATATTTTATAGTTAAATTTTGCTCTAAGAATCACATTTAATTATCCCCCCAAAATAAGGGTGATGGTTTTCTTCAGATGTGCTCTGAGTGTTATAAATAGGTTTCATCTGGAGCAGAGAGAGCATTACTCATTATCTTCAATTGAACTTTTTTCATCTGTGCAGTATTTTGATTGGAGGTCATTGGCTTATTCCTTCAGGAAGGTGCTCATATGGGATTCAGCTGGTATGTTTCGTGCTCAAGGCAATATCATTACAAAAGAGAAGGATACATTCAAATAACAGTAAACAGTTAAAAAGACACACATTTTTAAAGTGAATCGCTGGCTGCTTTGAGTTGTTCATTTAAGAAGAAAGCTTTATTTTTAATGCGTGTTTTATCTTATCACATGATTTTTTGAGTTTGTGCAAACAATGCCATGAGATTAGTGATAACATAGTTCTTCTGTTTCGATATTGCATCAAGTAACTTGCATGCAGATGACTTGAAGGAAATATAGGAATAAAGACAACCTAATAGCTGAATTAATTGCATGTTCTGGCATACATCTGAAGAGCTGTTCTTATTGTAGAATTGCTTATACTTTCTACTTGCTTTTGCACAGAATCTTTAGCTGGTTCTTTCCCAAAGTTACTTGATATAAGTACATGCCTTGGGTTTATTTTTCAATGAATATGTATTAATTTTGCAGAAATATTCAATTTACCTTAACTTTTTTAATGTTGAACAATGCTTGTTCATGTGACCTTCCTTTTGCATTTTCTTCGGAGTGATTATCTCTGAGGAACTGAGACATGAACTAGCATAGTAACAACCTGATCATCTCTGCATTTTTTTGTTAATTAAACATTATACAGATAAATGAGAGCAATAAATATGTTAATTTTATATTTAAATGTTCAGTATGAAAAACAACACTCACAGCGAGGTTAAAGCACATTTGTGTTGAGGTAGCTGTTACTTTAGATTTTTCTGATGTCATTTCTATTTTGATTAATTACAGTGAACTCTAAAGTGCTTTGCTGGCAAAAGGCCACATGTGCAGCAATATTTTGAAAATAATTTGTGTACTGTGAGCTGCCAGACTTCTGGCTGACAGGACGTTAAGAATCTACACTTCGCATTTCCTTAGCAGAAGTCATAATATCAAGTGATGTTTTGTTTCGAATAGTCTCTGCTGAAAACTATGTTGCAGCTGGAAACTGTACATTAATCTCCTGCCTTTCACTTAGGGAAGAATAATGAATTTTTAATCTGGAGTAACTTCACTTGGAGCTGGCTGCTTAATAACTCTTGGCAAATTTAGGTAGTGATGGAAATGTATACCACTTCACTACTAGGAATCTGAATGGCAAGTGCCACTGCTGAGGTGTTTTAAGAACTTCTTTCTGGTTCATTCTTTTTCTGGAATTGTCTTAAATGGCTGTTTGTGTCCTGGATTATTACACTTATTTCATGGATTATTAACGTGAGAACATTTTGGAAACAGAGTTCTAATACTGCCATAGCGTCTGCATTTTCTCCATGATTGTGCTTGAGAAGAAAAGTCTTAATCCAACTTCACAGAAAAGATAATGGTGAGGATTTTAAAGTTTTCAATGCATTGCTAGCGTCGATGCTCTCAGGCCAGTAGCCCTCTTGCATCCTAAGACTTTGCCTGACACGGAAAGGTTTCCGAATACCATTATTGTTCTGTGATAATACTTGTCAACACTTACGTTTCATTGTCCTTACTGAATTCCTTCTAGAAAAATTTATACAAATAAATAAATCAATAAAGTAGATGTATTCCCTTATAAAAGCATAAGAATCTTTGTAAATTAACATTTTTCTTAACATATTGTTTTCTAGAATATTTGTAGCCATGAGGGAAGCTGTCTCTGTGTCAGCATTTTGCACTCATTCACATATTAGAAACTTAAAGATTTACAGGCGCACAAAACAACCCACCCCTTGGTAACTACTTGATGTCTGTAAATAAGCAAATTTAAGCTTAAGAAAGGATGAGTTAGAGACTTCTAAAGAATTGACCTAATTCTTCAGTGTATTCAGGATTTAAAAAACAACACCTCCTCTTCTGAGCTATATAGAAATTTAGGGTGGTGCGAGTGCTTTAGGTATCAGTCTCAATGCCTTCGTCACATGAAAATAATATACTCTGTGCCACCTAGAGGCATGTTGGGATTGTTGCACAGCTCTACTAGTAATTGCTGCTTTATGGCAAAGGAAATGAAACCACTATTTGTGAAATGTTGAGAGTTAGCATTGTTCTACTTACTCAGAAGCTCAGAGGGTTTTTACTCTTTGGTGGTTTGCTTTTAATACTCATTAGCATTCAAGTACTAAACCTGATTTTTAAAAAAATAAATCTTAATTCTGGTTCATATTTTGATTTATAAATTTATTTTTTATTTAATATATAAATGTGACTCAAAATATTTGCATCCCATCTAAATCCTTACTTTTAAGTCTCAATGCATCCTGTCAAGACTAGGTTATAGAAAGCAAACAGATAATAGTTGAGGATAAAGTAATATTTGCTTTTACATTTCTTGCTCTGATATGATTTATCTTTACCTTTCTAGTAAGTTTTTGGTGATTAATGTCAGCTAATTATGAATAATCAGTAGAAATGTTTACCTGTATTTGAAGCTCAGCTGTTTTGAAGAATAGAGTATGGTTAACTATTACCCGCCTAGTGAGGCAATTTTTTTTTTATATATCTCTCCTGCTCGGAAAACCTAGAATGTGACTCTTGAAGTTTTAATGATGACATATATTAGCCTGCATTACAGTGCCAGAGAGAATTTCATGCTGGAAGTTCTCTATCAGGTGTTCTTTACATTGTTCTGAACGTGTATCATGCTTTCATTTCCATTATTGAAAAAAGTATGCATGCAAATAGAGATGTTTATAAGTTTTGATCTGTAATGATTTTCCTTAAGGAAGAAGGAAACTTGTTTTTTCTAGTGTTAAACCATGGTTGTGCATAGACATAGTAATAAATATTTTGCTCAGAGGAAGTGGCAGTCTTGCTGTTTTCAGATAGTCAAAATTTAATGATATTTAATAGTTTATTTAAAAACCAAAATCAAATACTATTTTGGCAGATGATTGTGCTAACTAAATGGTCAATTACCAATGCTTTATTTTATTCTACAGATATAAAGATTAGGTATCTTCTCTGGATATTTATGAAACTTAATTTTCTACAGTACTTTACAAGGGTTAGCTGCAGCATTTTTTCCCCTTAATACACTTATCCTTATAAAGCAATCTAGTTGTAGCACTGAATTCCTCTGATATAGAGACATCCTCATGGTGTCCCACTCAATGCCTACTGGCCAGATGTTTTGCAGTGATAATTTTAGTTGATTCATTTTCTGTGCATATTTACTTTTTCTTTGCAACAGCTTGACCTATACCAAATACTATTTCACAAAGGCCCATTCTGAATAATGCTACATGCTGGTGACCTTCGCTTACTGCCAGCCAGACCTAGATTATCACCTGCTGATTTGGAGGCAAAAGGCTTCCTACCCTTTTCTTAATCTTGCAGTGATCTCGTCCTTAACGTGTGGCCAAGGATCAAAGGGCTTCAGCTGCACTCTAAACTTTTTTTAAAAAATAGTTGAATTCATAAGTGCAGGACCTGGTGCTGGCTGCTTGGTGGTGTTGTCCATCCAAACTAGTGTAATAGTTTAATTTCAAACACTGCTTAGTGGATAAAAGGTCTTATGCTTAGAGAAATTAAATCTATGCTGACATCTGCTAAATTGAGTTTAGCGAAAGCTGCCTAACATATCCAAGTCTTTTCAAGGAAACTTAATTAATTTTGACATTTTTGGGATGGTAGAACAAATTTATTTCTTGTTTCCGCGATTCAGGTTTGTTAAGTGAATCAACGGAATCAAAACAAGTACATTGGAAACATTCCTACTCTGCAAATCATTTGTCTGTATGATTTCTTTAGGGTTTTCCAGGAGATATTGGTGTACCTGGATTAAATGGCCCCGAAGGTCCTAAGGTAAGATTATATGGAAACCTATTCAAAATAACAGGAAACAGTGTAAATCTCTGAGGAAAAGGTTATGAGAGGTGGACACTGGCATTATGAGAATATAATCTTACTGTCAGAATACAGGTACTTTGCCTCAGGTATTTTATGAGGAAGCTATTTGAATGTTTAATGCTGTCCAGACAGTCATGAGAGTACTTACTGTGTTGGGTGGAAGCATGTAATGGCAAGGTAAGTGTGAGAAAATCCTATGTAGCTAGAAAGTAGTATATGTTTCACTAGTATTTAAATAAAATGCATGCCAAATGCACGCAGACCTTTGTATAACTCAGGTCCCACCAGAGTAATACAAACGGCTTTTAACAGTTTTTGAAAGAAATAGTAGCTGAAGATATGAAAAACAGGTAAAATTCACATGCTGGATTAAATTATGGATATAATAATAGATATGAAAAATGACCGTACCAGAATAATTTAGCTTCTGCTCTTTAGTAGACCAATATTTTAGACCCAGCTTAGGCAATAATTCACATGTGTAGAGTTTTAATAAAGCTTTGGATAAAAACACATATGGAATTTTTTTTTTTAATGGAAGCTGTAGAGACTAATACAAAAAGTGCAGGTGGGTCAGAAATTAACCTAGAGGAAGATAGCTGAATAATATCTAAAGACTGACTACTTGTTGTTGAAAGGCAAGTACTGATGAAGTTCCTCACTTACCAGCCTTGGGACTATTCTTATATTGTATTTTCTGTGATAAATAGTCATAAATATGATTGAATGAAATTTCTGTATAAAACAAAGCTGAGTGTCTTTGGATGATCTAAAAACCTGCACTTTTTGCTAATTTGTTCCACTTGTTATTTCAAATTGATTCATGCAAGGACTAAAACAATAAATCCTACTGTAAACTTAGACCAAAGACATTGCCAAATCTCTCTGAAATAAAAGCACAATAAAGCAGTTAGAAATTAAGTGAAATTCTAGAACACATGAGGCAAGGTGTCTCATTAATGCACAAAGTTTGAGAAGGCTTTATCTAAGTAGTACAGTTCTGGGCATTTGTATTCCAGGACTCAGTCAAGTGAGACTAGATGAAGAAAAGAACACTTGCATGCTTGTATTCTGAGAGGCAGTTTATTCATTGTACCAAAATGAAGGGCTTTTTTGAGCTTTAAGTAAACCAGAAGGCAGAAACTGATGAGTCAAAACTGTGCAAGACCAACGATATCAATTGTCCAAGAACAAAACATAAGGTTGTCCATGAATAAACAGACATGGAAATTGCAATGTTTTCCATCAACGGAGTTGTGAAATTCTGTGGCAGACTGCTCAAGAAAACATAGGATTGGGAGCAGTAAATAGTTTGAAGATATTGTCTTGCTTGTTCCTGGAAGATTGTAACAATGCCTCCATGCCAAAGGGGGTCATTCTTGAGAACTTCTCAAATAATCCGTTTTTTTCAGTTCTGATTTATTGCTTTGCTAACTTGTTTGTATGTATGTATATATAACATTAGCAGCCTTATGTGAATGAGTTTGTCTGATCATTACAGTTGCTTCTATGTTTGAGTTACCAGAGCACTTAAATAAAAAGACTGTCTAGGGGAACTAGAAGAAGAGAAATACAACAGTTCTTGAACTGCAGTTCAGATTTAATCATCCAAAGTGATAAACGAATGATGTAACTGAGATCTAATCCCTGCTGCCCAGTTTCTTCACTGGGATTGTATTATTGCACATTATATGCAAGGGGTTTTTGTTAGAGTTTTATTGATGGCTAATGCATACATTACTGATTTGTTGCCTTTTCACAGAGTTAGAAATAAAGGTACTAAAAGGTAACCTACAAAGTTTAAGGCTCCATGTTCCTTCGATACAGACATTACATAGCTGAACAAGATCCAATGCTCTCCAGCACATTTGGTGTTAGAGGCAAAAAACTTTGACAGCCTGTCCTAATCAGGGAGAACTGATGGCTTACATTTGAAAAGAAAGATTACCAAACTGGAAAAACTCTTATACTGCTCCTTGTACTGAGGGAGAAGGGCTGCATAGCTTTGGAAGTGTTTGGCTTTTGGGATTCCCAGCTGTCTTAAGTTGATTGAAGTTCTAAAAAATTTCCTCCAGCTTTTATTTTTAGAGAACTGTTCTCACTGTGCTGCTATTTTCCTCATGTTTTTGTTTATGTTTCCACAGAAGCAATACCCATTTTAAAAGCCAAGAAAGCAGGGCAAGGTTTATTTTTTAGCAGTTGGTGTGGGACAAATTCAGCCTCTTGGTGGGAAGTTTAAGCTCTGTTGAGTGTGATCAGCTGTCTCTAAATGGCAGTAGAAGTTCTGGATTGTAAATTTTCCCCAAATTAGTGCAGTAATCAGCATATCTGACCTCTCTAAATCAGTGTTCAAAGGATTTATTATGTAATTTGGTCTACAGAACATTATTCAGCTTGGAAAACGGTATTTTAGAAGGTGTTTGATCTTGATCCACTACTTATTAAAAAAAATAATAAACAACACACACTTTTTAAAGAAAGGGAATAAGAATGTTTTTAAGAAGCTCTGAAATAACTTAGTTTGTTTCCTATGTTATTCTTGCTCTCTGAGAAAAGCGAGAGGAAAAGATGGTCAGAATATGCTGACTACCACTGTAGTTTTTCCAGTGGTGTGTGTTGTGCCACAGAAGTACTTGAGAGCTTCCTTCCTCTGTTCACTTATGTTTGGTTGTGTAACACATTTAATAGAAGTGGCTATTAGTAGTTTCACGTCTTCTGAAAGGGATGGTCTGCTGGGAATTTATATATGTGAAATACAGGATATACCCCATTTGCTGACTCCCCTGTTTTTTTCCAAACACTTTGGCAAATGTGGAATGTCTACCTTCATTTTTCTGTTTGTTGCCTGAAACCTCAAAGAGGAGATGGAAATTTCTTTTAGTCTTAATATTCAGTTTACAGTCTGGGACCTTTTTCTGGATCCAGTTAAGTGGAAGGGTGTGTACAGTAGCAGTGTTGCTACCATTTCCACTGTGCAATTACATTGTACTGAAAGCCGTATCTCCTAAAGAGCTTTGCTGTTAGAATAAAACAACAGTTCTGTCAATGAAAAAATTTCATGACTGACTATATAAGATTATTACTTATGTAGTGCTACTGAAAGCCCTCCTGTCACTTTTGTGGTGGTATGTGAAACAGCAGTCCACCCCAGCCCTTCCCAATCTCATCTGTTCTTTGAGGAAAACCAGAACCTTGAGGTGTCCTGTTCCATTTTTCTCTTCCATTTTGCTTTGCATGCTGAGTACATTGTTACTGGACCAATGCCTGCACCTTCTGTCTAGACTTCATCTTCATTAGTATGCAATTAATAAGGCTTACACTTGGAACTTTCCCACCATTTCTTTCTTCAGAGGCTAATCATATCTCTCCTAAAGGGCAGTTTCTTTGTTCTTGTTGCTTTATCTGATATTGTTAAGCTTAGTTTTCCCAGAACATTAATATGTTTACACAATTTTTTTTTTTTTTGTTCTACTCCAGGTCAAGTGCTTTTCCCAATTATTACCATTGTAATTGGGATGCCCAAGGTTTTTGACACACTGCTAGCTGCAAAATCATTTTAACAAAGTTTTGAAAATGTTGGTGTGAGCAGCCATGAGAACTCCGAGTTAGCATAGGATAAGGTGCTTTATCTCTGGGAAGCTGATTATAATCATAACAGAAATGTAAGGCCTGAAAATCACGTGTAGGTCTGGACGAGCCAGTAGTTTAAATTCATTTTGTAGTTTCTTTCCATTACAATGTTGTCACCACATGTTATTCTAAAGACTACCTAAATCAAAGATTTGTACATTGATGATGCTTTAAACTTAATATGATGGCATGCTTTAACTCTTTAAAAAGAGAGGAATTGTTCTTTTGTGAGTTCAGATATTTTCTTCCGTCTCACAACATCAAAGGAAAAATGCTTCAGCTAGTCTATGTGGTAGAAGTTTTCCAGCAGATATTAAAATTCTTCTTCATCTTCTCCTGGCTTTCTAAGGGAAATGCTATGAACAGTGGTAAGAAATGAAGCCTGCTTCTTCAGTTTTTTTTTTTTGTCCAGGTTTATAAGAGGAGAGAAACTAGACCAGTGTGATTGTCTGTTGATGTAAGTTTTCACTGTGTTTGTTTCGATGTTTAGGGACTTCTGGGTGACCGAGGGCCTCCAGGGCCACAGGGCCCCAAAGGAGTTGAGGTAAGATCAAAATGTTATCTAGTCAAGAGATTATGTTTCAAAGAAAAAGTTAGGAGAGGTAAGAGGGTTAGGCAACAATAGCTAGGTGTGTACAGTGTTGGCATGCAAAATTTGAAGTTTCTTTCGTATTTTGGCAAGTGTTACAAAGAGGTTTTAGCAGCTTTATGGGGCTGTCCATCCATTATGGGGTTTATTTTAGTTATTTCAGTGGGATCTCAGGTAGTACATGTCCAGAGTTTGATGTGGTTCTTTTAGTTAAACTGGGGAGATGGGGGGGGATTCATAGTATGGAAATAGAAAGCGTATATCAATTTAACTATCAATAGTGTCCTAGATACACTTAAGTAAACAGTTAGACCCCTATTAACTGAAGGAGGAGAAAGGTAGCTCTTCATCTTATAGATTCATTGAGTATTCTTAATTTGTCATCATAAAAATAAAAGCTTACGTCTCATAGGCTAAAAATAACATTAGAAATTATTTATTAGTGATTCTGGGATAGATCTCTAGACTTATAAATACCTAAATTATGGGCTTCCATGACAGGTATTGAGTGAGTAAAAGCTAACAGTGGCAAAATGATCTGTTTAGTTAGAAGCCAGGAAACAGGTAGAATTTCTTAATTCCTGTTTCCTGTTGCTTGTAATTGAAAAAGTTGTGTACCACTTCCTCCAAAACTTGGAGAAAATCTCCCATATTGAGGAGGAACAGTGGACCACAATTGATACTAGTTCGTGCTTTAACTATGTAATGAGTGAACCTTGAAGAGTTAACACTGCAGTTCCACATTGTTCTTATCTATATCAGTGCATTGCACAGCACAGGCAGTGTCTCATTTCTTCTCTTACACACCTGACAAGCCTGACCCCCAGCCCCCCCTCCATCCTTGAGAAAAGATAGGGGTTAAACCTTGGCAAAATGCCATAGCAACATAGAAGACAAAAGCAGGAATGTTCCCACTGCTTTTATAGTCATTAGTGTCAAATGTTGCTACAGTAGAGTAACTGCAGGGCAGACAGAGGTTGGCCCATCATTGCTGAGTCTCTACCTGCTCAAAATTGTGAAAATATTGCTATCATGGTAGGTATACCTACAGTTCAGCCCTTCTCATTGTTTCTATCAGACTTGAACTCATACAAACACATATGAAGTAAATTTAAGATGATAAAATAAATACAAACAGTTATCTGCAGAGTTTCTTTTTTTAAAATTAGACTTGACATCAAGATCATTGAAGTCCTGATTTCTTTTAGGGAGAAGTAGGACCAGCTGGACCTATGGGAGGAGTTGGCCCAAGAGTAAGTATAAGTAATTTTGTTAGAGGCAGGTTTTTTTTTTAGTAGGAAGACTGCTTTAAAATGTAAATTTACTGTGAGAAGTGACTGTGATAAAATGAGAAGTGGTTTTCCATCCAAAAAATTGTGCCTCAAATAAAATTTTTGAAAAGGAGGAGATAAATAACAAACTGCTTTGAAAAGGAGGAGATGAATAACAAACTGCTTATGGTGCTCCTCTAAGACAGATGAAACCACCATGCACTTCCTAGGGACTGAACCGGTTTGATATATCAAAATATTTAAATTGGGGAAGAAGAACAACCCACCCGACTCACAGGGAGAAATAAAAAGGAGGTATGCTTTAAAAAGTCTACCAGAAACCTGGTAGATAGTGAAAAAATGAAAGCTGGAATGTCACAATCCTGTTTATGCTGACATGTTTTAAAAGATAAAAGTTTAAAACTAACATCCAATTTCTTTGTTACTTATAAAAATAAACTAGTGTCTGTGAGCAATTTAGTGGCCTTGAAGCTTATTTTTAGAAACATTCTAAGCTAAAATGAATACTGGCCTGCACTAGGGATTACAGGAGTGTCACTAAGTTTATTGAATGCCATTTTATCTTCTACCTTTACTTGATTTGCTTATATGTGGTTATCACTGGCTTGGTCTTCATTCTGGTTGACTTCCATTTCTTGCATGAACTTGAGAAAGTCTTTTGCACTGTTTCCTGCTTTTAAAGTGAATATATACCTATGTAATTTTGACATGATGATACCTGTGTAGTTTTTCTTGTTTGTTAGCTAGTCAAAGCTGGGTATTTACTTTATGTTGGAAATAATATTAAAACATTTTTTTGTCACATAGATTAGGTGTTAAAATGAACAAACAAACCCCAACCAAAACAAACAAGTGAAAAATCCAAACACAAAACCTTCCCATAAAAGTCTCCTTGTTTTTCAGATGAGGAAAACATGCAAAAAATTAAACAGAATTTCAAAACACTCTGTAACTTAATTCAATATTCAGTTGAATCTGTCTGAGCTTCTGCTGAGAGCCTCAAATTTTTGTTTTGGCTACATCATACTTGGAGTCTCCTCCTTGGGCAGGGCTTCATGGCTAGACAGCAACCCAATGTTATGCTGTGGCAATTGGAAAAGAATATGTTGTAGTGGGTGACTCATGGGCAGTAAGACACCTACTCTCACATCCCATACGTCATCGGGCATGCACAGGCCACCAACAGCTCATGTCAAAGTGACCCAAGAGGAAAATCTTCTGTGTAACCTAGCAAACTGAAATGTTTTTAATCTATTTTAGGTCACTTTGACCTAAATTATTTTTGTTTTTATTTCTCTCAATGGGAGATGTGCACACCTTTGGCATGTCTTATGGCTCTCTGGTTTCTCTCTCTCATAGCAAATTGTTGAGAGACAAGTATGTGGATCTGAGGTGGGCCCCAGGGTTGCTGTCTCCAGACGTTGTTTAGTAGCTTGCTGGCCAACATCCCCTCCTGAAATGAGAGGTAGGGGAAAAGGGAATTTTGCTTGATGGGCAGGCCTGCCTATTTTTCCTCCTCATCCAGGGGCCCATCTGCTTTTGCCTGGATTCTTTGGCTTCTGTTGTCTCCAGCTGTTTCACAGCTCCAGGCCAACTTGTTGGCTGTTGCTCTGAACTCTGCTCCCACCTCTGGTTGTCCTTGCTACTTCGCTCCCACATGTAACGTAGACTGTGTGATTACACTGGAGAGAGAGTCACAATCATGAAGTTGTTAAATCTGACATAGTTTACCAGGACTAGTCAATAAGCTACTGAACACATCTTTCTTTTTAAATTATGCTTGCTTAATTGCAATTTGACATTCATTTGATATACATAGGCTTTTTTTCCAATTTCCATGAAAGGAGTATAACAGAGTGAATGCTACATCTGAAAGTAAACACTATCAAAATTGTGTTGTCACTGCACTAATTCAATAGCCATGGGGGCAGAGGAGGTCTCTGAGAGGGACTTGAAGAGGTGGTCTGGCCATGCATGGCCCCAAGGCACCATCAGCTGTCTGCTATGTCTTTAGCTGACAGATGTGTTTAACTTGTCTTTTGCAGCCTCCAAGAGTTGGGGATTCTTCATTCTCCTCATCAATCTGCTTCAGTCGTTTGCCTGTTTTACAGACTTTTTTCTAATGTCTAACTGCTCTATCTGAAAATCTTGCCTGTGCCTTTCTCATTACGACCTTGCTTCCTGCCCTACAGACCTTATTTGTGGGCATGGTTAACACATTAGTCCCCTTTTCAGCCGCTGTTACTTTGACTTTTCTAGGATTTGTCTAAACTGGGTAAAGTACCCTTGCCAGTGATATACTCTGCACCTTTGATTATTCTTATGAAGCAGTAATGGAGCAGGTTTCTAGAGCTTCTGGAATCCTCATCTCTTCTGCTGTGCACTTTTCAGGTCAGAGTATTCAGCCCCCAGTTCAGGTTTAGGCATGCACCAAGCAGACAACCATAAATTTTCACCTCATTTTTCTCTCTTCCCCTGCCCTTGTTTCTAGCATTTGCTTTAAAAAACACGCAAAAGACCAAAAACCCCTGGCACCCACCTGACCAATGCTGCCATCAAAACAGATCATTCTCTGCAATGGATGATGAACAGAAAGTGAATATAAACTTGCACCCTGGTTCTCAGGTCCCAGCTTGAAAAAGAATTCCCATGTGTCTTAAACAACTGGAGACAAAATTGAGGATGCTCTCCTGCTTACTCAGGATGTATAATATATCAGTTCCACAGAACTCAGTCTGTTTGAACTTCAGAAGAGGTTTTCGAACTTAATCTGATGACGTAATTTGAGATTTAATTCATTCCTTCCCAAACCTTCCCACCCATTCTATTCCAAAGTCAAATACTTACATTCTCTTAAATTAATCCTTCTACATAAAAAAAAGCTGATTTTTTTTTTTTTAGTATTTGTTTATTTATCCTGCAAAAATACAGTGGATGCCACATTAAAGAAGTGGCTGTGTTTATGCAGTTTCTTCCCAATTAACTTTCTCTCTCAAAGGCTATCCAAATATTAACACTAGCTGTCAGTGTAGCTCAGCTCAGTCACTGCAAGCATTGGTGCATTTTATTAAGTTTTTTTGTATCTTCATTGCTGGAGCAGAAAATTACTTTAAAAGAGTCGAGATTTGTTTTAAACCAGAACCTGAACGGAGACCTGAGTAGAAGTCTGCAACTTTCTCGTGAGAGGAAGAAGAAGGGCAGACACTGATCTCTTCTCTATGGTGACCAGTGACAGGACCTGAGGGAATGGGCTGAAGTTGTCTCAGGGAAAGTTTAGGTTAGATATGAGAAGAAATTTCTTCCCCCAGAGGGTGGTTGGGCACTGAACAGGCTCCCCAGGGCAGTGGTCACAGCACCGAGGCTGCCAGAGCTCAAGGAGTGTTTGGATGATCCTCTGGGGCACATAATGGGACTCTTGGGGATGGTTCTGTGCTGGGCTAAGGGTTGGACTCAATGATCCTTGAGGGTCCCTTCCAACTCTGCATATTCTCTGATTCCGTGATAAAAAGGAACTGTTATGAGTTGATTCCTTTCTGAGCTACATGTTAAAGAAAAGCTGGAATTCATATAGTCATCAGATGAGCAGTTTCTCCTGAAGATGGTGGAAAATGCTATCAAATCTACCCCACTCCTCCAGTGCAGTATTTTTCTGAAAGTGCCTTCCTGTGGGCTGAAGGCTTGTGATGAGCTTATGGAAGGATAGAAATAGAGCTATTGTGAGAGATATTTATATTAATATATACACACCTGTACCTACCCATTGTGAGGGGAAAGGAAGAACAGGTGGTTGCTGTTTCCTGAAAAGGGAAGGCTAGAACTTTCAGCTAATATTTTAGGAAATAGACATTTCCTTTGGGATTACCCTGCCTTGGAAGAGTAATTTTCTCAGGGGTTTGCAAGCAGAAAAGCAGCTATCCCTAGTTTAACCTTCTGTCAGTGGCTTTTCCTCCATATATAAATGTATTGTATTTCTGTTTAAAGCCAAATCTGTGTGGTTTTAATTACTTTACCAGTTAAACCCACTTGTTCCATTTTCTAATCAACTTCCATCTGTTGTGTGTTCCTCATAGCTAGTACATAAATGGGAAATGAGCCAAGAAATTGTTACAAATTGTAACTCTGATTCAGTTCTCATAGGACTAAAGTTATCGAGGTAGTTAATAGTGGCCACTAGTTTTCTTTCAATGAATTTCACTTGAAATATTTTTGTTATAGTCTTGCTGTCTAGAAAGACCCTAAGGTTCTTTAGAGTAAAGCAGTTAAACAACATGTAGTAACCTGCAGAAGCCCATCACTCGTTCTTTGTTAAGCCTTGTGGAAAGACATGACATGCTTTGTCTGGGTCTCTTCTCTTTGTGGTCTTTTTACCCTGCATTCCTGCATATGCCATGTTTTAATCCATTGGCAAAAAACAAAAATATGTCCCTAAAGTGGTTTTATTTGTTGGAACTTGCTGGGCAAAATGAAATCACTCAGGTAGGCAGAGAGAATGAGAGATGTAGAAAGGGATTAATAAGAGAAGTCATGGAACCTGCTAAGATAATATGATTTTAAGCCATATGGAGAATTTCTCAGATGCCCAGAAACTAACACGCACATCGTGCTCTGAAAGACAGACACAGAGCAGCGGAAGCAAAAGAGCCAAATGAAAAAATGCCTTCTTTTTTTAAGAAGCCTGTTTATTACCTGTTGCTTTGGTTGCTCTTGTCTCAGGACAGCTGATGTGGAACAGAAAGCTCATTAGAGGCTCTGGTGATTGCAATTACTCGGTTTGGTGGAACAGCAGCTGATAATTTCCTTTTAGCAGAAATCTGCACCTTTTTGATACTGAATCATTAAAATGTTGAATTCATTTTCTTTCTCCAGTTGTCAGCCTTCAGTGACCTCATTAGAACTTGCTCAAGAGCCTGATCCAGTCCATTAGACCTGTACTTCTGGACTAGGGCCTTTTCCTCAGAGCAGATGGGGAAAGCTTGTCTAGACAGGGCTGTGCTGTCCAGATAACCAAAGGGTTGGGCTATTCTTGATGTTTTAGAGGAAGTAAAGTACACCTGGAGGGAAAATAACCTCCTGAAAGGGAGACATAATTACATTATAAACATGTAGTTGAAAATTAAGAGGGAAAGCATTCTGGTTTGTATGCCTGTGTGGGTCTGTAGGAGTGACAACAGAGGGAGGGATTAATGTTATAAAATGCTTCAAAGATTTGGTCACTTTGTGGCCTCCTGCTCTGATTGATGTTGCTGTATTTCTTCCAGCTAACAGTATGTTATTAATGCAGTATCATAGCAACGAGAACTATCAGCAGCAAAATGCTAGTGGAGAGAGACGAGGCTTAAATTAATCATCAATTTTCTGAATAAAGAGGAAAGGATATTGGAGCTGATTTCGTCTGGTTAAAGAAGGACAGTTGTGACACCAGTCCCTGAGGTCTGAATGTCAAATTCTGTTAGTGTGACTCCCTGTGCTGCTGGAATTAGCAGGAGAGAACATGGCCTTGTCTTTTTTCTTGTCTCCCTAATGTTTTTTCGAAGTGAAATTGAGATGCATTTCAATCTTGGACTGTGATAGTTTTTCCTCAGTGGTAATTGCTGTAAGACTTAATACAGATTCTGCTTACTGTTCTAGTATTCAACATAATATTCAACAGTTATTTTCAGATGTAGATTTATAAATCTTACTTCAAACTTTGGTATTAAATATTACTAAAATGTACATTTTTAAGTGCCTATATTTTGATAAACACAGAAATTGGGATGAAATTATCTTTTTTTAAAATAAAATATTTACAATATTTTATTCTAATCCTTATTTTAGGGAAAGCCAGGAGAGAAAGGGTATATAGGTGATCCTGGACCAGAAGGTTTAAAGGTAAATGATGGTTTTATGAATGAAGTAGAATATATTTGGAGGGTCAACTGTTTACAGTTATACACTGCCATATACAGTGACATGCCAGTGAAAGGATATGAGTACATGTTTCCACATAATATCAGTGTATATCATACTGGTGATTCTGCTTTCTTGCAAGATCCCATTTTGGAAAAGAAGGAAATTGTGCAGCTCTAGGAGACAGGGCTATGTGAACAAAGAGTGCACCTGCTAAAATGAAATCTAACTGCCTGGGGATATGAGGGTACCTGGGGGCAACAAGGGGCTCAGGGCAGTTCTTACACTGACAGGATTTTGGGGTTGTGAGTGAGGATGAGATGAAGTGTTGCAGTTTGAAAGAGGAGCTTGTGGCAGCAGAATTTCTCAGTGCTGAGCTGCAATCTGTGTAAACAGTATACAAATAATTGCTTGTCAGTTATTAAATAACTGAGATCATAATCATAGCCAGATAATTAATAGTGAATATACACCCAGCTTTCACATGTAAAATACACAGAAAAATGTTCCAGTTATATAACATAACTTGCAGCATTATTAAAAACTACAGAATTAATCTAATACTGAATGACAGTTTCCAGATTTTGGGGGGAGGAGGAGAAGCTTATTCAAATGCCAGTTTTCCTAATATTTCATAGCAAAATTGCAGTTATCAATAATGTGCACCGGCAACATTTACCTTTGAAGCAGTTGTGAAATAGTGAAGGTAATTTGCTGAAAGGAAGATATAAATAAAAAGTAGGGAGTTCATTTATAGTATTTGCTGACTTAATGTATTTAGTGAGCACTTAATACATAGTTTACATTTTTGTGGGCAAGTCCTGAATAGATTAGGACATCGTTTTACACTGACAAAATTAACCACTGGCAAAATTAATTTTTTATTGGTTGCTTAATTTTAGCTTTTAAAGTTTTAATTGGCAGATGTAACTTAGAAAATAAAGAGGTTCCTAGGAAAATAGAGCACTTTGATATACACGTATGGAAGAAATTACTTTTCTAATGTACTACTTCATCTGTTTTCTACATTTAACAGGGAGAACAAGGAGATCAAGGAAAGCTTGGAAAAAATGGTGTAGCAGTAAGCTTGAATTCTCTTTCTGGTTTGATTTTTAATTCTGTGTTTATTTGAGAGTGAATGAATAATTTGTTGCAGGAAGTTTCTGATGAAGTTTGCCTGCCTTTGAAGCTGTAGTATGGTAGTTATACCTTTGTCATTTTTCAGAATCATACTATTTAAAGAAATTTCCCATTTTAAGCATTTTCTTGAATTAATTCTGCTTTTTTCCTAATATGTTGTGTGAACATTGCAGGTGGTTGTAGGGATTTTCCAAGGCATGTTTGCCTAAGTGAACAAGTGATCCTTTTCCAGTTAAATCTTTTGAGAGGCTACATTTAGCCAGAGATGTATTTTGCAGACTTGTTCTATGTACCTTCCATAAAATCACAGAGCTCAAGATGACCTTGAGGTGACACGTAGTCCATCCTCTACTGCCTAGGCAAGATCAGTTATCTTGATATCATTGCTGAAAAATATTTGGCTAGCCAGTTATTAAAAAGCTCCAAGAATGAAGTCTCTGTGACCTGCAGGCAGACCAGGACTTTTCTATCTTTATTTTTAATAAGTTCTTCCAGTTGTGTAACCTGATTCCCTTCTGCTGGAAACAGCATTTTACAGATGATGGTTGTTATTGTGTGCTGCCTCCTTTCTTTCTTTCTTTTCAGGCTTAATGGTCCCCATTCAATTAGCCTTTCATGTTTCCTAGATAATGTAATTCACATTCTAACTCCCCTATAGTCTGCTTCCAGTTCATCTAAACATCTATGGCTCCAGCTTACTGCTCAAACTGTTCAGAGTACTGAGAGAAAGGAAAAATTGCTTCTTAGATACATACTTCTTGCATACATGTGCTCATTTTTACAGTGGTATGTTGTTATTCAGTTTGTGATCCACAGATCTTCTTTTTTTAAAGGCTTTATTCTCAGTTCTTCCACTGTAGGTGCTTTTTTGGTTGACAATTGTCACTTAAACATACCGCCTCAAAATTCCCTCTACTTAATTAATCCCTTGCCCTTCTGAATTTTTAACTTTTGGCTGGGATTTATGAGCAGATGTGAGCTTGTTGGCCCATGCTTGAGTTACCCAAATGGTGTGTAGAACACGAGTACATTGATTCTATCTCTTGAGTTAATGTCTGCTGAGAAGAGATACCACCCACTGGTTTGGGCTTAGTGCTGTACTACTCACAAATTCTGTTCAATTTAGTTGGTAGTCAGAGTGAGCTCACCATTATCTGCAAAAATACCAAGCAGGTGTACCCCAAACAGCTCATCGAATGTTTGGTTACTGCTGAAATTTTACAAACTACCTGTAAGACAAGTCCAGATCCTCTGTGCTTCTGAATATTGTGCCCTGGAGAAAGGGGCTGAGAAGTTAGACTCAGTCATTTAAAAGTATCTGCTTAGACAGGTACCAGTAGTGCCATGACATGCCATAAGGTCCCCTTAGAAGTCATCCCGTATTTCTCTAAATGTAGTGAGTATACTCATCAGCCACTTGATCTATAGCTTTGTTCAGTAGTTTATGGATAGCAAAACCTTCATTTTGTTAGGTTGTAATCAGAGATGTAAAGCATAGATTCATTTCCTCATGTTAGCATTTGGAAAATCTCGGGGGGCAGGGTTATATTGCCAGATGGTTGGGGAAAACACAGGCGAGTACTGGGGAATGAGCATGTGATCGAGAGGAGTGGGGCATCAAACACTGCCTTGCTTTTATAGAGATGCAGAAATGACTCTTTACTGGGACGCAGTAATAGAATCTCCTGTCCATACAACCAGTGTTTCCTGACAACATGTCACTTGCTTTCCCCACCACCGCCCAGTACTGCAGAAGATGAAGCTTTTATTCCATGGGAATTCCATTTTTTTTAGCCTGTAACATGTTAGGGGAAATTCATAGCACTTACTATGTTGTACAGCGTCACATGCACCAAAATTCTTAATAAAATACAACCCTAAGCTCAATCTTAAGTCACTACATTAATAATAGTATATAAAACAGCTAGTTACTTAAACTTAAGTTTCTGGATTTGACATGGATTTTTTTTTGCTCCTCAGTGAACTTGAATTCAGTGCACAAATTTTCCACAACTCAAATATTTTGTATGAACATTGTCTTTCACCACTAAAAGAGCTCTATTCTATGTAATAATTACTGGCTCAAACACATAATCAGTGATTATATGTTTCAGTGATGACAAATAAAATAATCATACCAGCTAACACAATGTAGTCAGGGTCAAGATGCAAGAATGAAATAAAATATTTGCTGTGCTGAACAATGGGATGTTGCAGCCCTGTTACAGTGTTATAAAGAAGCATAAGTATGGCCCATCATTAATTACCATTTCCCATGCTTAGTTTTTGGAGAATTTGCATGTGATACAGGATGACATGCAATACATGAAAACTGAGGTAGTTTCTAAGTTATTGATAAATATTCTTCATTTTTACTTGTGGATTTTGGAATGCCTTCTGCTTTATGTACATGTATTTTAATCAAATGAGCTTCATAGGCCCTTGATCCTGACATGTTACCTTTGTATTATCTGGCAGCAGAGGACTAGCGCCCACTACATGGTCTTTAGGAGGATAATATATATTATCTTTTCATTAAGGCCAATGGTGAAACACCAAGAGCAGGAGACAATCTTTGAAGCACACTCAACAGTACTCCTCAGACCTTTCAAAACCCCTTTCCTTCACTTTATTCACCACTGACATCTGTAACAATTAAGTTTTTCCTAAAAAAAAATTGAAAAGTACTAGCAGGAAGAGGATGGTTTTTCTCATATGCAGAAAACACTTTTCCAGATGTGAGTCCTTGTTCAAAATATTCACTTCTGTGTGCTTTGGACGCAGGTTTTACTTCCAGCTTCTCATCAGCTTCTGTTTGTAACAAGTAATTTCTCTTTCCCTTGGCATGCAGATAGAGTGCAAACTTATTAACTCACAGATAAATCCGCTCCCCGTTATTCGATATTGGCTCTGGTGACATGAGTGATGACTCCAGGACATCTCTGTAATCGCACATGCCACACACAAAACAAATAAACAAACAAACAAAAAGTTTGAAAAACAGAAGACAAGTAAAAGAATGAAGTATAAGGGCCACCAGCTGCTGGGACAGATTTTAAGATGGGGTCCAAAAGAAGGTATGGAGTAAGGCACCTGTCCTTTCTGATGCCTTGTGAATTTTGTGTTACCAGATGCCTGGTGACAATAAATACAAGGAGAAATTGTACAAATAGGACTAAACAATGTGCAGTTACTGTACAATGTCTTTAATTGTAAAGGGAAAGGGAAAAAGAACTTACTAAAAAGTTCATAATAAGTCCAATGTCTAATAAAATTCTGTGTGTGTGGGTTTTCCCTTCTGCGCCACCACCTCACCAACCCCTCTTTTTGTCTTGTCTATGGTTTGCTGTTTATTCGTTATCTTTATTGACAGAGTTTTTCAAATTAGAGAATATAATGCATACTTTTAAGCCTATGGTTAAAATATACAATACTCTTTTTGTATCATCTAGTAGGCAATCCATCACAGCATTCCAGTTTTCCATAAGATAACTTACCTTAATAAGCTGTCCAAAGAAGAAACTTTGCAATAATAAATCCTGTAAATGCTGAATTCATAGCAAATTATGCCATGAAGCACATGTGCATGTCTGCTGTTGATACTAAAGTGTTGCCTTCTTTCAATTTTCTTACTTTTCCTGGCTTTCAGTCATCTCCTGGCTTTCACTAATACATCTGCCACTGCTGTTTGAGGTGCCAAAGTAATTTCTTTTCTGTAGCAGCTTTCCCAGGTCAAGTCCTGCTTAGTATCTGCTTAGAAAAATACAGATGGCAACCCGGCACAAACAGGCAAGTTTCAATAGCAGGAGATTGGACTGTAACACTTGGTTATTCAGTCTATTAAGTTGGAATATGTCCTGAAATACAGCTTTGTCAGTAGGCTAGAAGCCACACCATCCAACATTTCTTAGGTCACATGAAGCTGATGATTCTTTAGAGCACACTTCTGCCAGAGTTTCTGGATGCTTGTCCGCTGTGGAAACAGAGCAGACTAAATTTATAAAATGTTCATGGTGCTCATAAGATTAAATGACATACATTTAATACTAGATCAGGAATGTGTCTCAAGTCAGACCTCAGACACTATTTCTTAACTGAGTCCTATAACAAAAACTATTTCTCTGGCTACAGCATATGTAGTGTTTCTTTAGAGGGGAAGAGGTGCAGGTTCAGGTGGGGCTGCTTGGCTCAGCAGAGCCCAGAGCTGCAGTAGAATCCAGAAGCTGCCGTTTGCTGCAAGATACTCATTTAATTGCAGGACCATCAGGTTCAATTGAAGAGGGATTGGTTAAGATAGTGAGAAGTACGGGATCAGCAGGCAGAGCAGATGTACACTGCTGATGAGAAAAAATCTTTTGGAAGTCATGCCAAAAGAAACAACCCCAACAGCTACTGAGAAAACTCTCCTTATGTTTTGGGGGATGAAAATCTCGTTTTCCTGACATGTGCAATTGGATTTTGTACGCTTAGATGCGATGCTGTCCAGTGATGGATCGCAAATACCTGAAAAAAACATCAAACATCTCATATAAATGATCTGTCTCTTAAAATGTCAGGGATTATTTAAGAAAATGATTCATTGCTCAGCTTTTATGACACAAAATTTAACTCATCTGAACTTGAAACAGTTGTTTGCCAGAATTGTTTTAGTGTTTGATAATGCTAGTGTTTACCCAGACTGTGCCACTCTCATTAACTAAGTGCAAATAAATTCCTATTTCACCTCACCACCTCCATTAAAGAACTTCGGCCTGTGGCCCATACACTTCTGAATTAGAAATCAATGACATTTATGCACAAGACAGAGTACGTGGATAGAACTGTCAGCTGCAATGTGTGCAAGTGGTGTCAAAAGGACAAACTTTTGACAAGAGTTCATTAACAAAAATCCTGGAAAAATAATCCTCAAAAATTACATGTCAGCAAGTTTGCCTGGTTGCAACAGGTTGAAACAGCAGGAGGAAACCAAGCTGAAATGAAAAGTGCTTTCCCTTGGAAAAAAGAAAAAAAATTACAGTCTGGCAAAGAAAACATAGTGATTTTCAGGCTGTCAGTGGCAGCTCCAGAGCAGGCTGCAAATGGTCTGTCTGCGAGAGTCCATGAACAGCATGAAAATGCTGCAGTCAGGCCATGTGCCTGGGAGCTGAGTAGTTTTTGAGAAGAATTACCATGAAGCAGATACTGTGTCTCCTGGGGAGATAAAAATTAGCTGGTTTAGGCACCAGGGATGCGTAATTCAGGGACAGTGGAAACTGCAGTTCCTTTTGCTTGAAGAAAAGATTAAGTGGGCTTTAACTGATGTTTTCAGGATACTCAACAGAAGGGGTTCTTTGAATTATCATGAAAAGTCTGGGCTTTGGGGATATAGGCCAAAAAGATAAGTAGGTTGAGGAAAGCCATTTTTTTTCAAAGACAGCTGAATGCATGGGGCATTGCCAAGGGCTTCTGAAGAAGGAGCTAGTTTAGCTGCTTTCAGAAACCAGCGGGATAGAGATTAGTGTAAGTTCTATGAAGGACTTAACAGTGAATGGTAATAATGATACTGTCTATGTTGTGCTTCTTGTTTTTACCCCAGGTGACCTGATATACTATAATTCCTGCCAGTTTTTCTCTTGAGAAGAGTGGAGAAAGAGGTTACAATATATGGAGGTTAGCTTAATTAAGCTGTTGCTTATTGAAGGATTTTTTGCTAGTAGTGCTCTTCATCATCTAATATCAGCTAGAGGAATAGTACCTGTACATGGCATCTGTAGAAGCTGGTTGTTAGAGCATCCACTCTTCCTCCTCCTGTCTATCAGCCTTGTTATCTTTTTAAGATAGATAGTTGGCCTGAATCTTCAAGGATCTTCAAGTAGATTTTGATCTGTTAAAATCAAACCTAAATGTTGCCTCATTTTGATTTTTTTGAGTACTGTGTCAAAATGTATGAATTCCTTCTTGAAGTATAAAGCCAATGGACTCCTAAAGAAATGCTTAAGTGTGAATCTTAATGTGCAGACAGAGATTATGATATTGCTAAATGTTGGATTTGAAGTGAAGTGATTCAGCACAGATTCAGGACAAATTTGTTGGCAATTAATTCAAAATTGCAAAACAAGTTAATAGAAAAATATTAGTGTGGCAAGATAATATTTTAAATTTACTTATGTCATCTCATTAAATAAATGTTGAATAAATATGTTTGAAAATGCTGAACTGTAAATGAAATAACATTGGATTGGATAGTTTTCAGTTACGATGGAAGAACATGTTAATGTACAACCTGGCAGGTAACTGCTTCCACAGGAATGTTTGGAACCAGCTGAATATTCATTTCTCACTACCAACTTTTTCAGTGGCTTACTCCATACTTTGGTTTGCATGAAGTGTACAATATGTTTTCAATTATTCAGCTACGGTCCAGTTTCTAACACAGAGCATATGCCCTGGCAAGATGGTTTTGTCTTTCTCAGGCATGTGTTAGTTGTGAGATCTAGTCTCTGACTCATTTTCCGTAAAATGCTCCTGTCAGGAAGGTTTCTAAAATGCTGTTATTATGCTGTTATTGTCACTAGATACTTTTACACAAGTCCTTGTAAATTTGATGACTATTTTTTTAATAAGGTGCTTCAGGGGTTTTTGCCTCACTTTTCTGTTTTCTAATACATTCAATTTTATGTTTGAAATCCACCACTGCTCCCCAAGGGATTGGAGGGATGCTGGAAGATACTGATTCAACAAATCTGCTTTGAACTGTATTAATTCTCTTACATAAGAAGGAGAGAGAGTTGAAATCTCAATGTAGTCTTAGTAGCTGGTCTTTATAATAAGCCAATCCAAATCTGGGATTTAAAGAGCCACATGACCTTATGGAAAGTCTGTAGGGAAAACATCACTTTATGGCTAATATGTTGATGAAACAAGATGTTTTGCTCTCTTTTTGCACTATCACTGAATGCTAGTGTTTTAAGGACCAAAATTGTATTCCTAACTAAGCTTTTTTCATTTCTTGCCTCTGTAAATACCTGCCCTATTTTTTCTCAGTCTCAGACACTTTTCCCTCTGTTTTGAATGGAGCGGTGGAAGAGCATTCAGTTAACCTGTCATGAACTTTTTTCCGCTTCATACCTCTTGAAGTCTTGAAGCATTTCACTGGCTTCGCTTCTAATCATCTTGACTAATTTTTTCTTTCCATACGTATCCAATTCCAGTTATGCCGTTTCTTTTACATCATTTGTATTGATGAAAATCTCTCTTCTTTGTGTTTGCTTTTTTTTCTGTAAATTTTCTTTACTAAACTACTTTCTTTTGAGGAATAACCAGTGTATAGGAAACTTTCTATTTAATAGCCAACCTTTGTGCTCGCTCTGGAAGGTGTCATAGGCTAGCCCTAATGTGCTAGGTGATACAACAGCACATTCACAGTCACTGCTTCCTAGTCATTCCTGTTCTTTCAGCCCAGAGCAACCAAGTTAGGAAGACAATACTTTTAAATTGAAAAGAGGACTTGATCAGAAGCTGTATAGTAAATGGTTCACTGCTGGTGCAAGCCACAACTCCCCATCTTTCTGATCAGCATCTTCAGTCCTGTGAACAGTGTGGCATTGGCTGGGAGATAGGAGTGTCTCTGTGGAAAGAGAATAGGTCTGAGTTTCTTCTTGGCTCTGATTATGTCTTCTGTCCTTTCTGGAATAAGAGAATCAAAGTGATTGGTCTTTATCATTTTGAAACTGTATCTCCATACCTCTTATCTTGATAAGCAAGATTACAGGGTAATTCTTTGTCTCTCAGATTTCTGCCTGGCACTGAGGCCCACTGTTGGCTGTAACTGGTAGCAGTGGTAGCTCTCATTCTCAGAGTTCATCATGAGAGTCCCTCATTCCTGCCAGTGATGTCTGGGCCATTGCCTTGGTGCCAATATCACCAGAACTAATCTTTTACTGCTGCCAAGCCAAGAGACATCACAGTTCTGACATATAATACACAGGTTCCCACACATAATACATCAGTCCAGAAGCCACAGAGGTGCCTGTTTATCAATTTAGTCCCTTCCAAAAAGTACTTTGTGCCAGTATTGTCAACCTCAAAGGCAGCTGTATCGATGGCTCATTGTATTTATATTTAAACTATGGGATTTCCAGAGTAGCTAGCAGTCCAAGAAAACAAGTAATCATAAAACCTTAGTTGCTTTGTACCTGTTCTGTTAAAGTACTTGTGACTGAACTATATTCAAATTATAGAGATAAAAGCTACGTTTTTTTTTAAATAATGCTTTTTTTATAAAAAACCCCCACACTTAAGTGCCAGTGTGGTGCTGCTTAAGCTAGTTTCTTCCTACACATAGAGGTAGCAATGCCAGTTGTGTGAATTGGTATTTTATTTTTGCTTTTTAAAGTGTTTTAGACATAGTGCAGTTGTGAATTATGTCAGTACTAGGAGCTTCCACATTTCTGCCATGTTTCAAGAGCAGTCATGCAATGTACTCTGAGAACTTAGTGCTTTTAGTTCAATCTCAATGTATCATACTTTTTTCACTTGGGACTTTGCACTATAATTTCTTTTTCTTTTAGGTTTCATAATAAATTAGGTATTGCAAGCACTGGGAATAAGCTTTTTAAAAGTACTTCCTCTCATGCTTCCCATATGGTGGTACTTGTTCTATCCAGTGGAAATTTGTGGGAGAGCCTCAGGAGAGAGTTATTTCATTTTGAATGACTGAAAGGCTCTGACCATCTGACTTCAAAGGCGTTTGGGGCTACAACCCTTGAATAGAAAATTCTGACAATACCTGCGCTAATATAATTTTTGTTTTGACTGGATTTTACTTTGTTCCACTGTATTTATTCCCCCTAAAATTTGTGATCAGATTGAAGCACTAGCAGAGCGATTACCACCTTTAGTTGTATGTTTGTAAAGCTTCTGGCAGTGCAAGACTGAGCTCAGGGGCAGATCTTAGGTGGGAAGCATAGTATTGTGATTAAGTTGATGTAATTTCTTTTCTAGCAATAGCCATGTTAATGTGTCTGGGTGCAGGGATTGTAAGCCAGGACAACTTGTGCAGCCCTCACTTTCCCATAGGTGCACTTACACAGATAGAATGAGGGTTCTCTGGGATGAAGAAATGTGCCATGCTCTATTGCTGGAGAGCTGTCAGCCATGAACCACTATAGTACATTGTGCTAATAACAGCGTGCTTTCTTTCTGTGCAGGGATCAACTGGCTTACCTGGAGAAGCTGGGCCATCTGGAAGCCTTGGTGAAAAGGTAGAATAATGTGTCTGACTTCTCAGCAGCAAAAATCAGCTTTGAAAAGCATTTTAGTGATAAAATACTGGTGAGAGGTCATTTAGTGACCACTGTTAGTGCTAATATTCCTGTAGCTATTTCAGTGCACAGGGGTGTAATAAATGGTAATCCAAATGCCGTTATTTGAGGTATGTATCTCATAACTGTGATTTTACTTCACAGTTAATTTAGACCTGATAGATTTGGTATTTAGATTTGATATATTATGTCAGCTACTTTACTATTCACTGCTATTGATTCAGAGAAACTGGCATAAATCATACTTGTTTTATACAGTAGTCGCTGGTTTTGCACTGCTACATAATGAAGACAAAAGTAGAAAGGTAAAACTTGACTATGCATTAAATGAGTAAAAAAAGATAAGATTGTTAGTTTTGTCTGCTGTGCAATAACAGTTGTGTTTATGAAAGCAAAGTTTGGCAGACTTAATGTGACTAGAACAGTATAAATAGCTTAAGCATATTTAACATGGTTTTATTTAGGTGGAGTATTTTAAAACTGAAAAACAGGAAACTATTACTGGATGCATGTCAGCTTCAATTATGATAAAAACATAATTGTTTGTCAGAATGATCCAGCGCCATTTGTATTTCTTTCCTGCAGGGCTGAATTATTTCACCTAGACTGGTGTCTGCTATTTAGATATTTTATTGAGAAAGTCTTAATATAATATTAGAATTTTCATGAAAATCTGATTATAATTTATATAATCTGTGAAAGGAAATAAATCAGTGGAAAGCACTGCTTGTTAAAACTAAAATTTAGACAAGTCTCGTATGGTTTTAATCATAGTATCATCCTTCCATGTCAAAGGATTCTTGTTCTTTAAAATTACACTTGGCCCAACAAACATTACCTTGTGATACTACTGCTAGTTTAGCTAGGAGGGAAAAGGCAGCAAAAGACTAATTAATTTGTCATCAGCAAATGGAAGGAAGCTTTTTCATGGTGCAAGAATTATTGCCACTGCTATGCTATTTCTGTAGAATTTATTGTCTTTCTCTTTCATGGATTAAATAGTACAAGGTAAACATGCTATGTGGATTTAAAAGACATATTTCCAGCATAATTACAGTATGCAACATAAAATATAGTGTTATTGCTGTGTCATGTGTACTATATGCAATAAAAGTGTACCCTTTTGAGAATAATCTACAGCTAAATCTGATATTTAGGCTGGATGTCACATGATTAAAAGATGAAAAAGTATGTAAGACAAGAAAGAGACCCTTCCTGTCTCTCCTACTCGAATTACTTTTGCAGCTGCTGAGGGGCTGGCTTTGCTTTTAGATCTTTGCTTTCCTAACACATTCTGAAAAAAGGAGGGAGACAGGAACAAAACTTTTGTTTTTCTATGCTGTCCTGAATTTTATAGATTAAGGGACATAACTAATATGATGTACCCAAAAGAGAGAAAAAATGAATCTGCTAGCAGCTGTTCAAAGAGACTGATGTAGTACCAAATCTCTTCTTCAGTCTTCTAGGGAAAGGGAAGACAGAGAAACTCAGTTTTGTAATCTTTTCAAAATATGGATGGGCTTGTAGGAGGAAGCAGTGCAGAAATTTAAAAAAAAAGTTAAAAAAGGTCTCTGCACTGTTTATGAAGGGCAGTCCCTGAACCAACAGTGTTATGTACTGCCAGGTATACTCAGTGGATATGGAACAAGTCAAGGAAAGAGCATTCATTGTTATTTTTTTCTTCTTTTTTGTTCCTTATTTTATTAAAGGGAGAGCGAGGCAGTCCGGGACCTGTAGGTCCTCCTGGAGAAAAAGGTGTCATGGTAAGTTACAAGTAATGTAGAATCCATAATTATGTTACTTATAAAAATACTTTACTCTTCAAAACAGTAATAAATTCTCACCATTCTGACAGTGCAAGCCTTATGGTAAAGAGTAGTATTTATGATGCACAGTTTTACAAAGTTCCATTTAACAGCTTTATTTCCTCTATGGCAGTGATATTGCAAAGTGATCTGCTCAGTGAAACTGCATTTTATTATGTAACCAGCCTTACATAATAAATTAAAAGGAGGGAACGTAAAATAGCAATCTCCTGTGTAAACTGGGGTAACCCAGGTTATTCTAGTAGATAGACTAGTAACTAGCATCACCTCTAATTCTACTGCCCAGTACCCTTAACAACTCTGGGTGCCACTCTTGTGGCAACAACAGCACTTGTCCTAAATCAGTGTGCAGCACTTCATGCAGCATTGCCAAGCCCAGAGGCCACTGACATGTTAATATGTTGGGGTACAGAAGTGAAAGAGTGTACACATGTGCCCATTGTCACATCCGTGTTGAAGTTCTCGACAAAAAGTTCTTAGGGCTTGGGTTTGTGTTTGCTTGCAAGCACCGTGAGGGCTCCAGAATGTATAGAGAACACTTAAAGATTTCACTGCAAGGAGGTGCCAGGGAGTTTATATGCAATGTACTGCATCCTGTGCCAACTGACACTGATGAGGAATGAAATCTCAGTGACCTGACACAGAAACAGCAGATGTGGGCATGAGCATGGTGCAGTGGGTGATATTCTTGTCATGGAAATGGATATTATTACTGAATAATTGCAATAATTACTCTTTGGGCGTCCATTGGCAAGGAGGGGATCAAGTACCATCAGGCTGTGGACCAACTTAATGATCCATGCAGAGCCAATGATTTTTTAAGCATTCTGTGCTTCATTAAATCTCTCTAATCTAGTTTTACCTTCAACCAGCTGCTTTCAATCCAAAAAAATTTTATTAGGGAGATTAATAAATGAGGATTTATTATAATAGTATCCAGTCTAATAGGCTGCTTTTTTTCAACCATTACAAATGCTTATTGACGTATGTAAATCCACTTAAGTCACAGCAGTGAGAACCTTTTGCAGTAGTAAGTCGTCGTAGTCCTCAGACAAGAGTTGTTCTTGGCATTTGGTCTTGGCCAGTTCCACCCACGACAGGATGTGTCCATTTTCTGTTCCCACTGTCACGGCCTTCATGAGAGGATTTTGAAATTCATTTAGAACTCAGCATCTTTTGTTTCAGTACATCCCTGCCAGCTAGTGCTTGTGTGTGGAAAAACTTCTTAGGTTGCTTTAATGATTATTGGGATATATCCAAATAAGTATCTAGTTTTTAAACAAAATTTTGGGAATAAATTTTGCAAGATTAAATATGTTATTAACTTAGCTCCAGTTTTTCAGGTAAATAACTGGATTTATTATTTTTGTTATAATAACAATTTTGATAAAAGTGTTCTGTCTTTTTTCTATTTCTGTTTTAATTCTAGGGCTATCCAGGACCCCCAGGAGGCCCTGGACCTGTGGGGCCAGAGGGATTACCTGTAGGTATAGAGTGGTGCTTTGGTTTGACATAAAATGTACCTTTTTCAGATTGTCCTTTTGCTCTGCTGAAGTTAAGAATGGTTTCTACTTTGTACTGCTTGTCTATAAAACCATCATGAACATTTACCCATCCAGACACAAAGTCTGTTCACCTGCTCTTTATCAAGATGATTCATGAGAGTCAGGAAAAGTGATTATGTCATTTACTCATCCATTTAAAAATCACTCAGTTGAGACAAGTGGGGGAATAGAATTTTTAAGGATGGTTAATGATTGCATAACATTATTTTAATTCATTGATACCTAGTATAATTTAAAGATATTCATGATGTGTTTGGTTTCCTTGTTAATCAAAATAATTATATTCAAATTTTCTGTGTATAATTGTTATAATTTGTCTACCGTGAGTCCTCAGTACAGATAAAAACTGAACCTTTTAATTTTCATGGTTTTCAGCATAGCGTTGCTGAAATACAAGTATCCCTCAGAAATCTTAGGCTATAAACAAAAGTAATTTATCCAACAGTGACATCACAATTTTTAGTCAGAACACAGTTACATAGAGTCTCTTATTTAGATTTTTCTAGATAAGTTGTACTGACACAATTAATTGAACTGTGAGTGAAAGTGATTGATTTGTATTCATTGCATTGATTGTTGCTCAAGGTGCATGAACCTTGTAATTTTCAGAAATCTGTGTTTAGAAGACAATGAGTAATAAGTTTGTTTGATATGTAGGGATCTTCAGGGCCACGAGGACCATCAGGGCCGCAGGGACCTAAGGGAAGAAGGGTAAGCAATATTGCTCTTCCGTGTTACTTAGAGCAGAGAGTAGTGTGTCGCAAATACTAATCTGATATATAACCCATGTACAGTTGCTTCCTTTGAAGGTCATGGTTTATGCCTTTTGCCTCTATCCAGCGTGACTGAGAATGTTTTATGAAAGAGAGTCTCAGAACAGACCCAGATCTTCAGGCTCTTGAGAGTAGGCTCCCACTGAAGCCACTGAGAATTTTGCCTGCTCTCAAGGTCAAAATATCAGACTCAAAGTGTAATTTCACATAAGGAAAATATCTGAGGTGCCTTGAAACCTGGGGCTTTTCATCACTGGATTCAGAAAGAGAAATGTCAAAACTCTGAGCTCTGTGTGGCAGGACTTGGAAAAATGCATACCACAGTCACATACAGAAGTTAAATGGAAGCATATGGAAATTCCCCTTCATTGTGTACAGAAACTAGAACGTATCCCGTCTTCACAGCTGCAATCTGTGGGAAGTCTAAGAAGCACTGACCCTCTACTTCTGCACTGTCACAGAGTAGAATTCCTTCACTTCATAAATTCTGGCCCTTTCAGCAATGTGTTTGCATCCAAGATTACCCAGCAGCCTTACTTCTGTCTGAGAGTATCCAGCTGTTCACTCTCTAGTACACTTAGGAGTTCTGGCCAGCTGACGGCAGGCTGTCTAGGAGTCTATGGAGTATCTCTCTCTCAAGGGATTTGAGGAAATATGCCACTGAGCATAGTACTAGCACAGAGTTTCCTTAGCTCATACTTGACATTTGATGCACTTAACTGGAATTGTGTCGAAGATTGGGTCCTTTTGTGATGCACACTTTATTTTTAAGTGTTAATCTCATGAAAACACAGAGGGAGAACACCATTTTATAGATATTTCAGTGGCAGAATGACACTCTGGGGGTGGGAATATCTGTATGTAAGAGAAGGAATTTCTCTCCATGACCAGAAGGAAGAAATACATTAGTCAGGAAGACTGGCAGTGTAAGCAGCCATGAAGCCGTTGTTACAAGAACAACAAAAAGCATGCTTGATAATATGTGAGCTAAACCACAATGTTAGAGATTAGTTCTGCTTTTAGTTCATACTATAATCTCAGGCTAATACAACTGTAAGTTTGAGAGGAAGAGATCCTGTATCATTAGGTTCATTTCATGAGTGAGACCTAAGTAAAATTCCCAAAATATGCTAAAATTCTTAGCAGTTCCTATTCTTCAAGTTGATGTTTGGTGTTTCAAAGATCAAAAGCAGTAATTTTTCTGCTCTTACTTTCCTGGAATTCAGCTCATGAAATTTAGTTTTGAAAACACAGATAAATGACTTAGTGAATGGCCATAAATCTGGGGTCAGGCAGCAGCAACTTATGTCTCTAGCAGCTGGTAGGGTTGTGTATGCTGGCATGAAGAACCTTGATTACCTAAGGACATCAGTGCTTAATTTTAATGAGAGATATCTTTTCTACTTCTCACAGCAGGGAATACGGAACGTAGAAAACTGTGTGCATTTCAGGGTTATGTGAAATAAGTGTCCAGTGTGCTTCATGGTATATCAATAGCCGAATGAGGTTATCTACACTGTTCAAAGGAAGTGAGACTAAATTGATGCCATTTTTTAATATTCTCTATGTCAACCACCAAAAAAGAGAAGTGCCTACATAGTGTGTTTATGTTATTTTCACTCTTCTAGTATCTAGGAGACAAGATGAGAAAGAATAAAAAGAATTAATTGGTGCTTTTTTGCCTTCTTAGATGAAATTTTTCTCAGTTAATCATCCTAAAGTTTTCCATGTAAAATATTCCATTTTAAAAACAAAGCTGAACCCATACCAATGAAAAAATAGCAATCGTTTGGCAGCCTTACTCCCCAGCCCTGTTGCAACCTAATTTAAATAACAGCAGGCAAATCAAGTGTATCTCTCATTCTGTACTACCTATAGTAAGAAATTATACAATCCAACTAATCTGTGCCAATAAGGCGTCACACCATACTATTTATAGGAATGTTACAGTGTGCTTTTGTTGGGATTTTAAATTGCCTTTCCCTTGGATTCCTACCCTTTGTTCTGTGGCTGGCTAAAGGCAGGCATGGCTCAGAGAATCGTGCTGGTTTCTTCTACTTTATTTTCAATTCAAAGTTATATAGTAGAAGGTTGATGTTTTAAATGGTAGACCTTTTCGCTTAATTATTAGTGATCAGATCAGTTGCCATGGGCTGTCAATGTGCACTCCTTTGAATTGGAGATCTGTGTGACTAGCAGAAAGGTTGTGGTGTGTTATGTGTGTAACATGGACTGAGAATCTGTGCAGTCTCCTGACAGGTCCATTTCTCAAGCTCCAAGCTATGACCCTCTTTGTGATTAAAAGGAAGTCACAAGTGTTCAAACAATTCATCTGGTAATTATTAATGATAGAAGATAAAACCTAGAGAGAAATTTCTTTATTATGCAAATCTGTAAGATGAAAATATGTCTGTTTTCCTCCTTTAATATTTCATCTTGAGATTCCATTCCCTGATCAACCCTATGGAGGATGCCCAAAGAGAAATGACAGGTCACATATCTAAAAAGTCTGAGAAACACCAAAACTATCCTGCAGCTGCTCAACACTTCTAATTTCCCCCTTCCTATGTTGCCCTAGGTGATTCCTCCATAGCTCTTCCATGATCTTCTCTCCCCTTCTACACTCCCCCAGCTTAATGACCTGTCCTCACTCCATCTCAGTTTCCTCTTTTCCCTTCCCCTCCTGTTTTTGAGACATTTCAGATCAGGGGACAATAGAACTGCTTATCTTCTTAGATTTTCATCACAACCCATTTTGTGTATGTTATAGGTAGCAGTTACAGAAAAAGTGCAGAGCAGTAACCTGACACTAATTTGATCAAGATGTTCAACTTTCTTTTAAAATATGCTGTATAGTAATTCAATAATTGGGTTACGCAATTACATAATCGTAACGTGAGCCCAATCTGAATGTTTTTATAAAGGTCTCCATCACTTTTGAAAACACCATTAGTATTTTGGTTTTGATCTCTAAGCACATTGAAGTCACTAGGTTTTTTCCACAGACTTCAGTATTCTTTGGCTTGGAACCTTTCTCTTTGATTGCAGTGGAGCAGCTCAGTGTCATCTTCTGTAGCCTCTTTCCTCTAGCCCAAAAAAATGCCTGTAAATGTTCAGTCCTGGCCTATACCAAAACAAGAAAAGACACACTAGCCCAAGAGTTGACTCACAGAAGCTGTGTCTCAAACTACAGAGGCATCAAAAGTATTCAGACACCTTTTCCTGCCTCCTCTTTTTCCTTTTCTTATGGTTTGTGTTTCCTCGTGCTGGCCAGAAGTAGCAGTGGTGAAATACTGACAGATGAGTTCTCATGGAGTATTTCTGCTATTCCAGAGATTGTAATTATATATCAGCTCACAGGGAAGGCCTATTCTTGAGAGGTTTCTGTTTCAGAAGAAAAGCCTAAATGATTTTGGATACACACTGTTCCTGAGTTACCAGTCAGCCATTTTCACTTTTTCTCCAGAGAGAATTGGATGGGTTCTCATCATATGTTCTGACAGAGGTTTTGGAGTGGATCAGTAAATTCAAGTCAGAGAGAACAAAATTCTGGTATGTTTTTTCTCAAAATATTCAGGAGAGATATGGAAGTCACAGATATTTTTGCAGGGAAACTAATCTAAATTAAATCAGACATGCTTCCCACGGTCATTTTGCAAGTCCCTATTGCAACTCTCTGAAAATCAGTCATGATTGCATGCCCTTCACTGTAAACCCTGACCCAAGATGTAAGGTTCTCTGCAACTCAGAAATGCACCATAAAAACATAGTTCATTTTCCTCTAGGCACTGCCATGGTAGCGTACTAGTTCTCTCTGATGCCAGCCCAGCCCATATGTCACCAGGAAAGCTGTTATGTCTCATCCTCCCACTGCATACTGCTGTAAAGAGCTTGGCTCTGTCTTGATACTTATCTAGCTCTTCCTTTGAAGTGGTCATTGGTTTTAAGTTGTTATTAACTGGTTTTAATTTAATGTTACGTGGATAAACAGTCACGGGGGTTTTTTTGAATTATGGAAAAAACCTCCTAAGTCAGCGTGGATAAAATATTCTTTTCCATTTTGCATTTTCCTATTTAAGGATTTTTCATCTGCTTGTAAGAAATGGATATAGATTTGCAATCTTAAATAATATTTTTTGAATGTTTTGGCAATAATATTTGCTATATTGTGTTACAATAATATAACAGGTTATCTTTGTTCATCTATTGGTTATTAAAAAAATCAATTTACCAAAGATATTTTATTCTAACAATAGAGCAGTTCACAATTATAAATTGCTTTTAATCTTGCCTCAAACTGGTTTACTAATGGAAGAACTTTATCTGCTTGTTTTAAAGTCTTACTAGCGAGATGAATTTTTGCATGTACAATTTATAATATGCTAAAAAACAAGCACTCCATATAAACAGTCCTCATCTAAATTCTTGTAAATGTGTGTCTGTTGCATGCATACAAAGTGGATGAAAAAGGGAGCAAAAAATAACAGGCTGCAAGCTGGCTCCAACAGAGACTCTGAACATTTTGCCTACAAACTTTTCAAAAAATCTTTCTTGTTAAATTCATAATTCAGCAAATGAGAAACTTATTTTGTTCTTTGAAGCTTTATTTAACACTTAACATACAAAGAAAATTGGTTTTCATGGTACAAAAATGTTTCCCCTCTCCTAAAGTTTAAGTAGCATCTCCTTGATGATAACCAAAAATAATGCATAATTAGTATTCCAAATCACTTGTTCAATACTCAGGGGCCAAGAGGTCCAGATGGTCCTCCGGGAGAACTGGGAACAGAAGGCATTAAGGTGAGTGCTTGCATTACTCAGTACTGTACAAAGCACTGAGGTAGAAACAGATAAAAGAAAACAAACAAACAAAAAACCAACCCAGCATGGCAAAATCCATAGAGTTCCATTTAATTCAGAGATATGCAAATCCAGAGATTTGCAAATTTCTGCCTTTCCAGGTACTTCCTTATTATGGTGTGAGCCCATCTAAGCCTGAATCTGCACTTTCTGCGGTTACTCAGCATTTAAACTGACAGCAACTGTATGCAGTTTATCTACCAAATGCACATAGAAATCACACGTTGTTGGTTATTTATCAGGGAGAAAGAGGTGATCCAGGAAAGAAAGGAGTTCCTGGGCTCATTGTAAGTATCAGAGCTTTGTAGTAAGCTTTAACACAGTAACCACTAATTTCTAAGCTGCGTTTGGAAATTAGCTGAAGCCAGCATTATGTTTTGGTATTTCTCTTTGACCAGGGTAAAGCTGGAAATCCAGGAGAAAGGGGAGATCAGGGTGCACTTGTAAGTATGAAATTAACTAGTACTTCTGCCAAAAACACCCACAAAATCTCATACTTTGTTTGACACTCAGTTATGAGGAAGTTTATGTACTTCAGAGCAGCTGGAAAACTCTGACAGTACAGTTTGCATTTATTCATAGAAAGAATCAGGGCCAGAAGTGAGAGCAAGTTTGACATGGTCTAGTCTGCTACAAGACCAGTGTTTTCATGGATTGTGATCCACAGAATACAATATGATAGCAAATTGCAGCAGAAGCAATGGCCACTGTGGTTAATAGTGGGGTCTTAGAAGTTTGTTCGGGCTTTGTTTTTTAGTTTTATTGTAGTTTTAAGGATGACGGTCATTGTGACATAAAAAATTAATTATTTGATAGATTTTAGGTTAGATGTGTGCTGTCAATGTAGGGTTAAATGTACCAACATGTAAAATGTATATCACATGTATAGGAGAAAATTCCTCCTTTTAGGGCTTCTTTCAATGGAAATCTAGTGTGTTCTGTTTGAGGCTTTCTTTTACAAAGCAGGTTACCAGTCAGTCCAAATTGCACTGGATTTTCAGCAAAGAAAGAAGCAGGAAAACAGAAACAAAGCAGTAATAGTGGTGATTTTGTGCTGCAGTTGAGACTCAAAATGTTGGTTGTCACTATACTTCTCTTGCCTTTTCTGGTCGGATTTAGGATCTTGTTGCCTGTCATCTTTGATATAATGGGTTTTCATTTCCTCTTCATTCATTACAACTTTTAAATGTATTTTTATATACAGAAATGAACGAAGCAAAACCTCATTAGATTGAAATTATGTAAAATAGTACATTTATTGCAAAGTACAAGATACTGCTCTGGTACTCCTTTAGCTACTCTTTCTAGAAGAGAGACAGAAGTGCTATGAAAAAAGTTGAGCAGAGAGAAAAGTGGGCTGTGAACCTTACTGATTGTCTCAAATACAGCTTGTAGGGCAGTTTGTGCACACAAGCAGCACCTGGTTCTAAGGGGAATGACAAGGACCTGGTAAATGTTGGGTCAGCTGAGCTCCATGCGTATGTAAAAGAAACTGAGGCCGGATTTATCCAGGACTGCCTCACCTGCCACAGGATCTAGTGATGTCTCAATGCATGTCAACCAGAAAAAAAGGCTGCACATATTTCTTGGATGTTCCTGTGTAAGTTATTGTGTAAGCAGAAATAAAAGGAAGTGGCTGTTCACATAATATGAAACAGCTTGTTTCCAATGATTTTTTTTTTATTTTATTTTAATCTTCCAGGGTTTGCTTGGGCCTCCCGGAACCACAGGAGACAGGGGACCAATGGGAGAACCAGTAAGTTGATCCTTATGCCTGCTTAAAAGTTTTTTCCATGTATTACATGAAGTCCCTGGCAATTCAAGATCTCTTTTACCAAGATTCAGTATTGCCAGCTGTGGTTAGGAAGGAATTGTGGGGCAGTTGTTCCAAAACTGCAGAGCTAGAGTCTGCCTCCCTTGCTTAGCATAGCTTGCTCGTTAGGAGACCTGTTAGTCATATTGGGAAGCCCTGAAGTAAGGGATGCACAATATAAGAGAGCATGACAGAGTCTGGACCACAGTCTTATGTGGCTTTACACCACAGTGTGGTAGACATCTTTATTATGTATTGTGTAAATGTATGTGCCAATACAGATACTAGTGATATTTTTTTAGGCAAATATTAGAATTGTTATTCAGGAACTCAGGAACCTCGACTATTTGGCAGGTTAAATTTTCTAGAAAAAAGAGACTGCTATAATAAACCTCAGACATTCCTCTGCTGGATGGATTCTTGTTGCTGTGTCAAAGCCATGCTCACTTTGATGTGGCTAATATTGCTACAGAAGATCATGCAGAATCTGCAACAAATCTATGTAATGTGCTGCAAGATATAGCCATGGCAGGAATAATATTGCAGCACCATCTCTGGGGGTAAATCAGTTTATATAAATACAGTGAAAGCATGTGTGCTGCCCTAGTGGAACTTGGGAGAAGGCTGCCATTTTATATTGCAGAAGTCTAACAGAGTTGACAAAACTGTGTGTTTTCATTGATTCTGGAAAGCAATTTTGCACAGTAAATGGTACAAAGTTAATTTAAATCTTGAAAGAGAACTGCCGATATAAATTATATTTATTTTAGTATTTATTATTTTTTTCTAATATTATTTCTATTAATCCATAGGCTGACATGCTTACAGCAGGTCATTGCACATTTGGGGTATCATTTATTGTATCTTATCTTCATGTTGCAACATCTGAGAGACTTACAATGCAAGGCTTATATGTCAAATTCTTGCCATTTTCTGGTCTCAAGTCTGAATTTTCTTATCTCTAGAATGATCATCTGCCTTAGCTGAACTAAGTGGTCTGCTCTTGAGCAGCCTACAATTCTGTTGTGCTCATCATCATAGAAACTATATAAATTCAGTGTCAAAAGCAAAAAATTTATCCTGTGAACAGGATACCATTTTTATCAAGTGCTGAAAGAGTACAATGTCTTCACAAAATGGTCTGTGGAGTTAGAAAGAATGATAAAATGACAGAAGATGTTGCAAAACAAAACGCGTGGCTCTTTTTTCAGCTGCCTGTCCAAGCAGCTTGATTTCATCTTCTGTCATCTGGTCACTACATGAAAGCCAGCTGCTGAGTTTTTCTGGCCCTTTCACGAGTTCCACACAGAGCAGAAAACCCCTAATTGTTGGTGAAGGAGCAGAGAAATGTAAACAGTTAGAACTATTTTTATTAACCGGCTTGATCTAAGTTGCACTCAAACTTTATCTACCTGTCAGACATTTCAGTCAAATCCTTTGCAAATTACATGATGTTAATGGTTAAAAGGAGTCCCCAATACTGCTACAAATTTTTGGCTTCTGAAAATTTCAGGGGAAAGATAAATTACCAATCCAGCAGCCTTATCTCCATGGTAATGTGAGGAAATACTTGGCTTGTGAATGAAACTTAAGCTTTGTGACACTTGCCTAGTGGAATTCCATGGCATTGCTGCCAATGAAAATCAATGAACTTACTTTAGGACCAAGGGAGTTCTCAATGGCAAGTTAACTGCAGTTTTAGTTGTTCATGCTTAAATGAAGTTACAAGGTCAAATGTATGCATCTACTGAAATTCTGTAAGTCATGTGCAATTTACGTTATTGTCACAAGGGAAGAAAATACTCTCATTGTCACTGCCAGGTCATCAGGAGGAGCAAAACTGTATGCATAGTCTGTAAGAGGAAGTGAAACAAACTAGAATAAATATTCATTTAAAAGGCTTCTATCATTAATACAGGTAGCAGCATCTTTCTCTTGAATGAGAATAGTAGATCAACAAAATGTTTTGAATTTAGAATGTATTTAAACACAGATGAGTCCCAAAGTGGTAAATGGATATGACCTTTCTTAAAGTTCAAAGACCAATTACATCCAGAGGGCTGATTTGCCTTGACATACATTCATAGTGGCTATAGAATCAGCTGTAAGCAGGTTACAGGCAACTTCTACCCCCCAGCACAAAAATCCGACTCTGAAAGCCCAGATCCTACATGTGGAGAGAATTCAAACATGCTGCTTTGGGAAACAATCCCTATGTGTTATTGAAGTAAATTTATTACTTACATGTAAGGCTTATAATAAAATGCTCATGGTATAGTTACTGATATTACTAAAAAAGCTCAAACCTCAGTGACTGTTCTGTACAAATGCTGATAAATCCATGGCAAAGCACACAGTAGTTTTTTTCTGTTAATTCCACACCAGACTGTAGGCTTTTCCACAAAGCAAACCAGACAGTCTAACAAACCTTAATTAAACAAAGTCTCAGTTAATCAAGGGAAGAGCTTAGTTCAGATAATAATTTGGTTTTGGTCTAAAAGAAAGGACATCTGTGCTATTATTTGAGATTTGTTATTTCAGTGTGTTACGGTTGGCAGTGAGGTCTTTGGTACTGTAGGCCATCATGGGACTGAAATACACTGCTGGATTCAGGAGGAAAGACAATGAAATACAGTTCTTTATGCCAATTGGAAGAGTTGTGAAGAGACAAATTGAAGACTATATGATGTAATTTAATGGTAATTGAATGATGCCTCCAAAATTTTGTTTAATACCAGGGTCCAAGAGGACAACCAGGGGATGCTGGCCCTAATGGAGAAATGGGTTTTGAGGTGAGCTTTTAATCATTTATATAGCAATTACAAACACTCAAACAGCTGACTAAGCCTGGAAAATATGTTTTAAAATTTATTTTTTGTTGCCTGCAGCTGACTTAAATACCGTGAGCTACTGAGAGACTCTTACTTAAAACCGTTCCAAAAAAATTCTAAAATAAATAGCTTTTTCTGTTGAGAACATTGTCTTTGAGCATACATTCATGACATCTTGACATAAAAGGTGAATGTTTTTCTTGCAGTTAACAGTAAAACAACATTAATCATATGCCCTTGCAAATTGTAGATGAAGAAAAGCAGCTGCAGACAGCCTTCTTGCTAACTTCTGCTTCTGTTTTTTGCTTTGTTTTTAATATCTCATTGAAAGAAATGTGACAGAATGTATTAGCCACATTTGTAATGAAGTACCTGAGGGATAAGCTCACTTAATACAGAAGGGATTTGGCTTATTCAAAAGAACGTGCTTCCTCAGTCACACAAAATCCACTCTTCTGATTGACTATTAAAAAAAGGTTTATATGTAAACTTTACAAGAAGCAGTCTGATACCATTAACTCATTAAGGGCTGAAGCCTCCAAAAAGGGCTTTGTTCTCCAAAGGCTGTATCTACTTGGCTCCAAGCCTAAACAGTGATGAAGTTGTCAGTTAGATTTACAAAACATAGATGTTTGCTCAGCCTACTAGTATGATGAAAGGTTCAGGCTTAGTGTACTGCTGAGTCTTCAATATGTTCTGACCCACAGTGTATTTCCTGAACTCCTCCTATTCCCTCCTTTGTTTTCTTCTGTTGGGCTCTAAAAAGAACAAAGAACTGTGTTGTCTTAATTTGATTTTTCAGACATGCTTCTTTCCCAGTGTCTTATGTCATTCTTCTGCTTCAATTTTGGCTGTACTGTTTAGTTGTTGCAAAATTATTATTAGTGATCATGTGCAACAGTAGCTCTTGTACCGTACAGGGACCTCCTGGCCCTGAAGGAGAAGCTGGCCTACGGGGGGAACCAGGTGCAAAGGTAAATGCTGAAATTATTTTCTCTTGTGCTGTTTAAATTTTCAAATTTGCTTAAAAGCAAATCAGGGATCTGATTCATTAGCCAAGTAGATAGTGATACATGACATGAACCATTAAGAAATATTGTTATTGTCATGATGACTGCACTGTTTGTAAACCCTGTCATTGTTAGGAGTACTGATCTTTAAAATCTAATGATTTTTCTTGTGATATTACAGGGAGACATTGGACATGCTGGGAAGTCTGGAGAACCAGGCGATCAAGGTTTAAGGGTAAGTGAGGATGCAAATCCTCTTCCAAAACAGGAAAGTATGTTACAAATGAAATGCAGGTTGAGAAATCTTGATTTATCAGACAAATTCAATAAGAGGCTATTTTCTGATACCTTTTTTTTTCATATTGTAGCAAGTTAAAAAGTCTGTTGGTTGGGGAAGAGTGGCTTGTTCAGCAGAAATGGACTTGGGGGTGCTGTTTGACAGCCAGCTGGATATAAGCCAACACTGTGCCCAGGTGGCTAAGAAGGCCAATGGCATCCTGGCCTGTATCAGAAATAGTGTGGCCAGCAGGACCAGGGCAGTGATTGTCCCCCTGTGCTCAGCGCTAGTGAAGCCACACTTGGGGTGCTGTGTCCATTTCTGGGCCTCTGATTTCAAAAAGGACATTGAGATGCTGAAGTGTGAGAGAAAACCAACAGAGCTGGTGAAGCACAAAGTCTTGGAAGAAGCAGCTGAGAGAGATGTGTTTGTTTAGCCTGAAGAAAAGGAGGCTCAGGGGAGAGTTCATTGCTCTCTACAACTGCTTGAAAGGAGGTTCTAGTCAGGTGGGGGTTGGTCTCTTCTGCCATGTCTCAAATGAAAGGATGAGAGGAAATGGCCTTGAGTTGCACAAGGAGAGGTTCAGACTGGATATTAGAAAAAGAATTTTTACTGAAAGAGTGGTCAGGTGTTGGAATAAGTTGCCCAAGGAGGTGATGGGGTCACCATCTGTAGAAGTGTTCAAGAGACATCTGGATGCGGCATCTGAGGATATGGTTTAGGGGTGCTTATGGTGGTTCTAGGCTGATGGTTAGACATGATGATCTTGAAGGTCTCTTTCAACCTTGATGATTCCGCGTGATTCTATGATTATAATGTTGAAATATTTCTAAGTGTCTCATGTCTTTCGATCAATGTTTGGGCTCCATGATCTTGGAGATCTTTTCCAGCCTTATTGATTCTATGATTCTCTGTCACTGAGACATGAATGAGTGCTTTGAAGGTAAATCCAAGGGTGTCCAGCCCAGCTCTTAAGATGACAGCACACAATAACTCTGTGTATGGATACCCTGTCTAGGTGAGATAATGAGAATATTATAGTCTCATCAGAGTAGTGTGTCTCTCTGTACTACCATCTAAAACATCGGATTTGCTTCTGGTGCTTCAGCACTTGATTTTACCAAGCACGCCTGCTTATTCTTCCTGTGCAGACTTTATCCAGGATGCTTTTAAAAGAGGATGTAAACTATATTCTTTCAGAAATGAGTCTCACCATTGAACTCTCTTGTTCCATTGGCTTCTTGCTATCATCTTTTCCTTCTGCCCAAAATACACCAGCTAGGTGCATTGCATAATTCTACCTGTCCTTGGAAAGGAGAAATTCCGATAATGGTCCTGATAATGGGTGTTCTGGACTTAATCATACCACAGTGTGTGAAATACTGTGTTATTAGTATAGGGCAGCACATATTTGCAAGTTACCAGTGTCTTTACCTGAGAAAGGCAAATATTCTAAAATGCCATGGTGCTGATAATGATGTTTTTTCATGCCCCTAAACTAAGTCACTAAACATAACAACATAATAGTTATCCACATAAACATGGAAGTTTCAGGACAGAATAGGTATATTTTTGAGGTTGTTGTAATTACATGTTGTATACTCTGAAACAAAAAAGTCTCTCCTAAGTCTCCAGTGCTATATGGACATAGCACTGCCTCATTTTTCTAATACTGATAATCTTTTATGTTTTCTTGTGTTGGAGATTCATGGGCTGTGGCACTGAAGATAAATAAACTGTAACAGCAACATAAAAGTTGGCCAAAAAACAGTAATCACATGTAAAACTAGTATGAGTTCTTCCAAGGCAATACTTCTATGTCAAGAAATTCAGTCAATAACTTTGTTTTTAACTGTTCCTTTCTATAAGGGTGAACCAGGACCTCCAGGAGAAGATGGTGTTCAAGGAAAAGATGGCACAAAGGTATGCCAAGTTTTTGTAGCAGATATAAAGAAGTGATATTAGCTTAAGAACCCAAATCTCCGTTTTTATCCTATTTCACCAGGTAAACAGAGCCCAGCTGAATGAACTTTGTTTTAACATAGGATGTTCTGTATATTATAGGCTTTCCTGTACCTTTTAGGTACATATCTACCCTGCAAGGGCTGCAAAGTTGAATAGGTTGACAAAGAAATGAGAGTTGGATGAGTGAGTACAGCTTATTTCTGTAGTGACTAAAATGCTGGAAAGAATAAACCCAAGGGTGCTCTGCTCTCTGAATTGGATCAGTGCTGTGCCAGGGACTGTGGCAGGTGCCAGGACAGAGGATGTAATAGAGAACAACCTCAGATACTTGGTCACAGGTGGGGCACAATGTGGCTGTAGGAGTGTATGAATGAGTTACAAAGGGCTTTACCCTAATTTAGAGACTGATCTGAATTTGAGAGACATCAGTTTTAGTGTGTTTTGTGTCAAATCTGAAGATTCAGAATTCACTTTTCTCATGAACAAGTAATTCTGTTGCAGCAGCTTGACTATGCTTTGGTTTTTTTGCTTTGTTTTAGGGAGACCCTGGAGACCAGGGACTTGTTGGAGAAGGTGGTGAAAAAGGAGAGATGGGGTTACTAGGAATTGTTGGGCCCCCTGGTGAACCTGGCATAATGGGCATTCCTGTAAGTGTTTTTAGGCTGAAGGGGACTTTGAGGTCATTTGCTTTTTCTAAGCAAATTTAATTTTGCTTGCTTCCTTTATTTTTTAATTTTCTGATTTTCAATGTAATTAGAGATGACAGTCTTGAAATAAGCTTTCTATGTGGTATAGCTTTTCAGGATTGGTAGAGAGAGGAGACATGCTTTTCCTGTCTTAAATCTGTGATGTCTTGGCAAATAGTGATTCCTCATGACTTGTCATCCAGACACACATACCACACAACCTGGAGCCTCTCACTTCAGATCCCTCTTTCATAGTCAACATTATTAGATCACTTGCGTGTTTGTTCTGACATCACTCCTAGCATTTAAAATCCGTCTATGAACTTGTATGCAGCTTCTTAATGCAAACTAATATTTTGGAGCACAGTTTCCAAAGCAAGTATTGTAGCCTCAAGTCAGACATCAGATTCCCTTACCAAAAATCATCATGTTCTCATTTGCAGTCCTCTGGCTGCTTTCTGTGTAGCTCTTATGTGATGGTGGAGTCTGAGTAAACACTAGTTGGAGGGCCAGCTGTTACAGAGCAAGTTTTGTTTCTGATGGAACTATACAACTCTGACTTTCTCTTTTGAGTTGGCAGTTCTGGAGACACTTGCAAGTATGAAAGTTTCATATATTGCAATTATCACAAACAGGTCAGCCCTGGCACATCTACACTGTGTGTAATTATACTTGTGTACAATAAACAACATCAGCACTGCTTCTGTGGCTCAGTGAGACAGGCAGGTCTGGAAATTCAATGTTTGGGAGGATGTGGTTAGTGGGGGATTTTTCACGTTTCTGTTCTGCATGTTCCAAAGGCAGCTGCAGAGCTGCCTTCCTCCCCACTCATCCTCCCTGGCATCTGGGAGTGATCACGTGACAGTTTTGGTTTGACCTCCTTCTAAGGGACGCAGACAGATCATACTATCCTAGTCTAATCATGGAAATCAGTTTCCTATATTCAGTTGTCTTAGTGTTTCATTGGGAGTGAGAGTAATAGTATATTTTCCTTAAACAGCAGCTTACAAAGCAACAAATAATCTTCACAAATCTGTCTGAACTATGTTTACCCTGGTTTATCACCACAGTGGCCCAAAATATGTCTCCCTTTAAAGCTAAATTACCTCCTGTAACTCACACAGCTTTTGGGTAAATTGAAACCAGTGAGCAGTGGACACATTCAGCCCTTTGGGAAAGTCAGTTTTGAAGTGATCTGGAGGGCAGAGGGGCTGTAGCTCCATAGTAGCCTTCATCAGCAGGCAGCACACACAGTTATGCTGTCACTGAGAGGTGGGCAGTAGTAGGCACCAGCACTTACTGAGTGAGGTCTCTTCTTCCCAGCAATTTCCATCAGGGCCCTGCTCTTTACACTTGACAAACCCAAGGTTCTCTTACTTTTCCTCTGGCTTTATATTGCATTTCTTTTAAAAATAGTGTTTGTCTTGAAGGAATTTTATTCCTAAAGTAATATTTTCTGTGTGGACAAGATTATTGGTTTTTTTCTCCTCTATTTTTAGTGCTTTTCCACTAGTTTGATAAGTGATCCCTGCTACTTGCCTACTTATTTCTGCTCTAACTTGAAACAGTCCTACTAACTTGCTCACAGCCACAGTTAACAACATTTTTTCTTCCACTTCCCTGCATTGCAAAAGCCTAATTAGTTGTCCAGTTTGAAGCACAGTTGAAACGTATTTCCAGGCCTTTCCCAATCATTTCTTTTTCTTTCTCTAATAAATCTACAGGGCCCTGAAGGAACACCAGGAAATCCAGGTCAGAGGGGCCGTTTAGGAAAAAAGGTAGTATTTTTCATCTTCCCCGGTTCCCTTGCTTTTATCTGAAAGTCAAATTTACATTACTAAGTTCCATTGAACCAAAACTATCCCTGTTTGATGTAATGCTTCAAGCCAATTTTTTTCAAGCCATAGCAATTAGAATTATCATAATTCTGCAATCAATAACATTCAGAACCTTAGGAAATTTAGATTTGTATCAGAATGTGCCTTTGCTACTCAGAACAGTTTCTGCTTCTATTTGTTTGGCCAAAACAAAACAATAGAAAGGCTTTAGCAGACACTTTTTTTATACGAAAGACTTCTAGGTTCAGATGTTCTAATACCTACAGTAAATGACATACAGTAAATGTAATACCTATTAAATAATACTGTTAAATTACACACTTTGATTAAGCATAAACCACGTTTTGAAACTTAGTGTCAATCTCTTGTTATTTTTAATACAATAACACCAACAGGGGGAAAAGGGGCAGCTTGGCCCTCCGGGAGAAATTGGACCTGCTGGTGATGCTGGCCAGCCTGGAGAAATTGGTCCCAAAGGTGCAAGAGGAACTCGAGGTCCCATGGTTGGTACAGAACATGCTTATTTAAGAGCTCATGTGTTTCTGTTTTAGCAGAATCATGTCTCTTCATGAAAAGAGGCAACTCACAGCTGTAGCACATATAAATATTTTTGAGGTAGCTGGAGGTGCAGGGAGTGTCCTTTCCAGCCTGTGTGTCCCATGGTCTTTCAGCATCAGAACAAGGCCTGTGCACCTTTCCAGACAGAAACCTGGGGCATGGATCTGAAAGGATTCATCTTATGCTTTGGTCCTCTGACAGTCAGAGGAGTGGGATGGCAGAGCACTCCATGGAATACTCATGCCCCACACTCCACATATAACCTCACTGCTACGGTTGTTTATTAAACCTTCCCAGTTCCAAAAACAGAAATCATGGGGTTTGCTGTAACGTGCAATAAGTCTTAGCCATGGCTGAAACAAAGCATTTCAGACAAAGACTGCTACTCTATTAAATAGGAATCTCATCCAAAGTTAACTGAATGAAGTCTGTTTCCATAATAAGCTCCCAAAACTTGCTCCACAGTGCGTGAAAGATGCACAGACACATCCAAGCTCCACACTAGAGAGGCAACATGCCTGTTTCAGTGATTCAGGACCCAGTCCTGTGGCCACTGAATGCAGCAGTATGTTCTTGAACACATGAAGTACAGAAGTAAAGTTAACTATCTAATGGCTAATATTTTTAAGAGAAGGATTCAACTTCCTAAAGTGATGATCACCCCCAGCTTCTCTTGGCATACTAGCATCTACAGAGCTCTACCCCTCTGAAAGATCAGATCCTTATTAATCTTAATTATGCACAAGGATTATAAGGTTAGGACTGAAAACGTTGATCATTTTTTCCACAGAACAGGGAAAAGCCCAGTATTGTTTAGTAAATTAAGTTGGACCTAACAAGAAAGTTGTGTGTGTCTCAAATGTCAGTATTTGAAGATTTTTCCAAGTGGTGACTTTATAAAGTAGGCATTGTTGTAACACTTTACAGAAGAGTTCATTTTTCTCTCACTGATTATTGCATTTAACAGGGACACCCAGGAGAAATGGGGCCTGAAGGAGAGTCCGGAATTCCAGGTTATGGGGTGAGTTTTTACTGAATGGGGTGAGATTTTACTGAATTCATGTACACACACATCCTAAAGTGATACTCTCATTTCAACTATCACTACACAAATGTAGACTGTATGTAGACTACACAAATATCTTTAGGAAAGACAGATACATAAGTTTATATGACATGTGATTGCCTACTCAGAAATGTTCGCCTTAAGGAATAGTGACTGGGTTTTGTGAGTTCACTAGCAGGTTTTTACCACTGATTTTAAACCCTTATTTGTCCAATGTATCTCACCCCTTGTGAATAAAGTTCCTATAAAACTACTACAGCTATTCATTATGAACAGAGTTCAGCAAACACCACAACCTCTGCTGTCTGGCCAGGCAGTTTCTATTTCTGTAACAGAAACTGATTGAATGAAGTTAGTTGAAGGACATAAATATATTGTGGCTTTCACTGAAAAATAGTCATGATTGTCATCATGTCCTTGACTGAGTCCTGCTCTTACAGACCATACTGTCCAGTCTCTTTTCCAAACACAAACATCCGTCAGTGACCCTAACCCTGAAGCAAAAACCAGCCCAGTTCCCCTCACCTGCCAGAACCTGTGATTTCCCACTGTGCACGGAGCTTTTCCTGCACACAATCCATTTTCTGCCTGGGTCCATTGTTTTTGTTGTCATATTATGATTTAGCATTATTGACAAGCAGAAAAAAAACTAAAACAATAGTTACAAGTAGCTAAAAGAAAGTTTGGAATTAATTATTTCTTTAATTATTTGGTTTGGAACTAATTTTAGTTTGATTTGGTTTGGTTCTTTAGGGTCACCAGGGTTCTCCAGGGCCCACAGGGCTCCCAGGCCCCAAAGGAGAAAAGGTATGAAGATGGATTTTATTTTATTTTCCTACAGTTTGTGAAATTATCAACAGAGGAAACTTTAGTGCATGCCCTCTGTTTTCGACAGCACACAGCAAAAGCCACCATTTGCAGTATTTGTTAATATTATGAGAGAATAGGAAAAGAAATGCAAACTGGAGAAATGGATCATTCAGAGATGGAGTCCCAAATTATACTATTAAAATGGTTGAGGTTTTAAAACACAAAGTACCCATTGTAAGAAACACATTCTATTGTATCAGATAGCACCACTGCTCTTGGTGAGCACTGCTGACAAAAATAATCAGTGCAGAACCAGCTAAATATTTACTTAACTCTAAGTCTGTGAGTACACCCACTGATCTGCCTGAAAGCCCAACTGAGATGGACAAATGTCTGTGGTTAATTTAAAATGTTAGGGACAGGATGTGGTCTCTGCTGCTATTTTAGTGTCAGATTTACTGTTGTTCTTTTAAGTCTCAAATCCTGCAAACAGATTTGTGTGCCAGCTGAAGTTTGTGTGACCCCAAGCAGGTACATGGATTCACTTCATGAAGATGGATTTGGAATTACACTTGACAGAGAAATACATTCTTATACTAAGGCCAGTTTTGCAATAAATACTGTTAAGAGGCATTTTTGGAGTCTTCTGTACACTTGTTTTTCTGTATTAAGTGTATTTCTCGAAATAGCGGAAGAAATTTTTTTTTCTCTTGTCAAATATCCTGTTTATGCTTTTTTTTTTCATTAAATAAAGAAATGATTACATGGAAATTGTTCAAATACTTTTTTTTTTTTTAGTAACTGCCTTTGAGAATAGAGCAAATACCTAGGTTTTTTAGTCCTAAATGCTTCTGGGACATTTAGGTAAATGTTAAAATGGAGTTATGATTTCCATTATATTAGAACCATAAGCATCATATTCACTTTTAGCATCTATACAGCATGCTCTCTGGTTTTTATTAGCATTAAAACTTGTGTGCATGGTAGACAAGGTTGAATTTCCAAGTTAACATTTTTTAATACTTATCTTTGGTTTAGGGCTACCCAGGTGAAGACAATACAGTCCTTGGACCACCAGGGCCCATAGGTGAACCAGTAGGTCTTTCTTTCTCAACCAAATTATATTAGTGCATCTTGAGACAGGAACCAATGCTGTTCTTTCTGAAGCTTTGTATCCCTATCTCAGAAGTCAGTACCCCCTTGCACAAAAATGGTCCTTTAACAGGCAATCTCTCTCTGAAAAATGCAGTTGTGTGCTCTTTCCTGCTTAAGCTTATGTGCCCTCTATTTAATTACACTAATGCCATTAGTCTGTGTGTAGACCAGCACATTTAGCAACAGAATTTTACCCTCTCTCTTTACCCTGAATTATACCTAATTGCTTTACTAACCAAAAACGTTTTGACTTATTTCATTATCACTGCTAACTAATTTAGCTGATTTAGGGAACTTTATTTTGTAGCTATTTTTGTACTAAATTCGTGTGTGGGGTATCTCTCTGCTGCAACTATGAACCTGTAAAAATAATTAAAAGCCATCTCAAAATCTTATTAAAAGTGTTTCATATTCAGCCTTTGATTGCGCCAGAAGCATTTCTTGTACAGTCTACTTCTCTTCTGATTAACCTTAATGTTTATACCTTGCTTTCTGAAAAGGCAGGACTATAAGACCCTGAGGTAGCTGAAGATAAAAGAGTCTGGACCAGGTTCTTAACTTAATTACAGTGATGCGTGAGGGAAGAGACTCCACCCATTCTGTTGTAGCCGAGCTGTCTCTGTAATGCTGACTGCTCAAACCTTGCAAGTGGGGGCCCTTTCACCTGGTGGGGTTCCCTGTAGGAAACATGCTATGAGGTTGCTGAAACTTTGGAGAGTATACAAGCAGTTGCACAATAGTATCTCTTGGTGCATATGCATTAGAAGTGACTAATCTAATCAGATGTGAACTGTAAAGATACATTGCAGTTAGTGCTGCCTGGGCACTTTCTCGTTATGTGCTTTTACTTAAGTCAGGTGGGAAAGAGGCAGTCATTTATTATTTCATCTAATGATTGGCTGGATGTCTTTTGGAAAGACTCAGCCATTCTTACTTTTTATGGGTGTGATTCCCTATCCTGTAATTTTTCCTTTGACTTAGATTTGGTGCATTTGCTACAATGAAAGTTAAAATTCTGGGGGAAAATCCAGTTTCTTGTGGGACTGGAATAAGGGCCTTTTCCTAAAGTAGAGCTAGTGAGGTGTCTGAATGCAGCAGGAAGAATCACATTAATCACAAAAATCATGCTATTTCTTCTACTACTGTGCAGCTCTCTCATGTGTGAGGCATGCTGAGGGATTGAAATTGCCTTTATATTAGGACAAACTTGAAGATTAAAGCAGATTTTGACTACAGCAAGTAATTTCAGAAGAGAACTCGATTTTTAATGTGCTGTCTTACAGAAACCAAAAGAGAGTTTTCCTTTCATTTCTTGAAAACAGAGTCTCTTCATTTATTTGTTCAGATTTTAAATTATCATATATATTTATATATGGGTATAAACCTGGAGAAGTTCTACTGAGGTCAATACTCCTATTTCATTTAGGCCCATGTAAGATTGATCTCTTAGCTTCTAGTCTTCAGTTACAAAATATTTTAGACAGTGGTTACTGTTTGCAATGGATTTTGTTTAGAAAAAAATCATGTTTATTCATGTTTATTCCTTTAGCCAACTTTAATATTTATATTCCTCAGTTCCATATCATTGGTTAGTCTGTTTTGAGAGAAATCCCAGCTTCCTTTCTGCAGCATTCTTTCAGTTCAGCTGTTATATTTTGCTCTTTGGTTTTTTCTCTAGGGTCCTAGTGGTGAACATGGAGATAGAGGAGAACCTGGTGATGAGGGCTACAAGGTAATACCTCTTGCTTTTTATTCTTTTTTTTTTTTTTAACATGACATGCTATGCATACATGTGGAGTAATGTAGCAGAAGTATCATCTCTCACAAATGCACAGAGATGTACTCACTTATTTACTTACGCCTTGCTGCACTGATGAACTCTTAAAACACTTTGGACCATCTTTCATATGAGAAGTAGAGAGCTGAAACTCATGAGTTGGAGAAGACTTGAATGACCCTACTGTGTATAAATACTTGATGGGATAGAATGAACAGGAAGGAGACAGACTTGTGCCAGTAGTGTCCAGTGACAGGACAAGAGGAACAGGGCAAAAACTGAACCACGTGAAATTCCATTTGAAATGGCTTTTTTTTACTGTGAGATGAATGAGCACCAGAAAAAGCTGCCCAGAGAGGTTGTGGAGTCTCCATCCTTGGAAATACTCAAAACTTGACTAGACATGATCCTGGGTAATCTTATCTACCTGGCCCTGCTTGAGGAGGAGTGTTCCACTAGATGATCTCAAAAAGTCCCTTTCAACCTAAACCTTCTGTGATTCTGTAATACTGAATGAGTTAACATTTTTCTCTGAAATTTAAGCACATTTTACACAGATAATACAGATAGACATAGTAATAAATGAATGAACTGACTCTATGCTTACAGAAGTGCAGAAATGTTTAAACAATATGTAATTCCCTCTTGCAGTTTGGAGTAGAGAATGTAAAGAATAAAAACTCCATAAGGTTTGATCTTGGACATCTGAACATACTTTATCTAGGTCGTATCAGTGAATTTGGGTCCACCCAGCTCCCCCCAGGATGGGCTTTGCAAGGAAGTCTATAGCTCTGGGTATGACAGACTGAGTTACTTGTATTGTAATATGCTATATTTTCTCCTTCCCAGGGTCATATAGGTCTTCCAGGGCTTAGAGGACCTACTGGACAGCAAGGGCCTCCAGTAAGTGTTTCAAACAAGTGAGATTCATCTATTGACTGTTGAAAATATGTTTTCATCTGCATTCAAATAATTCTTTTCATTTATTTAATTTTATTTTTTTACCAAAGGGAGAGCCAGGTGAACTGGGAGAGCAAGGACCAAAAGGAGAAAGAGGTTCAGGAGTAAGTCGAAAAAAGCAAAGCAAAATTGCACTTAATTTGGATTTGTACGTTTTTACTGTTCACTGACTATCCTTGGAAAACTGTTATTGAAGGCTAGAACTGAGTGTTTGGGTTTCCTTTTCATACCTGCAGGGAAAACAAAAACATAAAATGAAACATTGCATACTGGGATAGTAAATGTGTGTTATTTGATAGGTAAGTGGTTTGACTTTGGAGTGATATAAAGCTTTACAAGAGGCTCTTTTGGAAACGTTTCAGTGATATTCAATTATACCCTTAAGTGGAGTTCCTTGTGGCAAAGTAGCTCTGGAAGGCACCTAGGATTTTGCTTCTCTGATCTGTAAATGAAGACTCTTGATACTACACTGCATTGAGTTTTCAGAGCTGAGGAAATAAGGAATTTGCCCCAGAATACTAGTGGCATAATGAAAGAGCAAGTCATGACAAATATCAAAACCAAAGTCTTTCCCTTTAGAAATAATAGTTTGTCTCAGTGACGTGTTTAAAATTGGCAAGAGTGTTTTATATTCTCTCATGGACTGAATATCATAGGCCTTTGAGATTTCAAAAGATTTAGGCTAAAAGATTTCTTGCAATACCAATTGCCATTGCAATTTAAATGAGATATTTTTTGTGAGAAGTTCTGTAGAGTAACTATGTTAGAGTGCCAACATTTTCTAGGTAACTACGAGAATCTGTAGTAGACTAGGACTAGGGAGCAACAGAAAGGAAATATGATGTGAAAACATAGCCATGCACTCAGACATATTGCCTTTGAGAAACTACTCATAGCACAGGATAAAATCAGTAATTCCTCTTGGAGAATGTTTTCTTTTTATTGCAAATGCTCCTCAAATTAATACAACCTTTTACAAATGTGGAACCAATATCCAGCTTGGAGCAATCGTAAGAACCTAAAGGTTTACACAAAGATGTTAGTAGTGAAACAATTCATATAGTCTTAACTCCAGTGGCATTACTGGTGTTGCTATAGCAAGCCTTACAAAGGTAATCCCATAAACAGCAACACTGAGTCATCTGGGTTTATGCATCCAGAAATTGTAATGAAAACAATATTAAGTTCTTTGAATATGCATATTGCAGTTCTGATTGGTGGACTTTTTTTATCCAATTCTTAATAAAAAGGCATTAAATTAAGGAATAGAACAGCATTTTCTGTTTTTATCATATTTACATTAATTATGAAACATTTACAACTACAGTGACCCAAGCTTTTTCACTTTATTGCATGTTTTGTCTTGTTGCAGCATAGTAGTTTAGTATAACTTCTGCTTTAATGAACTGTGTTTAAAATAATTAATCTGGAAAATCTTGAAAGCTTTTTTCTACTTGTTCTATGCTAACAGACATTATTCTTGTCCCTGTTGTCCAGTTGTTGCATTCTTTAGAGGGAGGATAAAATTAATGACATAGATCTTTTTATTCTGTGGAGAATATCCTATAAACAAAGTTCTCTGAGAAGCTTTTCTTCCTTGATGCTTGGCCTCTTGGTCACTAAACCATTACAAGAATGTTATCTGCTCCGTATTGCTCAGTTTTCTAAGACTGCAGATTTCTACATCAACCAATATGAAAAAAATGGTCTGGTTTTAAGTAAATTTTATCCTTTTTGTCCATCTTAGATAAAAAGAATGTTCCCATATGTGACACTGTTGTTTTCCATTGTTGTCTTTCATGGGCATCTAGTGTATGTACATTGTCTACTTTTCATGACTTCCCTTTTAAAGAGTACAGGAAATGCTGTAAAAGTGTACTTCCTCACAGAGGGGTGGCTGATAGAGAAGAAATTGTCAGCTTCATAATGAAAAATGTTTTATGCCTTTATGTCCCTCTTGCTAGAAAAAGTTCTGAAAACTATACTATACCAATTAATAAAAGGAAAAGATATATACAATTCTACCAGAAATTTGTTCACTTTTACTTCAAAAACTTTTTGCTGTCTCCTGAAATGGAAGTAATCTGATTCATAGCCAGGCAATGTGAACATGCATACTAAGAAGGGAACAATCATCAGCTCTTAGGGGATTGAGTTTAAGACATTTGTCAGTTCACAAGTGTTTGTAACTTTTAGGGACCCACAGGGAAGAAAGGAGCGATGGGTCAGGCAGGCAAACCTGGAATTCCTGTAAGTAATAAAATTCTAAAGTCTATTTTCAGGTTATAAAACAAAGAAAATAATAATAAAAATAAAACCAAAATTGCATCATGCCGTGGTACCTGCAGGTCTTATGTTCACTCTAAGGAACTTCCTTATTATCCAGGAAGTGTAAAAGAACCCCTGTCATTTTTGAATATTAGTAATTTTTGAAATTATGTTAAATTATACTGAATTAGGTTCAGTTACTCAGCATATGGAAGTGAGGTACGACTAATAGAACAACAAGGTCCTTCCCACCTGTAAAGTTACTTAATTAGATCATTTTTGCATAGGGCTTGTAGTCCATTTGGAGGTTATCACATTATATTGCACAGAGCTGTACTACTGTTCACTCCTGGCCCCATCAGTTCTTAGAACAGCTGCAGCCCACAGAAGCTTGGATCCATATGTCCGTGATGGATACATGTGGTAGATCCCTTGAGGTTTATTTGTTTCTCTTGCTTGCCCTGAGCTGAAATTTTTTATGTTCTTTCTGAATTTACTGTAGAGAAGATAACTTGCATCCCTTTCTCCCTGAGGGAGAAGAAAGAGCAGGAAGCAGTAGGTTGTTCTGTAAATATAGCTAAGAACAAAATGCATCAAGGTTTTTTTGGTTCCCTAATAAATAGTACCACACAAGCACGTATTGTAAATAACTTTTACTACCTCACATCAAAACATTGTCAGTAACTGGAGAAATGCAGCTGCTTCACAGAGCTTGTACCTGCTCAGCAGAGGGCAAGAATAGCCTACTGAAGGCAAGGAACTCTGTGTCTTTTGTAAATACTCAGCTTTTTCCTCTGGAGGACTGCAGAGAGTGTATCATTCAGCAAAGGAAAAGAGGGAAAGGCAAGACATAGAGAGAAGTGAGGAGAAGGCCGTAAAACTAAAACTTAAGGAAGTTTCAAAGCCCATCCCAAATGCAAGATACTTCAGCAACCAGAAATTAGAAATATGATTAAGATGGCACACTTCTTACATTGCATGACTGTCGTTAGCTATACTTTTTCAGAGAAGATGTTTTCTAGTGAGAATATTTTAAATTTTTGAGAACTGCATTCACAGAGAGATCATTGCAGAAGCCCAAGCCCTTTAAGATAGTGCATGTCAGTCTAAAGGGAAATAATTGTAAGGAAATAAATCAATGTTCCTCTGTTGGATGTGACATGAGGCTTTTTTTGTACAAGTATAGCCACAGTTACCTTATTAGAAAACTTACCTTATTAGAAATTTGTATGTATTTTGATATGTTAAAATCTGAACAGCATAAATTTGTGAAAGTATTACTGAGTAGTACTAAATATCTAGTAAAATAAAGTCTGAAAAGATATACGGTTGGGGGGGTTTCAGAGATAAATAAATTCCTTTATCGGGTTTCCTTGCTTCAGTTTAAGAGTCAACATGCTCAGTCATCTTCCAGGACTGGCACACAAAGGGGGCAGCTCCATGGTTTCAGCTCAGATCCCATAACACAGCAAATCTAAGGTTAAACCAGCAGCATTCAGAACTCTGACTCAGAACATCCTCTGCAAGTATTCATTCATATCACTGGGTCTACTGTTATGCAGGGTTTAGGAAATACTGTGACTGAAATCTGGTTGTGTGATGGTGAAGTGCTATACTTGATTTAAATTTGTTTCAAGGGAAAACTGGGGCCAGCAGGGCAGAAAGGAGCAGTTGGGTACCCTGGACCAGAAGGCATTCCTGGGAACCCTGGCAAGACTGGGCTGTTGGGGAAGCCTGGCCCTAAGGTAAGTTGCTTTCCACATTGCCTCTATGTCATTTTGCATTACAGATTTTCTAAGGTTAAGATATTTAAAAAGGAGGAACCATTCTCAGTTCGTTGAGCATCTTGAAAATTAGACCAATTCTTTTGTTTTCTTTCTTTTTTACTCCTAATATTCTGGCCAGGATATAAAGTTACCAGGATATAAAGGGAAGGGTGCTGTGAGAAGAACTATTTCATTAGTATATGTTAGTATTAAGGACAGCTAAGTGAAAATGATTTCTGATTCAGAGAGGCTGCATGGTTCTGTTCCTGAAAATGAGCCATAGACCCCAACTGAGACTGTTTCCTCTCAGGCTCTGAGATAATCCCACATTTTCCCTCTTGTCTTTGAATTTGTAACCTATGCCTCTCTACCTAAATAATTCTGAAGCTTTGTCCAAAATCGGTGAAAAAGAGTATAAGGTATCTGGAAGCATTCTTGGAAACAGGTTTTTGTCTGACTGTTCTTTGTCACCTGTGGGCCAAAGATGGTGACCTGCTGCCTCTGGGAGTAGTGACACAGTTCTTCGGTGAGTCCCTCCAGAGAGGGGGAGAAAATTCCTTTAGTTATTCTCATCATTGAAAATCTGATCACTTTGATTTCAAGTATGGTATTTCTCAGTAGTTCTACTGGTATTGACCAGTAATTGTTATAAAATGTTACCAAGTTAGATTTTGTGTTAGGAATTAATCAAGGTGCTGAGTGAGGGACTGTTGTTGCAGGTATGAATTTCCAATCTGGTTGAACAAAAAGAATATTAAATATAGGGGGCAGGCGTACCCTGTTCAGGTCTCTCCAGTTTCAGATCATGAACCTCTTCCAAGTTCTTAAAATTCTCTGGAGTTGAATTTAGGAGTATCATCCCAAAGAATTCTTTTTTTTTGCATTTCCACAGGAAATGTCATACAGTCATATCAAAGATGACTCCATTACCCCATTATAATCTGTAATAAGGAGAGGCATATAACTGATTTTTGCCACAATGAATAAAAACCCACAACTATTGCTATGTAAGTTTGTTAGACCATCGGTTTATAAGCCACAGCACCATATTCAAAAGCCCTGAAAATCACATTTAATATAAAAATCTTATTTCATATAATCCTTTCATTTCTGTGAGTGCATAACTGAATGTCATATTAAATAAAAAAGATAGATATGTATACATGCATGTATTTCTACTACATTATGTCACAGAAATATTCATTATGCCTGATACTTAGAAATAAATGTGTTGAATTTTGAATGTTTCTCTGGGAAGGTAGTGTCATTTTGTTTCATGTGGAGTTACTTCTTCCTGAAAAATGAATATTGTAAATCTCAACCATATTTTCAGCCTTTTACTTTTGGAATATTAACAGAAATCCAGATGATACTGCTGATCATAGTCTTTCTATGTATTTTGACGTATTATCAGTGTGTGTCCATATATACAGAAAGAATTAAGTGGTTTTGACTGATTTTATGTTAAAAGCCTGTTTCAGCATACAATGAAAAAACATGTTTGGCTGTTCTGCTTGTAATCCATTATTTTTAATTTGTTAAGGGTAATAAAGGAAACTCAGGCTTACCAGGTCTGGCAGGTTATCCTGGAGCTCGAGGTCCCAAGGGATTGTCAGGCATGCCAGGGCCCATGGGAGCACCTGGACTAAAGGTACACACATAGGATCTTGTTGTTTAGGTACGGTATTACTGATGTTGCTTAGTCTTCATACTGCAATCACTGACTGTGGAATCATCATACTGCTGTTAATCATACGAGTAACCTAAGTCAAGACTTACTTGAAGGCTAAGACTACAAGTTGCATTGACCTCATTTCCATAAACTGTAATTTGAAAATAGAGGTCCCATCCAAGTGCTAGTCCCAACTCCAGAAGCTGTTCAAAGCACTTTTATTTATTCCAGCTTTACAACCAAACGTTTCCTGACTTTTATTTCTAACCTTCTGTAGCTACTAGAACGGTTGGGATAATTTGAACACCTGAGCAACCTATAAGAAAAGTACTATAATTTCAAGCCTAAATCTCAAGTTTGGGAGCTAAAGACTCACCTGGGACATCCATTTATCATAGGACTTAAACTGTTCTTGTTCAGTCCTATTTGAAAGAAATAAATCTGAGTGTGCTCCATTTTCCAGGCACCTGACATCAGCATATCCTTATCTTAATTAGACTCATTTCAATTTTAAAATAATCAAACAATGGAAACAGTACAGATAATTTTCTTCATGTAGAATAGATTTTTGTTTCTCTGAAATCATGATTTGCAGTGCTCTGTGAGGTTTTATGGGTAAGCAGTTCTTTAAAACCTTAGGTTACTTTAGAACTGAAAATACTGTCTTTGTTATATTTTCATGAAAATATTTTAGTATAAACTGTATTCACTATTTGTAGTGTTTATTGACAGTGCTCCCAGTCTGAATTTTACTCCTTTGTCTAGACAATGAGCTGTAGGAGGTAGTTCCTGGTCAGAAGTGCATGCAAGGAATAGATGAGTTGAGGGAAAACTGTTGCTACATATACTACCAAATAAACATTAATAGTGGACATACCAAGTCAGACCAAAACACTGTCTTTTTTAAAGCAGAAAGGTAAAACCTAGGGAAGAGCATAAGCACAAAGCGTGAAACATGTATAATTACAGGTTTTATTGCAGCTCAGTAACCTCCTGAGCTAGACATGATTTCTATGTATTCGATAGTCCTGAAAGGATTTGTCTTGCCGAAACTTTCCTAGTTTCCGTTTGAGTCAATGTAGATTTCTAGTTGAACAGCAGAGAGTTCCACAAGTACACTATGTCTTGCTCAGAAGATTACATTTTAAATTTACTTTTAACCTGTCTATTCTGTATTTCATTTTGTGAATTTACTGCTTACACTGGGAGATACCATACTAGAATTGATTCAACATGTGTGGGTTTTACATTTCCACATCAAGCAGCAGTCAAGTCACATCTGCATTTTAGTGTATGTATAATTATTGAAAGCATTCCTGAGGGAAATAAAACGAATGGAGTAAGTCTATTTCTTAGAGAGAAAGCGTGTTCCACACTTCTGACAGGAAACCCATATTTACACTTATAACTATCACAATTGTAATAAAAGTTATATTTTCTTCCTATTTACAGGGTGAGAAAGGACTTCTAGGTCATCCAGGAAAGCGAGGCAAAAGAGGCCTTCCAGGATCACAAGGTGACCAAGGACCAGCAGGAGACACTGGACTGAAAGGACAGGCTGTACGTAATCACAGCTGTTGATACAAAACAAGTATTCCAAGAGTTATGAACATGAAATAATAGTAAGGATGCCTGTTCCTATTACAGGGAGAAGATGGAGATCAAGGTTTAATGGGGTTTCAAGGATTCCCGGGTCCAAAAGTATGTGCTCGTTCTTTTCTGTTAGATCTTAAGCCATTACAGAGAGAGAACATTAGGAAAGAGTAGAATTAATCATCTTTAACAGTAATTTGCTCAAAATACCTCTGAACTGTTGGAACATGGCAGGCAGAACTGTGTACTCCATGTCTAAGGATAAATACTCTGGCTCAGTTCACTTGGTATTTTCACTGTTACTGCTTTAAAAAATTATCTTACTTTCACTGATTACAAGAGATTGAAACAAGTGGATAACCAATGTCCATATTTGACTAAATTGTTCTTTTGCATTTTCAGGGTCCTGCAGGGGACATTGGCTTATTTGGAATTCTGGGCCCAAAAGGTCCAACAGGCCAAGTTGTAAGTGTTTTCAATCCATGAAAGAGATTGTCAGGGTGGTTTGCAGGTGGCATACATTTTTAACTTAGAAAATAATCTTTTTTCTCATTACCAAGGCCAGAACCTTCTAACCAAACCTTTCTGTCTGAGACTATGACTCTACTAGAAGCCCTTTGCTTGTACTGCAACGCTGCTCTGGTTGCAACGTGCTTACAGACACACAAGCAGGGCTGGGTTTTTAATATTGAAAGAAAAAAGCAAACTCTGCTGACTAATTGTGGCTCTCCTAGCATAATTTCATCTACACAAGCAATCTTATGACTGCCATATCTTTGTCTATTGGAGTTGAAATTCCTCTTACTGGCAAAAGTGCTGATTGTATACCTCTGTCCTACTGCAAAAGAGAAAAGGATCAAACTTTGCCTGCAGTAAGACAGAGTGGTGCTCAGGAATTATTGATTAATAGGTAGTCTTTCTTTAATAAATATTTTCTTTCTATCTAAAAGATTCCTAACCTGCATTAGCTTATTCTTCATTACATTCTGCTTTCCTACTCACTAAAAATGTGGAAGCATCTTTAGCACTTTTTAATACTAGGGAATGTGCATCCAGCTTACAGCATCAAGTAATGTAAAAGGGGGAAAGGTTACAGCGTGGAAGATCTTAGTTCAAAATGTTTTTCTCTCACTGCTGCCGTTGCCATCACAGAACTGAATTTGTTCAGTTAACCAGATGCAGAGCAGCAGCTTTAGGGGCCTGTTCTAATAGCTGCCTTATTTTTCTAAATATTCCTATGAAAGATAAACACTGGACATGAGCAGTTTGCTCTAAGTGAAATGGAACAGGAAAGTAACATTTTAACAGCACTTACTGGCAGCCTTACAGGACTACTTGTGCCCAGTAATATAGCTGAAGATATGGTTGATTGTAGCTCAGTAAATACGTAGTCTTTTGTAATCAGAGTACTTAAGTTTCCACTGGTTTTAGTGCATCAATTTTCACATTAAAAAATATGTGTGGGCTTTCCAACCACAACTATTACAAATTACTAGAATACTTACCTTCCTGATTTTGTTGCAATGTGCACTTAATACTTAGAAAGAGAATATCACCATGATCTTTTGGATATTTGACATGGCTGTGTGCTGAGCAGCTTTAAACCAGAACATGTCATGAGGATTTTCTTAATTTTGTAAACATGGTGGACTAATAAATTCTTTGCTTGTTTACAGGGATATATTGGCCCTGTTGGTCAAGAAGGTGTAACAGGCCCAGCTGGCAGGCCTGTAAGTTTCCCTTTATTTTTGCATAATCTATTTATTTCACCTACCCTTTCTTTAAGTAATCTCCTTCTGCAACCTTCTAATTTTTTCTGTCTGCAAATAGCCAATTGGACCTCCTTTTTTTATACCATATGGGTGAGATAATGTGTGTGATTCCAGCATCTATAATACAAACAAGAAAAAAGGTTACAAAAGCCAATGACAAAGTCATTGCAATGGCCTTCTGTCTAAGTACAGTGTACAAGAGGGCATGCCTACAGGGGCAGTGGGCAAGTCAAGGTGTAAAACAGCACATAGTGCTGGCTGGCTATTCAGACTGCCACCTGAATATTCTTTCCCAGCCTTAGATCTGAGATATATTTAGGGAGTATCACACTTGGTTTCAATATAGTTTATTTTTTATGTGTTGTGAGCTGAACTGTCCAGAGTGCCCCTCTAGACACTCTGGGAGTGCCCATGAGCCCTTGTAAGGGTGTTCCAGGTGCTGTTCGAGGTCCCTGTCACAACTCAAATATCATCTCAGCCTTTCTGACAACCTTCAATGCACCCCAAGTTCCCTGCAGTGGGGAAGCTCTGTCCTCATCCCCATTTCCATCTCTTGTCACAATCCCAGTGCCAGAGCCAGATTTGTTTTGTGAGAGAAAACCCTGTGGCTCATGTCTGCAGGGTAGTGTTAGAAGCTCTTTGGACCATACAGGTTACTCTGATGAACTAGACGTGGAGCAAATGAGAATATCTAGAAATTGAAATAATCATAAAAATAACAAATACACAGTAAAAGTAATAAATACGAATATTTACAAGTGAAAAAGAAGGGTAATGTTCCATCTGCAATTCTTTCCACTTTTTGGGAAAAACAGTACTTTAAATCTTGCACTATTTTTTCAATTGCACCAAAGAGAAAAACTTTACAGTTGTGTGTACTTGTATGAAGGCTTTTAATAGACTTCATATTGAATGTAATAGTTTGCCATTATCATTCAAAAAGCATTATAGTTGAATATTACTTCTGTGTTATGAAATGTAGCCATCGAGATACAAAATTCTTCCAGGAAAGAACTGTAACATTATTGCCATCCTTGGAAACAGTTTAAGTGCAAAACTAGCCAAAAATGTCAGAAAAACTGTGTCTAATCTGATTGTGAGAGGAAAACTAATATAGCTTAATAGAAGCATATATGTAATGAATGAATTTCTTCAGTGACGGGGAATGCTGAGTTTTGTTCTCTGAAGATGGTGAAGCACTGATGTATTACAGTGGATGAAATTGTGGGGAATACAGCTGATAGACAGGGACAACAGAGACATTTAAAATTACTGAGAAAAAACGTATTTGCAAGCTGAAGAAAACAACTTTCCATATATAGAAATTGCAAAATGTTTTCAGGTAATTTAGTTTTCTAGTAGTACAGGAAAATCAAATGACCAGAGTTGTAAATACTTCCACAGATGAAACTGGATTTTCCATGTGAGTAGTATAACTTGAATGGATATTGATCTGCTTATTTCAGTCCTAGGCATTTAGAAAGCATATTGGATTAACAGCTTCTCTTTCTTACAGGGACCGAGAGGTGAAAAGGGCACAAGGGGTGAAATGGTAAGATGAAACAATTTTGTGCTTTCGTATTCTTGGCTGTGTAAAAACTATTCATGTTACACTGAGTACTCTTGCATGCTCTGAATGCCAGGCAGTTGTGTTGTGCTCCAGGAGAGCACTGGCCAAGAAAGCTGGTAGCATGTGTCAAAAGTCTAACCTTTTCTTGTTCAAGTTGACTTATGTAGATATGACCAGTGGGTGTGAGCTGTTGGGCAGTATGGCCCCTGATCATAGAGCAGGCACATACTCCAAATCTGTCCTAGTTCAGATCTAAAAGAAAAACCTTCTGTCACATTTGTTGTCAGTGCCTCCCAGCACGCATGCACATGTTCACAGATCTGTATCATCTTCTCTAGAGAGGGAGAAGTTCAGGAGAAGCCTAGGCCTGTGGATGAGTGTCCATGCAATGAGTGCCAACTGTAGGAACAGTAAGCAGCAGAGATAGGTTATGAACTTGCTGTCTTTCATTTTTTGGTAAGAATATTACACTAGTTGTTGAACATTCATAAACGTTGGATTTAATTTTAAAATTGTGTTAGTAAAATCTCCTATTAATAATGGCTATGTGAAAAGCTATTAAGTTATCATGTTTACAGCAAATATGAATACAAATTTGATAACTACAATATTGCCTTATGTGGCAGATGTATTAGTTCCTTTTCCAGTAACTAGCAGATGTGATCTTGCTCCTGGTCCTCTTACCCTGCCTTCACCCCATCTCACTTAAAATAATTTAGTTTCACTTATCTTATTGTATTTTGCTTTTAGCAGCCACCTGTGAAAAATCCAATCTAACTGCCTTATTAAAATTTTGAAAAATAAAACAGAAATATTCATAATATCTTAAGGAGTTAAAGCTTGGAACTAAACTTTTTTTATGTGTCTTGGAGAACTTTCTTCTTTGATTCTAATGCTCTTGAGACACCTGCTATCTCAGAATAGAAGAGAAAAACTAGTTTCTTAATTTGTGCTGCTATTATCTAAACTCTTTTTCTACTGTTTGTTCATAAGAATTATTATGACAGCATAGAGCTAAAAATGCTGACACTTAAAAAAACAATAAAACCCATTCAAAATAGTGAACAAGAAATGTCCATTTCCATTATTGGTGCTGGTGTGTAAGAAGTTAATTCCTAAATAAGCTCTTAAGTTCATCAAGATAAGTTAATCTAGTAAGACTGTCTTCAGAATAAGAATGTTTAATTTTAAATCATGTACAGTGGCATTACTTTCCCCAAAAGAAGGGATTTATTTCCAACTCTTTTCAGATACAAAAGAGAGAAAATTATTTTAATCTAACTGTGTATTGTGAGCTTTTATTTATACCTCTAAAATTTATATTGGCATTTTTCCTAGAATCAAATAGATTTTAACCTTTTTGTAATATCCATGTTTTAGTTATATATTTTAGTCTGTCAGGGTTATAGTGTTCATTACTAGAAAAAGATGTCCTTTTATCCCCTAGAAAATGGAAGGTAAATTCACATCTTCTTATTGAGATCAGTGGTGAAACAAGGCTCATGTCCTGTAGGCTATTTCTGGATAGTCAGAAACAGAGTTCATAAAAAAATTTTAGTCAAAATTTAATCAATAATTATGGAAACTATTTTTCAATTCAAAATATTCATTTCACTGTGATTGAAATGTTAATAAAAACATGGAATACACTTAGGAATATTGTTTCAGAATTCTGACATTTCTGAAAGTGTGTTTTCATTTTCTTAATGGTTTTTATTTCATAGCATGTCACCTAATCAGTTAAAATATACAATCATAAGATAATTCAGGTTGTAAGTGATCTCAAGACATTTAAATAGGAAGTTGGTCTAGAAAAGAATCAAACCTGAGGTCAGACCACATCACTCAGGGCTTTATTGACCAAGTCTTGGAAACTCCCAAGAATGGAGATTGAAAAATCTCCTTGGATAATGCATTCCAATCTGTGACTGTTTTGAAGCTGAAAAAAATATATGATATGATAAGGCATAACCTTTAATTTTCTATTCTCATATTTTATTTGAGGTTTACAGTCATTAATGGCAGCTACTAAACTGTATTGTATATCAGACTATTATATTGCAGGATGTTACTAGGCTTTACACATTATGAGATATGGTGACATAACATGAAACTCACAAAAGTGGTCAGAGAAAGCTTAACATTTATATTTTTTGTTAAAAATACTGTCTTCAAAAATTTTAAGTGTCTTGCAAAATATGGAAGTCCTTGGGATTGCTCATGTTTTTGTGCATCATTGCATATAAAATTAGGGCCTTGTAGTATTAGAAAAAGATTGGGACTTTGGCCTTTGAACTTCTGTTCAATCAAATAGGGTGATTAAAGAATTAAAGAGTGCACTGAAAGTAACTGGTTTAGTCTCTCCTTTTGTTTTTATGAACTGGAATTACACTTTTCACACTTAAATTCTAATGCGATCAAAGGGTAAATTAAGTAGATTTGTAAAGGTAATCCTGTACATTCCAGCAAAACATTTAGCAATTAACTTAGTCCATGAAAAATGTAATTTAACCTTATTTTGGTGCTCTGCAGCAGAAAGAAGGAACATTGGTAAAATCCTTACAGGATTTTCAACGCACTCTGTGCAGTTTCATTATATTTTAAAGGTTTGTAAAGATAATTGATACAGCCCTCTGAAGTTTTAATGCATTTAAGAAATTTAATATCCCCCAAGTTGTTCACTATAGTTAACAAATAGCATTCAGTATTTATCTTTTTTTCACATGGGTTTTACTGACGAGAAGACAGTGAATCAAGATAAATGACATTCCTCTTTTGCAAAATACCTTAAACTCATTGGAACAGTGTAGGTTTTTTTATTTTCAAAACATTCAGTTTTATCTCAGAAACCACTAAAAATTTGAACTGTTCTTTTCCCAAGCCTTTTTGAGTCTTAAAATTGTGACACATGCCAAGAACACAGAACATTAACTGAAGTATTCACTCATCTGAAAAATCTACTGGAATGTCTAAATCTCAGCACTCAGAACAAGGACATCTATTCATCAGAGACCAGTGGTTACTTAGGGACAAACTGTTGAAGACTTTGTGCCTTGACTTGACTTGGTATTTGCATAATCAAGTCCTGAACCAAGATAAACAAATATATGTTCACAATGTCAAATTTGTTTCTCAATTTTCTTTTTCACACTGTCCCTTTCATTTTATACTAAACTTACTTTGCCAAGCAAAAGTCCAGTAATATATTCATACGAGATTGAAGAAGATGGAGCAGTCTAATAGCCTTCCCAGCTGGCATACAACAGTGTGGCTCTGTGAAACCCAATTGACTTGCAATAGCTGAGGAACTACCCCGAAATAGCGAATGTAATCTCTGCAAACTCATATTAGTTTTGTAATAATGAATAGCAACAATAATATTTTATGTGTATTTAATAGTAATAGGATTCAAAAAAAATTTCAAGCTGGACAATAATTAAACTCAGAAGAGTGAAGAGAAGCTAGGTGCTTCTCTATAGAAAACCTAAAGGGGTTTCTATGCTACTAGTACTACATATGCTAAAATGACTTATTATTTGATTTCTACTTTCCAATTAAACATTAACATCTTGTATAAAGATGTTAATCAGTAAATATTTACATAAAAGATGGCTTACAGTCCCTTCTTTGGGTGTAAGTGGATGAAACATAAATAAATAAGGTCAGGATGTATCAGTTGAGAAGCCAACAATATTTACAATCCCTGGAGCTTCTGCTATTAAGGTCTTCTTGGTTAAGTATCAGAAAACCATCTATCTAACCATCCAGAAACTGCTTCAGTTTTGAATCTCCTCTGTTCTCCAACAAACACGTGTAAAACGTGGATCTTGGCCGCAAAGCCATTTGCAGTCCATCAGCATAGCCTTGCTGACATAGATCTGGTGCTAGGAATTACATGATGGCCCCTGCTTTTCACATCCTTCATAATCCAGCACCTGAGCCCCTCTGGCATGGCCAGGGCAGGTGATGTGCAGGCATACTTAACTTGTGCAGCTATCGTTGTGACTCCTGACAGATGCATTCCCTGGTAGCTACCATGTGCTCTGCCTCGGGAATATGTCTAGAGGTAGTAAGAAACACAGCTGGTATTCTCCTAAGAACTGATAAATTTGCAGCCTTAGTGACTTAAACCACTCCTATCTGCTTTGAGATCCTTTTTTTAAATGTACATTAATTAATCTTAGATTGAATCTGGCCTTCCAGCTGTCCTTGCTGGTGGCAGCTGGAGAACAGCCTTAGTTCAGAAGTTGTAGCATGAAATGACACTCACATAGATCTTGCTTGCTGTGAAATCTCACAGCAGGAATACTTATTACTATATCAAGTGATTTACAACTTAATTCCTATTTGACTAGAACAGTTTCACAATATTTGTCAGCATGACCATGTCACATAAGATTATTTCTCTTTTGGCAGAGATTTAGTTCTAGCGTGACCATACTGATGTGAAAGGGCTTTTCCTTGGAACAGCTTATTGTGCTCAAGTAATTGATACAAGCACCACTGGCAAAAGAATGTTTTGCTTGAATTGACTCAGTTGTGTTAAAAGGTTTTACTAATTTAAGGTGTAGATCTAGCCTATGCCTTTCATTCCTTCTTCTCTTTTGCTCTTCTTAAGGCACTGCCACCTATTTTTTTCCTTGTTATTGTTAGTGCTATTCTTTTTGTTACAACAGCTCCTGGAGCCTTTAAGTTTATGGAGATTGAAGATGAGAGTTTAACAGAGACACAAGTAACATTGTATATTAATAAATATTCATGATCTTTCTGCCTTAATGTGAATAGTTGATCAAAGAATGAATAATTCAAATGGGTTTATTGTATTGGAAGGGCCCATGTTCAACTCTAAGGCAGCCTAAAACTCAGATTTAAGGCTATGTGTGTTGTAGACACTGTAGGCTAAGGAAAAGCAGCTATTCCTGCTCCTCCTCTCCTCCCCACTGCATTATTCTACACAGTAAAATGAAGCTACTTACAATGAGAAAATAAGGGCATAACTTCTCGAATACAAAGGAAGCCTGCAATATCATTGTGGAACAATGAACATAACATGTTCTGCCTGAAAATTGACACTGCTAATAAATTAAACTAGTAAATGCCTAGCACATACTCATGGAGTAAAGTAGATCAGTTAATTTTTTGCAACTACCCATAACATTACTTACAATGCTTTTATGATCATTTATCTCTTGTAGTACTTATGTTGTCAACACGCATATAACACTGGCACAATGTATAGCACGTTATATATTAATACTTTGTGTGACTTTTAATGTTCCCTTAGTGTCCAAAATAGTTGGAGAAACAAGTGACCAGATAGCACAATTCCAACAGGAATATTCATGTGTTAAGAGAGTAGGGTACTTTAACAATAGTAACTAATAATCTACAGCTTTACCACAGCTGTATCACATCATCTTCAACTGGGGCATTTTGTGATATAAAAAATACATAAATGTAAAACAAGAGATGTTTATGCATCACTGGTGCATTTTATCTTTGTTTCTTTTAGGGTCCTCAGGGACTGCAGGGCCAGCCAGGGCCACCTGTAAGTGCATAAAAATACATGCCTTATTTTTTCATTGTAATTGCATTACATAAAGATGTGAACCATCTAATATCTATTTTTTCACATTTTCCAGGGACCACCTGGACCCCCAGGACCAAGGGTAAATTCTGTAACAGCCCTAAGTTACGATGCTTTTTTGAAAGTGAAAATAGCAGGATCCTCATCAAATGCACTGCTTGTTCCGTCATTGCATCTGAAATGCAAATACGTTTTTCTACAGCTTCCATCAGTACAGCAAAACATTTTTTGAACCTTCTGTCTTGCTCTGTCAGTTCTGTTCTGCCATGCTGGTGAGCCCTCAACAGGCAACTGTCATGGACATGCTCATACTTTTGACATGGGTTAACTTTGTCACTAAAAAGTTTTTCTCCTGTATTTAAATGGTCTTAGAGTCAGCAACAGAAAATTTTGTGTTGTTTCTGGCTCAGATGTTCTCCATAGATAGATAGATGTATATACATGCACACAGATTTAGTTTCTTAAGGGATTGTGTCAGTTAGAACAGACTGACCATCTGTAGGGTCCTGAAGCTGTAATGATATATGTAATCTGAGATCAAATTGCAAGAACTAGATGCTTGTGTGGGTGATTAAATTCTTTTAAATTATACAAATCTTCTGTCTGGATCTGGTATGTATGTCTGTCATGGTTTGAGATAGCCCCAAAATCCAATTCCCTAGTCCTAGCCGCCTCCCACATCTCAACCTAATGTGAGATGGGTTTTTCCAGACAAAACACACCAGACTCAGAATGGGGAAAGGGAATATATTACAATGACTGTACAGATAAATACCATATCACATTATACACACGATCACAATATCTCTACCATGACAATGTCACACAAAGTGCAGGGAATGAAGATACACAAGAAACAGGCTTCCTCCTTTAGAGGAGGTTTGTCAGTCTCGGTACTTGCTCATACATCAGGAAGAGTGATCCATCGGCTGCTGATATCTGATTCAGATATTCTTCGTGGGCTTCTCTGTAAAGGAGTAACACCTTTTCACACATAGCTGGATTGGTTTTTTAAAGTATATTAAATAAATGGCTGGGAGGAATAAGTTGGGGCAATAATGCGTAACAACTGTTGCAGTATCTTTTTTCCAGGTTCCAGGAGTACTATCATTAAATGGGATATGGGTGTACTAATAAAAATCAAATATGTTTTTTGTGTATACATCCTTGCATTTTTTGGAAATTAAAGGAAAGATCTTATTTTAAATGTGTTTACAATGAATTATTTTCTAAAAGGACAAAATAATAAAGCTCTCATGTATGTTGCTACAGTGCTCAAAGACTTTGCCACTTGCATTTTTGAATATTCTTTTTCATCTTTTTATATTCTGAAATACCTGTTTTTTTAGAAACAAGTGGACCTCAATGCTGCTGTTCAAGCTTTATTTGAGACAAATGCTGCCCTGCAGATGGAGGTAATATATTTCACTGTATTTACATTGTCATACAGGATATGCAGTTACAATGCTATTTTTTGAGGACAGAACAGGGCTTCTTTTAAAAGACTTAGTTTAAAATCAATCATGGATAGCAAATAATTATTGTAGGATGTAATTAAACATGCTAGAATTTATAGGATATATTTGAAATAAAATTAAGAAAACCAACAATGCTTCTACTTTTTTGTCATGATTGGTAGTAATGGAAATTTACTATCACGCATAGTGGACTGTATCTGTTCAGCCACAGATGATAATAATAGTGGCATTTAGGGTTTGAGAAAAAAAAATAAAATATATGTATGTCTGTGGCCCCATTGATTGCAAGAAAATGTATCCACATTTTTATGTCAATATGTCATAATGACAAATTTGCATGATCTAAACCTACCTGTAACATCACTGCTCTGACAATTTTAATAAAATGTACTAATTTGTTTATCAGGATGTATTATTCTTATGGTGTTTTATATGGCTGATTGCATTCATATAAGTACTTTGATTCTGTCTGGCTATTCAATGGCCAATTGACTTTTACTGTGTGTACTGTTGTTGTGATACTTCTTTGTGGTAACACATTTACTAATGACCCTTGGCAGAAATACCAGAATACTGAAGTAACTTTACTAGATCACAGTACAGAGATATTCAAAACACTCCACTACCTTAGCAATTTACTGCACAGCATCAAGAATCCTCTTGGCACACGGGATAACCCAGCACGCATCTGCAGGGATTTGCTTAATTGTGAACGTAAAGTGTCAGATGGTAGGTACCCACTTTCACTAAAGCTTGAACACAAGTAGCTTTGAAATGTGTTGATTCCAAATGTTACTTTCTGCATGAAAATTCTGATGTGTAGATTTTTTTTTATTATATTCTGTTGCAGTGTGCAACCTTTATTTCATATTTAAGATGCAATTTCTGAGTTTTAAAGGTGGAAGTATATAGCTATCTAATATTACCTAGGTATTAGAGACAGATTATATCTGTCAGTAACAGAGGTATCCAGAAAATGTGAAACTGAATCCAATTTTGTGATTAAAAGTTTTCCAAGTATTTATAGCTAATCTTGCAATGAATTTTTTGGGGATCAGATTCTAGATTCCTAATGAGAAAGTTGTATACACTACACTACCACTGTCATATACACTGACAGTTGCTGTATCCCAGAAGTTATTGAATCAGTATTTCATTTAACACCCCCCCCCATATTTAAACCTGTCATGTCATTGTAATTGTAATCATAAATGGGTGGTTATGACAATTTTGGTCAGTACCTGTTATTAGTATAATTATAATACTGAAAAGACTTTCATGTTCCTTTTCTTTCCCTTCTTTGTGAAGCTGTGGTAATTATATAAGTAATACTTGCCAAGAAACATTGAATATTTTAGCAAATTGTTTAGTAGCAATTATATTTTGGTTTTATTTTCCATCTGAAATTATATGCTAATAGGAAAATACTGGATTGACCCAAACATTGGATGTCCTTCTGATGCCATTGAAGTTTTCTGCAACTTCACTGCAGGTGGTCAGACATGTTTAACACCACTGTCTGTGACAAAGGTATGCATTGCTTCTAGAGAGACTGTGTCTGTGCTTGAACTCTAAACTAATGCATGCTTATTTACTTAACTCATGAAAAGATGCTAGATTTCAGGGGGGGTTTATTGTGCATCTTTGAGGAAGAACATATTGTGTATTCTGTTAAAAAAGTTACAGATTTTCTGGGGACTGTATATGTTAGTCTAACTCTCACTGTGATCATTTACTCAGTTTCCATGCTGATAGAAGTATTTTGTTTTGCTTCATACTTTCCTACACAAGGCATCAAAATAAGCCTGAAATGCTTCTGAGCTACATTAGTATCTCAACACTCAGGGCAGTTAAGTGTGGAGATGCTGAGGTCTTTGCAATGGGAAGGATGAAGATTATTTCTGCTCTTCAACACCTAGGTACTTTTAAATGCCATTAGGGAGAGACTGGTTTCCTTTATATCGTTAGTTCATGCTCCCTTGTACATGAAGTTCTTGAACTCTTGGGAAAAGAAATTTTTTGTTTGTGGAGTTTTGCATGTACACTGTAGTCACTGAAGAGCATCAGAAATGCCATGAAGTTCACATATGCATTCCTGTATTTGAAAGATCTCTGAATATGAAATAGTCTTGGAGAAATTCTTGTTGAGTAATGACTAACTATATTTTCTGTCTAAAATCAAAATATGCTTGTGAATTTTTGCATTTGTAATGGGATATTGGTATTGCCAGAACCTGTGGTCTAAGAAAACTAAACAGCAGAGTGATGTGACTGCAGTTAAAACACTGCTGCTGGTAATATCTTTGAATCACAAAAGCATTTCTTTCAGTTTCCTTATTTAAAAATAGTTTTTTCTGCCCAGCTGTGTTTCAGCAATGTTATAAGCATTAGCAAATGTTTATATTTAAGCTTTGAAAATGTCCTATGAAAGCTTCTGTTTATAATAATCACTGTAATAGAACCTGACATCTCCCCTGAAGAATGCAAATCATGCTCTTTGGCATTGATCCCAATGTATATAAACATGTACATTCTCCTATTCCTGAACACCACACTTGTATGTTCATGGCACTTTGTGTTGCTGTGGCCATTCAGCATAGTCCAGCCATAAGTCTAACCATGTCTTTCTCTTGGAACTTAGCTGGAGTTTGGCGTTGGAAAAGTGCAGATGAACTTCCTTCATTTACTGAGCTCAGAAGCAACCCACAGCATCACAGTTCATTGTCTGAACACACCACTGTGGGGATTAAATAAAGCAGGTGGCCGGAAGACATCAGTTACCTTTAAAGGATGGAACGGTCAAATATTTAAAGCAAATACACTTCTTGAACCAAAGGTCCTTATGGATGAATGCATGGTAAATAGTTTTTAGCATTAGCATTATTAAAACAGTACTGGAGTTACTGTGTAGACATTATTAACTTTCTGCAGATAAATAACAATCATTTAGATTCACACCCCTTAAAGCTTGCTTCTTTACCTAGTTCTGCACATGCCAGCCTTTTGATACTGAATTCAACATCTATTCAAAGGTAAAACAAATTGCAGTGATATAGAGTATCTATACTTGCTGTTTGCTTTGTGTCTCGTATTTTGAGACTGTATGAAGACACTGGAGAGATATCAGCACAGAAATAAGGAGGTCCACCAGGAAAATTTAAAAATAGTTACTGTCAAAATGAAAATTCAGGCTTTAGTAAGAGTTCTGCTGAGATTATTTAACACAAAATTTCAGGTTCAAACAGGTTGGACATTATTTTTGAACAACTAAATGCCTTTAAATTCACTGACTATGAGTCAATTGTTTGATTATTTCAGAAAATAATAATGAGTGGAAATTGAGTCCATGGCTAACTAAAATATTGTATTTTAGGAAATTTTTAGGAAAAATTGGAAGAGTTTATTAATTTTCAAATGTTCCGATTACTCACCAAGATTTGAGACATTTGGTAAAAGTCGTGGGAGAACACTGTGAAATACAGCAACCAAGCATCTTACACTTTCAGTGTTTTATAGCTCTACTTTCATTTGCAATAACAAAAGGCATGAGGCTGGTTCAATATCGATACAAGGGTGAGATTTTTAATCTCAAAACAGAAAGTGGCTTTACTGAGGCACTTCAAAGCCATTATGCTTGGAGCCTTTATTAGCAGATGCTAATTAGATGCTCTGGCCTGTGGCATGCCGATAAAGTATGGCCATTGGAGCCCCTTCTCCCCACCTTCCAGTCTGTTTGGGACTGTTTTATCCCCTGAGAAAAATTAGGGCATACTGAGATGGCTATTGAAAAGTGCCATTTTTCTGTGAGACTCTACAAGGTCTGTCACTCTTTCTGTGGGAAACTGTGTGCTGTACAAGTCTGCTGCAGAATCTGACACATTCCCCTCTCTGTAGGGATTCCATTTTTCAGTGGTATACGCTGTACTCGATGGTTTTTAAGAATGGATTGATTGCAACTATCAAGGCATTCCCAGCCTCAAGCACTGTTATACTACTATTTTATAATTATTATGAGGTATCAATTTTTACTGAGATTTTTTTTAAGGATTAGAGTAAACAATACAAAGCTCATAGCAAAAATGCATCTCTGATTCCCGTGTTTGTTTTTCAAGGGCATACAGAGTCATTCAAGTGCCTGTAGAGTTGATAACCTGACACCTGCTGTTCAGATTTGGGGGTGAATTTAGAATCTATATGAGTCACTTAGCTTGCAAAGGTGTTCTGCTCTGAGACATGTTGCACTGTGTCTGCATCCACTCAAAGTGGATTCTGGGCTCAGCTGTTTTCTGGCTTCAGCTTTGCCCAGAGTGCCCATGGTATTGCAAGGGAGAAATGGCATTTGCTAGATTAGATTCTATAGGAATTAGTTTCTATAGGAATTGCTAGAAGAAAAAATGTTTCTGTACACTACTTCTCTTCCTCTCTATAAGCACAATTTTCATTTGTGTTTCGAAGGACATCTTTTATATGAATCTAATATTCTTCTTCTGTGTGTTGCAGATTGAAGATGGCAGCTGGCGTAAGACACAGTTCTTTTTTCACACTCAGGACACTAGGCAGCTTCCAGTGGTTCAAGTTAATGCACTTCCTCACCTCAAACCAGGACAGCAGCACTTCGTAGAAAGTGGTTCAGTGTGCTTCCTTTAAGGTTTCTGTCCGGTTTTTCTTTCATCAACATGGAGGTTCTGCATAGATTGAATGCAAAAGTAATGATCCATTACAGGCAAAATGACTAGGAAACTAAGAATCATTTTAAATACTGTTGGTTAAAGAACCTCAGGAAGAAAAAGACTTCCTCCTTAGGAGAAATAGCATTGAAAAATAAAAGAAAGAGAGAAAAGACTGCAACAATTTTCTTAAAGTATTTAAAAATAAATTTCTTGGTGCTTTCTTGCATAATTTCCTGGAATGGAGTATCTGAACATGGATTTTTCAGGACATCAAGTGTTCTTAACAATTTCTTTAACACCACTGCAAAAAAATCATCCTGAGAAAAGCTGGAGGCATATGATCCTAAGGGAGCAATATCTGCTAATGCTCCTGAATGTGCAATAGCTTATATATGAAAAGTGAATCATGCCACAGTACAGTACGTCTTCTTTTCTTAAACATTGTTTTATTCTAGTCCTTTGTGGACACACACATCTGAACAGATGGCACACTACCTCTTTTGTGTTTCCTGTCCGTGTTGCCTTGGTGCTTTTCATAACACAAGGTGCTTGTGGCCTTAGCAGAGATTATTTGAGTCCCTTTTCTTTCAGACTGTATGTGCTGGTTACATCAGGATATGTTTCTGTTGTAAAGGTACTTATTTTAAATTGTCGGTCACATACTTCACTACAATGAAAACATTATTTATGTGGATTTCTTGTTTAAAATATTTTTGTGTACTATTTTGGAAAATGGTATATAGGACAGCATATTGTATATGATGCATATATTCAGAACAGTTTACTTTACAGCCATTGTAAAAATTCTTGTAGAAGAGCTGCCTAAAGTAGTTTTGAGTTTTAGAGTCTGTATTTCAGTTAACATTGTTAATGCCAAAGCCAGCTTCAGATGATACATTCTGTATATATTTTGTCACTTCTGAAAAAATCTACTACAGCGTATCTTTTGGATGGCTGCTGTTAAACTACAAACAGCATTTCATCCTCTTAGAAATTCCATTTTTTTGCAAAGTTATCAGATCATTTTGGGGTTTTTTAATTAATTCTAAAATGTTCAACCAAATTTTTTTAGTAAAAAAGAACAATTTTACCATTAGCAAAAGCACTCTTTATATTTATATGCCTCTACCTATTATCAATTCAAAGCGTGCTCAGGAGTACATGGCAGGGTGATGCCAGACTGTAGCGGGGAGCAGGGGAGTGTTCGAATAACTTGTCTGCTTGATCTTCAGGAAACCACACTTACCAAAGTATAATAAAATAAGCTTCTAAGCTATCTGTTTGTCTTTTACTATTCTGTTTCGTATCGTGTAGGTCATTTTTAGTAAGGATGAAAATCCTCTGAAAGGGCACTTCTGTTAGGTGGCAGTACTTGTCTTCCCAAGGGGAAATGCATATTCTCTATGCCATGGTACTACCAGGGGGACAGTGTCTGCTCTTACAAGGTAACATACATGTACATCCCATTTAACATTTTGTATTGAAGCATCAGTTTTGACCACTTTGGTTTCAACGGATTTTCTCAAAGACAAAACAAGATCGCAGAGTGATGATAAAGGTTAGAGAAACTGTCTTTTTGCATTTTCAAGATCAAAACACTGACATTAGGACTTGACATGTGCTGTTAGTTTGGCTTTGGAGCTGATGTTGTGACAAATGTTTGGGGTGGTTTTTTATTATTATAATCTTTTGGAAAATGTTCAGCTTCATGTATATTTTTATTCCTCTCACTGTACTATTTTTTGAAGTTCTACATCTCGGAAATTATCTATTTTTAAAACAAGGAGCTTAAAGCTTTAGAAGGCTGCTCGGATGTGTGTTTCTGTAGTTGAGGCAAAAATGTTCATCCCGCGCAGACAGATGGGACGCCGAGTTGGGGCAGCCGGACACGGACAGGTAACGGTGAAACGCGTTCCCGGGGTTGGGAAGCGCCGCAACCGCGTGGCGAAACCGCCCGTTCGGCGGTGCGCTGGTGTGCGGCGCCGTGCGTGTTTCGGAAAGCCTCCCGAGTGTTTGGGAAAGCCTCCCGTGTGTTTGGGAAAGCCTCTGGCACTGGGACGCGCGTCCCGCTCGCTCTGAGGGAGCGGGTGTCGGGAGCGGCCGCCAGGCGGCGCCGCCGCGCGGGGAGCGCGCCGTGGCTCCGCCCGGCCCGTGGGGCCGCGCGCGGGCCCGGTGGCGCGGCCATGGCGGAGCGGGACGGGGCCGGCACGGGCAGCGGGAAGATGTCCCTGCACAGGTAGGGGAGCGCCCTCCTCGCGGCCGCCGGAGGGAAAGGGCAACGCCGGACCGACACGGCGGCGATCCTGTGCCCCGCAGCCTCCGCGCCCTCTCGTTTCCCCTTAGCGGGCGGAGGGCCCGAGCGCTGCTCCCAGGGGCTGCGCCAGGGCGCGCCCGGCACAGCTCTCTCTGAACCGCTGAGGTGCGGCCGGCACTGCAGAGATACTGCAAAAACGGGAAAAGGAGGCCTTGCTCAGAGTAATTCACCGTTTCTGCTTTGCAGTGTGTGAAGCACTTTTTTTCCGGTTCTTATAGCACTTTGTGCTGCCGGTACACAAATCCATCAGCTCGTCAGGAGGTGATGTTGCTGAGCTTGTCCTTCAGACCCCCACTGCCAGCGGGCACCAAGCACGTGGTGGGGAGGAGAGAAATGGCTTGAGGCTGACACTTTTCCTCCACCCGTTGAAAATGGTGGCTTTGTACCATTCTAGAAAACTTTACTGACGTGCGGGAAGGGTTATTTCTCTCCCGTGCTTGTCAGACTTAAAATAAAAAGTGACGATTATTTCAGTTACTACATAAATAACTTTTTTCTAAGAATGGTAGAAACATTTAACTTGCAATAGCCTAGTTAAAAAGCATAAGGTCATATTTCTAGAGGAATTTTTTTTTACTGATATAATATTTGTTAGTTGTATTCATAAGGCTTACATATTATGCCTGAAAGGTTCCTTGACTTCAGGGCTTGCACTACTGAACAGAAACCAGAAGTTGTTTGCCTGACCATGTTGTCATGGTCTTCCTGTTTCAGTGAAAAAAATGGGATGCGTTGTTCAGGCTTTAGTGTGAATCCTCGACATTTATTTTCTATTTGCCTAAAACTGGGAGTATTATAAGCCAGCATGGTACAGTGCACATTACAGGTGGGTGAACAGAGAAAAGCACTGATACAACAGGGCCACAGAGAGTAAACTGCTGAAGGCTTGCTGTGGTTCCAGCTCTGAGTTAGCATGGGTTGGGTTTTTTTTCTTCCAGGTACTGTGTTTTAATATTTATGTGTTTGGAGATATTCCCCGTTGTCTGCCGCCTTTTCTAATCCAGGGCATTTGTATTTTCTCTTTCTTCTTTCAAGGTGCAGTTAGCTTTTCCTGAAAATACCATGGATGGCCTAGTGCCTGGTTGTTGAACAGGCACCTTCTTAGGCTAGTCAGGCACAAAGCTGCTGCTTTATTAAGATGTGTTTTTTGCTTCTTTCAGATGTGAAACCTGTAGCAAAGAAGAAGCTAAATACAGATGTCCACGATGCATGAAATATTCGTGCAGGTATCTGTTATCTGAATTAAACTGTTTTGGTTATTTTCTCCATTATGTGCTAAACATGTTTATCTTTTCCTTTTGTCGTTTCAGTCTGTTGTGTGTAAAGAAACATAAGCTTGCACTGAGCTGTAACGGAGTCAGGGATAAAACAGCATTTGTCTCTGTAAATGAATTTACTGACTTGAACCTTTTGAGTGGTAAGAATGCACCTTGTGCTTTTTAAAATTCTTTGATTTTACTAGGTTAGCACTACATTTTTCTTTGTTCTCTTTTTATCTTCAGATTATCGTTTCCTGGAAGATGTAGGAAGGACAGCTGATGCTGCTGCTCGACATTGTACTGTGCATAGTCCAGCAACAAAAAGACTTGTAAGTTTTTAATTAGCCACTTGGTCTTTTAGAGTTAGGATTGACTACGTTTGAATTTCCACTGAGGCAGTCCCAGTCCAGATTTCAGAGCTGATACCTCTCCTACGAAGGTGTGGCCCTGGATTTTAGAGCCAGACATCAAAAGAAGTCTCTAGGTTTATGCAATAATAGTATTGATGACTACATCCAGTTGCTTAGAAGAATAGATTGCTAACTATGTGTGTTCTTAAAATTGATGCATGATCACTGTTACTGTTGGATAATAGATGTGTGTTAAGAAAGCCTGAATGTTTTCTTCCAACTCCACAATGTTTCTGAATTTTTAAGTACAAAATTCCAAGGTAAGCAATGGGTTTATTTATTGCCTAAAAATTATTTTATGCTTCCCTGTATGCTAAATGAAGGCACCTAGTGTTTTTCAAAGAACAAGTCTACACAACTATGACTTAAAAGCTAGCCTTCTAAGAGTGAGGGGGCTTTTGTGAAAGCTCTTTCAACAACCAACCAAACAAGCAAACATACCTCACAAAGAAACAAACAACAAAAAGACACAACCAAATCTGATACAAACTATTTTGACTTGTTGATATGTCACAAAAAGGCATCGGGGCCATTTTGTTTTCCACTCTTCTGAAGACGTCTTTAAATATAGCACTGAACTCAGAGAGAACTCATGTTGATGACAAAAATAAATTCAGAAGACTCCAGCTTTCCCTCAGGCTGGAGTCATACTCTGTGTGCCTGCTTGGTACCATGATGTCCTGAAAACATGGGCTGAAGATGGTAAGATAGGTAGCAGTTTTTGGGGTGTGGTACTGGGTATGTTTGTAGGATGATACCCATAGTGCTGCCTTCAAATTAGAATTTGTGTCTGAGATGGTGCTTCTGTATCTCTTCTGCTAATGGGGTTGTAACCCAAAAAGCAGCCACATGGTGGTATTATACCTAAGAGAGCTGCCTGTAACTTTCATGATATGTTAAAGAACTTTTACTATGAAGAGCCCATTGGTGTCTTCTTTTTTAATCATAGAAAAACTGCTCCTGAAAATGTTTCAGAGAGTTTCTAGGCTTACTTTATCAACTTTTTCATTCATTATGGGGTTTTTTAAATTCAAAGTATTATATTAGATATGGCCTTTTCCACAAATTTCTGATAATTCCTGTCAGCTTTTTATTGTTTAAGTTTCAGGTTTTAAATATATTACTCAGAGATTTTTAAACAGTGTTTTTTATTTTTTGCCAGTTACAGTGCTTGAGAAACAAAGCTCGAGGGTGTAATATTGAGCTGAAAACACTGCCTGTGGGATTTACAAAAAGAAGAGAAAATTCAACCACGTTCAATTCCATGTGAGTCTTTGGTTGGTTACAGTCAGCAATGTTTTGTTTTCTCTGAGCATATAATGATGAGAATTTGAGTTCATACCAATACACTTGCTTTTAAAATCTGTTAGATGAATATTCTTTTTTGCAAAAACTATGTAGAGTTAATATTTCATGCTTCAGGTTTTCATTTTTTATGCTTTTTGAGCTCACTTTAACAGCTTACATAATTCATGCTTTATTTTGAAAAATGCCAACATTGTGTAATAGTAGGTGTGTTCTTTTACTTAATTTTGAGTTTTGTTACTGGAAAAAGAAAATCCTTTTTCAAAGTTTTATAATAGAGGATTGATGCAGAAGGCTTGCACAAATTCCTCTCTCTGAAAAGGCTGACTTCAAATCTGAAGAGGTGCTTCCAATACAGTTCTGTGTTGCATACTGTGATGGGAGTTGCTGTGCTGGATGATGTGAATGTTTTGTACAGCACAGCTTAGACAAGTGCAGACAGTCAGATATGAATTCAGGAAGAACTTTAAATTCAGGAGACTTTAAATATTCTTCCCTTTATCCACTCTGTGGGTTTTCTCTGATATCTAGAATTTGTATTTTAAGGTATTTTCACAGTAAAACTATTATTGTGACAGCAATCAGGTCTAGAGTTCAGCTCAGTGATATACTGGGGCAAATATAAACGCGTTCTGAGCTTCTCACAGCAGTGAGCTGTGCTGGATCCACCGATGGCTCCTTCACTTGTTTTCTTCATGGTCTCAGTTTTGGTGGCAAATTGTGTTTTCAGAATGTATTTTTCCCTCTGTTCTGGGAGCTGTGTGCTCTGAGGTGTCAGGCACTGCCTGGCCACCAGAGGTCTGTCTCTGACAGAGTAATAACCACCTGGAAACTTTAACAGACCCACCTGTATTGTTTGGGCTGTTCTGGGGCAAAAGCACAGGGTATGGGTTTTGTAGGTATATTAGTTTTCAGCAGAACATTAAGCGTAAAATAGATGTAGAAGTGTAACCTTTTAAAGTTACATATTTTATTGATTCTGCTAGAGAAAACCAGGGGTGAACCAGTGAAAAGAAAGGAAATCTGAGGTATTTTTTCCTCCCTCTACTCCAAATTAATAGGTCTCTGAGGCTCTCCCATCAGAACAGACCTGGTTGTAGTCCCAAACCTTGCAGAGGTTGTCTGCCTCTGCACTGGCTTTCTCTTCCTTGGCTGCATGCTCTACATTTTACAGATGCCTCTTAGTAGTCTCTTGCTGTTGTAATATCTCTGGCTTAGAGCTGAGTTTCACTGAGTTTCCTTAATGTTATGGATAAAACAACATAAACACCCTTAACAAGTACAGAGTGAGAAGTTGTCTTTAAGAGCAAGTGCAGGAAGCCCAGGGATGCTGTGTCCAGTAGCTAAGAGGACAGAAGAACAGAAAGAGCACAAATACGGGGAGGGCTGACATTTTTGGGATGACCCTGGACATGATACAGTGCTGTGCTGGCAGAAATTTGCCTTCATGTACCATGTTTCTTTCCTCTAGAAAGCCTTTTTGGGTACACACGGAAGCATAGCTTTCACTGGGAACAAACTTTGAGCAGATTATGCTTTCATGTGTATCGTGTGCTTTTTGTTGTTTAGCACAAGCAGATTTAAAAATGGAGTAAGGAAGGTGACTTCTTGGCAAATAGGTATGGAAATATTTCACAGACTGGGAGAATGCCTTACTGGTTTTTATCAGTCATAAAGTCCAGGGTACTTTTGTTGTTGCCTTTCTGGGGCTTTCACATCCCACCAGAAAGAACATGATAACATTCTCTGTTCTGAAGAGGATAGGAAGTAACTGGTTTTTTCCTGTAGAGGCTGTCCAAGGGTATGGAACACGGTCAGTGAATATTACACAACGGGTACATTTCCTCTCTGTTGCTGCTACTGTTGCTCACGCAACAATGGGCTATTTGAATTCAACGATGCTCATTAAAAGTTATCCTGTGTTTTTTGGGGGTTCTTTTTTGGTTTTTTTGGTTGTTGGTTTTGTTTTTTTTAATTGGCCTGTTCTGCTAACTTTCCTTAAATGGGTTCCGGAGGAATCAAGTTTGATCAAATCAGTGAATATCAGGCATTTCACACCTGCCCCATGTGACTTCATGACACCCATGACCTTTTATTGAATATTACATTCAAATTGGGTAAAGCTGTGCAAATAGTCACATGTCAGTTATATGAGCTCAGGGCCTTATGTGTCCCTCTTCTGTAGATTTGAACCTCTTCTCATGCCATTTGTCAGTTGAGATTTGTAGAAAGATTGCTCCAGAGGGTGGAAGTTGGAAACTGCTCAGTGTATGTGTGTGGAAAACTGAGAACAGTCTTCTCTGATGTCGTCTTCACGCTCTCCCTGCGAGCCAACTGTTGGGCTGTACAAGGCAGGAATGAGAGTAATCCGAAACTAGGAAGTACAAGATGTATTCTTGTGTCATCCCTTGCTCGTGCCAGCTCTGGAGGACAGATCAGTGTGGTTTCAATGTGTTAACCAGCCTCTTCATTTCCTGGTTTCCATTAGTTTGTTTGCTAACTTTGATGTTGTGAAAGCATACGTGCCAATGCTGGGCAACACATGGATTAGACTAACATGTGATATTGAATACCTAGATAATGGAAGGTCATTAGAAAGTAGAGTCTGAGTCCAGTTTGTGAACTCATGGTACATCTGACTTATTATTCATAAATTATTTTTCATGTGCTGCTTCATCCTACTTTCCCTGTGGTGCCCTTATTTTCCAATAGAACTGAAAGTTCCTCACTGGATGCATTCTGCTATGGAGTTGATGGGGTGACCTACTGCGATAGGAGGCCTTTGGGAAAGGGGTGGAGATTGTGGCCAGGCTGGGATAAGGCCTGGAGGAGCAACTGGGAAGCTCTAGCCAGCAGGTGATAGAGTGGAGGGAGCTTGCAACTCCATGGCTCCTGGTTCCCTTGCAGGAGATGATGGTGGCAGTAGTGAGAGACTGAAATGGAGCAGTGCAGCTCCCTCAGCTCTGCAGCTTGTGCTGCCCTGCTCCAACCCTCCCTCCTGCCTGCACTGTCATAGGCATCTACACCCAGCTTCCTACCTGCTCCATTCACAGCATCTCCCAGACAAAATCGTTTTCACCTCTCCTCCCTGCCAAGAGGGACAAGAGGACTACAAGTCTCCTCCCTGGTGGAAGGCATGCCTGCAGCTTGAGAGCATTTGGTCGGAGGATATGTGTGGGAAAAGGAGGAAGCTTATACATTCTCTCTCTCCTTTAATTGTGAGAACAAAATATAGTGTGGAGATCAAGGATTAGCATCAGTTAAGAGAACATTAGTGTTACAGAAGCTACTTGTGAGGTACACCTGAAAGCCCTAAACTCTGATCTTAACTTAGATAGGAATAATTAAAATAAATTGTTTGAAGTGTTGACGATCTTGAGAATTTAACAAGGAGATTTCTGAGCTGGGTTTTGGCCTAATATTACACTGGTGGAGCTGTTAAACTCAAATTTAGTTGTTACTTAGTACATAGTTTTGCTTGCTTTCTTGAATCCACTAAAGTTCTCGGGCAAAGGAATGCTACTCTGGGGTGGTCAGAGAGCAGGATGTTCTGGTATTTCAGTAGCTTTTCAGGACATCCCCATGTGAAGACAAGTACTGAACTGAATTCTCTACCCGGGAATTAGTTTCTTCTGGTTTTTTGCAACTGAAATGTGTCATTTTCACAGTGAATGTGGTGGTAGTTTTGTTTATTTGCATAAGTAAAGAGGACAGTAGCTTTATTCTTTAAAGATTATTACAGTTTGGGTTACTCTGTCTTGACAGTGTCCCTTTGATTTACACAGGGCTCTCAGTTCAAGCCTGGTATGTTTGATTATTGCAGCACACATGGTTAGTAACGCCCCTGCTGTTGTGAGGCCCCCTGATAGAAGACCATGTGTGTTACAGAGGAAGTGCACTTCAGTGTCTTCATTGATTGTCTGGCTGTTTACTGTAACTAGGAAACATACAAACTTTCACTAGAAATATTTCGCTTTTGCTGTGTATATTTCAAAGCCAGGAATTAGCTTGATGAAGTTTCAAGAAGACAGAGACATTCTCTCTTGTGTGCCACTACTAGAAGTGCAACAAAGTCAATTTGGCACTAGGAACGCAGTTTCAGGGGACCAGGGGAGATGGAATCACCACATCTCTGCGTGTTCTCTTAATTTAATTTTTTAAGAGAATCTCTTCTCTTACTTGGACTGAATCTTCATTGCTTAAGAAAGTTGAGGAAGGCAATATTATCCAAAAGTATGCATACTGAACACCTAGTACTTCTATTAAACTTCAGTGTAATATGTGAGAGTACTGAGTATTGTCAGATGAAAGGATAACTGGTCCGTCATTAAACTTCTTCGTGTCCTTTTAATCTCTTTTATGAGTTCAAAATGACAGAGACAGCAAGTACTACGGTATTCACAGTTTGATGCAAGATGTCCTGTATACTGTTTTTAAAATATTTTAAGAATATCAGTTGCTAAACAGAAGCAAAATCACCAGTGAATCACTATCGTTGACAAGCTGGCAGTGAAGTAGTTTTGCAGAGCAAGAATTGCAGTTGGTATCTTAAGATGTGAGGAATTTGAAATTGTTGTCAATGTATGTTTTAGTTTGCATACATATGTACACACACTTAAAAAGGTTATATATGTATAAAATCTACTGCATTCTAGGCAAAACTGGGAGGAAATTTTCAGAGGAAACTTAAGTAAGAAAGTTAAGCTTTATGAGATATCTCATAAATGTTTTAAGAACTGTGTAAACATTAAACACTTCTAAAAATCTACCAAGACACTTAACAGGTATGTCCAAATCCTTTGTAGATCTGTCCTTTAATGCCCAGCAGCTGTTCTGCCTATACCTGCAGTACTTGGAGCATCTTCCCAGATACTGCAATAACTGTAAAAGGTGATGAGGATTTTTACAGTTGTTCTGAGAGCCAGCTGGAGGTAACAGCCGTGTTGGATATACTGGTGCTGTCTCTGTAACATCAGAAATAAAAATCTTTCTGTTGTTACTGTGAAAAATTTTAAAATCATTTACATGTAGTTCTGTGAAAACTACAGTAGAGTATAGAAAATGAGTTTTTGGAAGTTTTAGCAGAATTGAAAGGTTGGTAGTTACTTTGCTTTAGAAGAGCAGTGGTTGCGAAACAGCCTGTGCATTTCTGAACATATTTTGCAGCTACATCTCATGCAAGGAAAGAGGTACTTGGCTCCTCTTTTTCCCTCTGATCAGTTTCCATGCTTCTGAAGTAGCCAGAATAGGATGTGAAGCCAAGCAATGCAGGGATGGGCTGTGATGCTGCTTTTACTGACATCAGTGATGTGCTTGTGCCTCATCCAGATCTCTGGTGTTTGGTAGTTTTATAGTCAGTGTCTTGGTATCCAAAAAACCGTGGAGTGGTGTTCCGTGGCAGCAGAGCAGCATGGAAGACTTCATGGAGTGAGCTGTTACTCAACTGCAGATGACTTACTCAATTACGCATTTTCATTTAGAAAATGGACATAGTGCATGTCTGTTGTATTTGAAGGAAATACTACCCCAGTGAGCCATAATGGAAGATTAGGTCAGTGAGATCTGGAGCCAGGATATCTAACTTTAATCAGAACTTGTTGTGAAGCAGCTTTGATAGCATCTACAGTTGACATCAAGTTCTATAACTGGGCAGAGATCACTGATGGTGAAAGATGCTTCACTTCAATAACAGGCACCCAGCAGAGACTTCACTGTACAGTGAAGAGGCTGTTCTAGTTCTAAGCTTCTTTTTGTCTTGCCTACTTCTACCATGTTCTTAATCTGTCTTGCCTATTTCTGCTTGCCATTTACTTCCATTTGAAGAGAGATGAAGTCATTAACTGCAGTTTGTGTTAGCTTGCTGAAAAGAAAAATCAACATTTTTGTTTTTCCAAAGTGAAACTTTTGACAAGGAATGAGTTTTTTCACTTCAGCTTCCCTGATTCATAGCACTTTCTGTGAACTGTTCCATAGACCAGATTGTGCCTGGAATGGGGAGGGAGGGCGGAAGTCTGAAAAGAACCCTCTTAAGCTGATTTTACAGCTGCAGTGATGAACTGAGTCTGCCTCAGTGAGCCCACAGGGAACCAGTCTTGCATGTGAAATGAGAATGTGCTTTGTGACAACCGTTCTCACTGACACATGAAGAGTGTGCCTAACAACAGGTAGCAGATAGCTAGAAGTACTTTTCTGGAGCATTTCTTTTTTCAAGTGCCTGTGTTAGAGACAGCCCTCTTGGCCACATACATGTTTCTGTGAGCTGTGTCACAATTTGTCTGTTTCCTCTTGGGAGAGGGAGATCTGCAGTACTCACATTGCTTTGGCTGTCTTGGTTTAAAAATTTGACAGAAAGTCCATATCACAGTAAGGGTGGGTCACTTAAGAGTAGATAAATATGGCCTGTTTGAAAAAATTGTGGAAGATGAAGAAGTGCTAGCAAGCCTCACTAATATATATTCTTTAAATAACTAAATTAACAGAACAAAACCCTCATCTAACAGTCCTTAAAGGCATTTTAATAAATGTGCCCATCATTAATGTTTCCTACAGCTAATGATGGTGACTCTGTTTCTGTGTATAAAGCTTACTAACTTTTACTTAAAGTCTGCCTGGGAAAGTGCTTTGAAATAATACCATTCCATGTTAAATGGCAGATATTAACATGTCTGAGAGGAATCACAAGCTTGTTAATCACAAGTGAGCTGAACTGGTTCCATAACCCTATTGATATTCCAGTTTGCTCTGCGTGTGTGGTAGTGTTGATGCTCCCTTTAGCTGTCAAGATAAGAATTGCAAAACCTTGTTTCACTTATCTTGTAAAAACTTCCAAAATTCCACTCACTAATTTTGAGTTATTTCAGAACCTTTTGCAGTTTGGTAGTTGAAGGCAGTATACTAACATGCAAAATGGCATAAAATTCACGGGGCCAGATACTGTGCCAGCTTCTGGGTATACATGCTATGTAATTAAGAATGTTTTCTATGTTATCCTTCAGCTCTGGTTGTACAGTCCTCTTAGTTCTTTCAGATCTGATGGGCTCTTAGTTTCAGCTCCTCATTTAAGGAAGACATTCTCATTATCAGCTGCAACAAACAAGCAGAGAGAAGGGAAGAATCACAGGGCCTGATGCACAGTTCTGCTGAGGCACATGTTGCTTTGGGGACCTTGGCCTTCATTAGTTCTTTGTAGTCTTAGTTATTAGCTTCTTGGAGCTAGGGTTCCTGCTTGCTCTTTTCTTGGTAACCTTCTGACTTTACTTATACTCCGGGAAGTATAAGTTCAGCTGTAAAGCTCAGTTTTCTCCTAAGAATAACTAGGTAAGGGATTGATTATTTGCTTGATAAGAGCACTTCGTAACAAGTGCTTGCATTTAAAAATTGATATCATACTTAATTAAACTTAGCAGCTAAGTCTACTGTTTTGCTACTGGATGCACGTACACTTGTCTCTGCAGCCAGCTAGAACCTGCTGGTTAATGTTTCATCTGCCTGATAAACAAATAACACAACATGTTGGAACAACGCTGTGTTTACTTTTAATTGTAGTACCACAATCTTTGCATAATTGACTGTGATTATTCTGGATACAATGATTCATTGGTCTTAAATAGTGTTGAAAAAAATAGTTAAAAAAAGAGGCAGAGAGAATTACCATTAGACGTTCCTATGCTTCACGTAGATGTTTGGCCTCTGATTTCTAAATCTTTGCTGTTTATCATGTAAAATTCTGATCCAGAGCAAAGGGCCATGAACTTTTTAGACTGTGCTTTCTCTTAGAGGATTCTTTGAGAAAGGTATTGTTATATTCGCCATACTGAATGGGAGAATTCGGAGCAATAAGAGGAAAAATGCTTTGTCTTAGGTCAATATTGATTTCTGCAGATGAGCAAAAAGGCAGGAAGAGATTTCCTGATCTAGCAAAGTATCCTCTAGGTAATACTTTCTTTCTTAAGATCTCTGGAACTATGCTTCAGTAGCTTCTGTTCTCAGGTATTAATTATGCTAGCTGGAAAGGGAAGATTTACAAGAGCTTTACAGAGCTTTTTGTCTTTACAAAGCTTTTTATTCTGTAAAATAATTAGTCTTTCTAACTTCTCTTATACATGTTATGTCAGAATGCACCTTCCGTCCTTGGCCATGACAGACTTTCTGTTGAGGCCATCACTGCTGGGAAAAGTCGAGTCCCCTGGTTTATGTTTTTTGAGGACCCGGCTGCAGCTGGGACTTGTGGCTGTTTTTGCTGCACAGGTTTGGCAATCTGTCCTGTGTGATATGAAATTAAAGGGCATGTGGAATATACTCCCTTTTAAAATGTGAAATACTGTTGATCAATTAATTGGTGTATTTGTAAGGAACAGGACTTGAAATTCAGCAGGATCTGGGAGCATCGCATCTTTCAAAGGGCAGTTCAGCTTCTCTGCATGTCCCTTTTATTCTTTGAAGCCATTCAAAATCTTAACTATGTATTTTTTCGTGCATCCATATTACAGGTTACCAAGCTTTATCATAGAAAAAACAAGTAGCAGTTATCAGCTAACACTAAGAATATGCATTTCTTTTTTTTTTTTAGGGAGAACAAGTTCTACTGGCATTTGAAGCTCGTATTTCCTCACTGTCATGCTGAGTACACTTTAAAACGGTACAGAACTTGAAAAACAGATTTTTATAAAGTTTAAATTAATCTGCTGAAGTTGAATTGCAAAACATTTTGGTCAGTTCTTATCTAGTTCTGTTACGTAAGGTAAACTCGGGAATTAATTTTAGTCTTAATTAAAAGGGCATTTAAATTTTTAAAAATGTTGAAAAGTTGTATAGTCCTTTCCTCTTTGAAAGCTACCAGGCTTTCCAAATCAGTCAGAATGTTTGGTTGTTAATCCTTTTCTCTATATAAACAGCAGCTTGTGTATTCATAATAGCAATACCCATACACCTAACATACTCTATTCTCATGGAGCAGATGTTCAGCAAGATTTGCCATCCCTCCTTGCCTGCACTCTGGAGCTGACCTTCATATAGGGTGAAATGGTTGCATTGTTTGCTTTGTAGGAAAGCCCACAAGCACATTTTGAAAAGGCTGAAAAATAAGCTTTTGTTGACAAATCTTTCTCCTTTTTTCCTAGCCTGAAGGGGGGGTGAGAAATATGCCCTTGTCTGCTTCTAGAGCTGTAGAGGCAGCATGTTTCTATTGCAGGGTTAGAAACTAGAGAGGCATCTGTATACTTCTTGTATATGCCTGTGAAATTCCAGTGCTGAAATGGAGATAAAGCTGTCGATGTCTATGCAATACTGGTACACATTTATGATCCTCCCATAAACTACTCAATTGTGCCACTCTAGCGTGCAAATATACAGGTTCCTCCAAGTGACTCATAATAGATTTTTGTGTACATGATGAACCATGTCTCACATATTTGATTTTTATCTCTGGTGAAAGGGTGCCTGATGATAAAACACTCACTGATATCCTTAAGCCGTACATTGATCCAGTGGAGTCGGATCCTGTAGTTTGTCAAAGGTGTGTATTGAATAACTTTTCTGCCTATTTCATCTAATGCACTAATAAAAGAAGGGAATGGTTCTGAATAAATACCTTAAATTAGCTGCACTTTCGTCTTGCAGAGCTGAGTTCCCAGTCAACAGTACATGTGATGAAAATCACCCTAACATTCACCAACCAGCAAACCCTGGGGTATAACCACCAAATTTAAACCAGGAAAATATTAAGAAATCGGCTCCTGGCATAAAGATCAAATAAAGTAACTAATTCTGAAAAATGTAACCATAATTAACCTCAATCAAGGGGACAGTAAATCTTTTCTTTAGAGTAATTAGAAAAACATACTAGTAATTATAACCCTCATTTATAGGAAATACTTAGTATGTGGCAAACTGTCTTCATGAAAAAAATACATTCTTCTGGCTGTTGACATGCAAAATATATCCATCTCTTATGGATGATAAGAAGAAAAGTCATTGTATATCACTGTTTCTTCATCTTTACTGCATTTTTCTTTTCAGATTAAAAATCTATACAGCATCTCCTCAGTCAGATGTACAAATTTTAATGAAAATAGAAAACAGGAGCCGAAACTCTGTCAGGTAAGGTGGTTCTTCAGTTTGTGTGTTTACTGATTAAAAATAACAAAAAGAAATAACACATTTCTTAGTCTTTTCAATATTATGATTGGAGATTACATAATCTCATGGATTAAACTTCAGTGAGTAATTACTAGCTGTCTTGAAAATTATTCAGCAAAAGTGCTATTTCTTTGTCTTTTACTATGTCAACACTGAAATTTCAATGCAATTATTGTGTGCCTGTACCTGAGCTGCTTCAGCAGCAGCCCATGCCAGTATAACAGAACATAGGTTTGTGTTAAAGTGCTAAAAAACTGTAGACATCCATTCCCTTCTGGGAGTTCCTCTGTGGATATGTTAACCTCCCCAAGAGAGTTGAAGTGATAGTTGAAGAGAGTTGTTTTTTTAAATCACTGCAGCAAAAATTGTGTATATCAGAATCCAGTCACTGCATTTGAAATTATACATTTTTCTCAAAGTTACCAGCTCATTACTCTTCATGTTACCATATTTCTGGGTGTGGGCTTTTGTCTCCAGAATTCAGACTTGTGCAGAATTGTTTTCTTTGTTTCCAGAACAGAAAATAATCCTGAACTTTAAGGAAATAATTTTGCTGTTTTAAATACCATTTTGAACACTCCACCCTGTTGTCATTGTTACTGGAAAGGATATGTATCAGCTTAGTATCATAGCTTATTGTGGTTGACCAGTGATTCCTAGTTAGGCATCTTAAAGTACATTCTTGTCTTCAAATGTAACAAATGTAAATAATATGCTTCCCTGAAACATGATATGTTATTTCTAAGGGCAGAATAAAGGTATATTAAAAGAATTTTAGTTGTAACTGAGCTTCCTGTTTGTGCTGTATTTTTTCCCCAATAATATTTAAAAATGTGTAGTGTACTTTGAAATTCAAGCCCAAACTGTTAATGATTTTGATTGATTTTTTTTTTCTTTTTGCAATCATTATTTGAAATATGGTTGTAACATTTACCATCAGGGTTGCCAGCTAGAAACCTGTTGGTTTTAAGTGAATTTGAGGATACAAAACCATGGTTCTTACACACAGGGAAAAAACATGAAATGCCTTGGGCTGCTCAGTACCCTGTGTCTGAGGGTTACAGGTGTGGGAATAATGAGTTTTCATTTGTGGACACTGAAATTGTCAGGTACCAGCTGTTTCAGCTGAATGTTCAGAAGTCCCTGGGGCCTGATGGATTTTGTCCTGGAGTACTGAAAGACCCATTGGATGTTATGGCGAGGCCTCTCTTGATCACATATTAAAGGTCTTGAGAGTCGGAGGAGGTCCCTGCTGACTGGATGTCATGGTTTAGCCCAGCAGGCAGCTAAACACTGCACAGGCACTCAACTCAACACCCCACATGCCCAGTGGGATGGGGAAGAGAATCAGGGGAAAAAAAAAAAAAAAAGTAGAATTCTTGTTTTAAGATAAAGACAGTTTAATAGGACAGAAAAGTAAGGGATGATAATAATGATAAAATAATTAGAATATACAAAACAAGTGATGCCCAATGCAGTTGCTCACCACCCACTGCCCAGTTCCAGCCAGTTCCCAAGTAGCAGCCCTTGTCCAGCTTTGCCTTTAGTTTATACACTGACTATGTGTTTATATGTTATGGAATGTCCCTTTTGTCCAGTTGGGATCAGCTGTCCCTGCTGTGTCTTCTCCCAGCCTCTTGTGTCCCCCAGTCTACTTGCTGGTGGGGTGGGGTGAGGAGCCGAAGAGACTTTGACAATATAAGCATTAGTCTTTCACATTTCCCTTTTTAGGAAAGAAGGAAAAGTTGGTTTTGTAATAGCAGGTAAAGTTCACCTTTTGATCTTTTGAAGTGGAGTATTGTAAGTTTTGTAGAAGGCTTGGGAAAAAAAGACAGTTTAATATCAAAGTTGACTATTTCTTGTGCTCATCAGTTTTGTTGTTACTTAATCATTTTCCTCTTCTGAAGTCTCTATAATACTTTATTATTTCACAGATTTGAGTGAGAATTCTTTATGAAGTCAAATTAACTTTAATATTCTTAAGTTTGAGACTCATCTGTATTCCCAGAATCAGCTGGGTTGGTTGATAACAAAGTTGGAGTAGTTGGTATTTATCCCACTCAGAGAATGCAAAGTTTATAGTATAAAAAAAACTGTAGAAAGTTAAAATAGAAGAGTGTTTTGACTTGAGAACTGCAGTTCTTCACTTGGAAATTATGTGAATCTCTTCGTATAAGTTGGCAGAGTAGGCCCAGCTGGGGCAATGCAGACAGGTCAAGGAAACAGCATATTGGAAGAAAATTCCTCCTCTGAAAGGAAAGAACAAAGTTTGTTTGAAATTATGGGATTGCTGTGTCAGCAGTAAATCATCTGTCGACATAAGCTGTGTCTGTGCCAGCAGGCACTCTCAGTGCAGTTGTACCAGTGTAGTTGTTGTGACAAAGGCTCTATGAGGGAATTCAAATTTTTACTGTAATTGCATTACAGTTAAGTAAGGGAGAATTTGTTTTGATTTCTTCTCCTTTTTGTTCCCCAACCCTGGTTAAATTAATTGGGGCGGTAATGGTCCTTATTCTATAAATCTGTGCTTGGAATTGCAGTGGAAGTACTTGTTACTGAACCATGACCAGCTTGCTGCTTAGTGGCCTTGAGCGTGGAACAAAAGCTGAGTGCTAACAGAGCTCTCGCACCTTTCTTTATCCACGTTTCTTTAACAGTGGGGATCTGTTAGTTTGTGTAGCCTTGAGTGCCACTGTCAACTCAGAGTAATTTCTCATCCTGTGTCTCGCCATTCTGCAAGATTTTAGGCTGTGTGTTCCTGTACGTCCGAATGCTCTTCCATCGCTTTGTGGGCAGACTGAAGGAGTGGGATTGGTGTAGGCTACTAATACATGTAAGGCTACATGAATGTTGTGTTATCCACCACTTCTATGACCACCAGAAAAATTTCTGCTCCACAAGCATGAGATACTACAAAAGCTGTAAAAATACATTGTTAAATCAAATGTTGTTTTTAGGCTTAGCAGAACCTTTTCAGAAAAGTACTTTTCATAGTTACAATTGCATATTATTGAGGAAAAGCAGTGGTGTTTTGGAGAGCATTTAAGCAGGATTATTATAGGTTACAAAATGTTAGTCTTTTAGTTTTAAGATAAGTATGCTACAGAAGGATTTTAGTATTTCCTGCAATTGTTTATGAAACAGGAGTTTGTGGTTTAGTTTTGGCTGTTTTCTGTGTTTCATAGCAAATGGCCCTTTTAGTTTGAAGGTCCTTTGTAGAATGCTTTAAATTTTTTGGGTCTTTTTTCTCCAAAAATTCTAATTAACCACACAGTACAGATTTCTGCTTTCTCACAGTTTTTTGCAGAACTTCAGAAAACCACTGTTGTGCAGGTATCATGGATAGCTGCCAAAGGCAGTGCTTGCTTTCCTCAAGCTACGTGTCTTTTATCATCAGTGGGGACGGTTCTTAGAAAACGTTGTGATAAGCTCTTATTTCTGTCTTCTCTAAAACCAGCTTGTAAGAATTGCTTTCAGTATTAATTAGTAGCACTCCACAGTTACCTGGGGTAACCGAAAGCATAATTTCTCCTCATGTCCTCTCCTTCCTACCTGTTATCTAATGCTCTATAACTGTTAGTTACATTTGATAGTCTTCTCGTTAACTACATGTACTTTATGAGGAATCTTATGAAAGAGGATTTGAAAAAACAAGCGTTATGCTATTATCTTCTTCCTTTAAAACATTGGAAAAAATCTGCATTTGAATGGGTCAGAATAGTTTTCCATTTGGTACCGCTTGCTTCTGTCACCTGTTATGCAATGTTTAGTTGGTGATTGGTGTCCATTCTCTCCTCAGCTGTAACTATTCCAAGAAAGGTTTAACTGCTGCCTCTTGGATGATTTTTACAGTCTACATTCTTTTATAAGTAGTATTTTCTTTCTTCAGGATAGATTAGTGTCCTGACTATCTTCAGACCTTTATTTGGGATGCCTTCAAAGTGACTTCATATGGTAAGAATATTGCTTTTTCCACTAAGGAAAGGAAAGATGCAATGGCTAAATTATACAGTCTGGTTTGGGAAATACACGTTCTCAGTTTCCTGAGGATAGCCTTATCAGGCTTTGTGTAACAAAAAAACCCCAAACCAAAACAGCCACCAGCCCCTCCCAAAAAGAATTCCGAAATCCAACAGACCCTTGGTATTTGTCAACAGTAAGTTAATAGTCAAAAGTTGGGGTTTTTTGTAACTACAGATACTTAATGAAAAATTTATTTACTCAGCCTTATCATATAAAATAATCCTATTTCTACAAGAGAAATAACTGCAACAAACTTAATTTACAGTAGATACTTTGGTATCTCTTTTACTGGGTTCAGTAACATCTTGCACAAATCTAGTTTAGATACTTTACTCTTTAATCACATGCATTTAGTTTAATAGAACTAAAAAATAATACTTTCTTAAGGATCAATGTTAAGTCTTTTGTATAGTAATGTTCTTTTTTGCCTATTCCAAATGGCGTGTGAATGTTTTTTCAGAATAAGTTGTTGTAGAGAACTTTTTGGGGATTTGAAAATAGGAGTAGACACTGACAGGATATTTAGATGCCTGGAAAATATAGTCTGGTTGACCTTAAGAGCTTTGCAAAGCCCACTGCTTTCAGTGGACCACATCCTTGAAGGAGCTGGAGTACAGAGTGTTACCAGATTGTATCCTGTCACCTTCCTGTTGTAAAACTCCCACACCATACAGGGATGTATATAAAATCAGTTGTAGAAATGTTTTCTGTGTCAGTAGTACTGCTGCAGCTCATACTTCAATTACTCAGAAAGCAAAAAAAAAAAAATCAAAGGAATTTTTGTGCCAGTTCCAGCGTCAAGGTGCTTTTTACTCTCTGTGGTGACACTGGCTGGTGCACACGAGAACACTGGCGCGTTTGCCGCTTATTTCTGGTGGACCACAGAGTAGAAAATCTGCTAGACAAGTATCAGAGGTTCTTCTCTGCTGAATGCCATT